CTTCTTTTTATCGATACACCAGTATACGTCTTCGGTCTCATGATGTTTTCATTATCAACAGAGTATTACCAGATTCTACTTTCGCAAGCTATTGTCAGCTCTCTTAGTTCAGGCGCTATATTTACTGCATCTCTAACTTCGGCAATATTGTATTTTTACAAGAAGCGTAGTACAATCTTTGGAATTATTAACTCTGGTTCTTTAGCCGGCGGCATTGTTTTACCTATTATGCTATCTTAATTATTCAAGACTATTGGATTTGCCTAGACTATAAGGGTAGTTAGCTTTATATTCTTAGCTTCTTGTACTATATCCTGTCTTCTTATTTAATCTTATCTTTTACCTAAACTACAACCTTTTGCAGTATTAGATTATAAGCAGTACTTTAGGGAGCTAAATATGCTACTTACTATACTTGGCGGCTTTCTGTTTTTCTAGGGTATGTTCTTACAACTAAGTTACATTATTATCTAAGCTAAAGCTAGCGGTATTTCTAAGAGTTTAGTACCTTACTTACTACCTATTATTAACGGGATAAGCCTTATTAGTTATCTAATAGCTAGAGCCTTTGTAGATAAGATCGGCTAATTTAAATGCATATTAATAATTACCTCTTTTACCGGCATCTTAATACTTATCCTCTGGATCCCTAGTAGTAGTAACACAGCAGCTATTATAGCGTATATAGTAGCCTTTGGCTTTGGATTAGGTGGCTATGTGTCTATCTTCCCCAGCTGTATTGCGCAGATTAGTCCAATGGAAGAGATTGGTATGCGGATTGGTCTTGCTTTATTAGTTAATGCATTTAGAGCGCTAACGTGCAGTCCATTGGGAGGTGCGTTGATTCCAGGTGGGGATAGTTTCCTTGGGTTGCAGTTATTCTGCGTGTGTACTATGATTGCTTCTGTTTTTGTGTATGGCGCTGCAAGATATGATTAGATAGGATTTCGATGGGGGAAGGTATAGCATTGCTGGAAGGGAGTGCCGACTATTAGAAACTTCAAAAGTAAGTTATGTGCTGTCAATGTGCTATGTGAAGCCCAATTGTGCAAATCCATGTCTCAAAATACACACCTGCCGCCGTCCATCTAAGCCTCTTCCATCAACAGTTTGAACGCGAGATTATCCTCCCCGCTCTTTAAGCAAGCGAGATTTATTTCAGAGTTAGGAAACACAATTCCATACTTCATATCAATCTACGTATACAGCTAAATACAAAACCTATCTTCCTCTTTTACCCTATTCCGAAATATCTTAATCTGCTCCTCTTTATTAGAGGGCAGCTTATAAGGAACATTACTGCAGTAGTAGTATTCTTCTTAAGTAATGGGCCATCTCCTTATCGGCGCGAATACAACCTCCGCAGGCGCCTTGATAGCTTGACGCACAGCTTTCCAAAACTCTGCCCAAGTTGGTTGTTTATTATCATAGGTATCCTCAACTAAGGATATACAATCTGTAATATAGATATTTAATAATATACCTAGTACTTCTTAGAGGAAACAAGGTAAAACTAAAGTTACTGCTATACTGTATATATATAAAATACGCAGGGCTATTATAGAACCTAGAGCTAGATATAATAAGCTATTACCCTTAAGAATACCCTTAGCATTAGCTTTAATTTTAAGATACTCTAAACTCTTTACCTATAAAAGTATAGTATTTAGTAAGTAGTAAAAAAAGGTATAAAAACTAGGTAATATATTAACCCTCTACCTACTATTATTATTTCTACTATATATATAAAGGGTTAACATATTTAATAAGCAAGTACTCTAGTAAAGTAAGTACTTTAAAAATCCTAGCTATTATCTTTTAATTCCTAATAAAAGTAATATAACTTATCTAATTAATTAAAATTACTTACTATACTCTTTTCTAAATACCTCTAGAACTACTTAATAAGTCCTTATATTATACTTAGTCTTACTATATATACTATATTATTAAATACCTAGTCTAACTAACCTTCCTTAACTACTACTTCTTAATAACTTACCTACTACCTATATATTAATATTTATTTAATTAATTACTTATAATACTTCCTCTATAGTTATAGGATTTCCTTTCTATAGTTTAGTTCTTTTTAACCTTTAGTACTAGCTTAGCTTTTTATTTCCTTCTTAAAGGTTTTAAATCTTATTTCTTATTAAGGTAATCTTATATATAGTTCTTTTTATTATCTTAGTAAAAGACTAAATAGCCTTAATAATTAACTCTAGAGAGCTACTATAATACCTTCTAATTTAACTCTTAAGGTATTTAGTTTAAAATTAAGCCTTATTTACTATTATTAAGATCTTTAAAGTCTAAGGAAAAGAAGGTTTAGCTACCTTCTTAAAAGGTAATAGGGTCTATAGCTATATATTAAGCTTTAAGATAATATAATTAGGGTTAAAAGGAATAAGCCTAGCTCCTTTAAAGCCTCTTTATATATTACTTTTAGTAAAAGTAACTTTAAAAGTAGTATAAAAGGTATTAAAGAACTTAGTCTTAGAAATATAAGTTATAAAGTATTAAATTAAATACTCTATCTTTTACTTATATACCTTCTTAAGTACTATAAAATACTTAATATTAAAAGGCTAAAGTAAATAAGATATATAAGTAAATATATAAAGGGTAATAATCTTATTATTCTTATAATATTTTTTAAATTTAATAAAGTAATAACTTTTATAACTATTAAGAATTAAAAGGTAATAAAAACTAATTAATTAATTAACTATAGACTTATTAAAGTACTTTAGTTAGTTAAAATTTAATTAATTATTTATCTATCTATTTTAGCTTAATATAATAACCTAATTACTAGAAAGATTATATTCTTAGTACTAATTTATAAGGTAATATTAGTCTATACTTAATAAATAATAAGATTAATTAATCTTTAGTACTAATTACCTAGATTATAGTAATTTATTTATAGTTTCCTAGCTATACTAATTTTAATCTTCTTTACCTTTCTAAGCCTATAATAACTATTCTAGATTATATAATACTTATTATAAAGCTAATCTTATTAAAGTTCTAGATATTATTTAATTAAATACTATACTTTATAATTATATTCTCTATAAGCTAAAACTAGCTATAAATAATTATAAGATCTTTATATTTAGCTCTTTAGTAGTTATATCTCTAAAATAAATATATCTTTAGCTTTAGTTATTACTTAATAAAGTTATAAGCTTAGTATATACTAATAGGGGATATATTATAGTTAGTAAAAAGGGAATTAGCTATTTCTTCTATAAAATACAATTACAAAGGAAATCCTTATAAATCTAGGTTAAAAATAAATTAAACTATTATATTCTCTTTCTAATTAAATAGCTTCTGTAAATTTAGTATTAAATTATATTACAATTAAATACTAATTTAGTAGTAATATAAAGTAAAGTAGTTAACTTTGTAAATATCTATAGTATATTACAGGCTTAATTTAAGGTTATTTTAAATAGCCTAAAGAGCAAGAAGAATCCTAGCCTTATTTAAGGGTTATAATATATTAGGTAGTTAGGAATTAATTAATTAAATAGTTAAATATAAGGTTAAGGGATTTTTAAAGCACTTACTTTACTAGAGCACTTGCTTATTAAATACATTAGCTTCTTTAATTAACCTAAGAACCTAGCTTATTTATTTTTTTACTAAAATAAAGTTTTTTAAAGTAAAAAGTTTAAGATCTTTAGATTATTAATAGTTAAGAAAGTTATAATATTATAATATATATCTTATAGTACTATATACTATAGGTACTTTTACTCCTTAGCTATAACCTATTTTTAATTTTTAGACTTAGTATAGAAATAAATTAAGTTATATAAAATCTAATTCTTATCCTAATTTACTTTTTTTATTATAAAATCCTTTTTACTATTAGTATAAAGGGTAAGGGTTCTATAGTATAGAAAGCCTTTAAACTTAATAAGATTATAAATTATAGATATATTAGCTTCTTAGTATACCTAAACTAATATAAGAAGGGTTTCTTAGTACTACTTAGAGTTATCTTTTTTTTTATTTCCTTTATCTTTAGATTATAAGTAACTCTCTAACTTGTTTAAATATAAAATTACATCTAGGTATAATTCTAGAAAATAAGCTTTATATTTAGTAATAATTGTTAGGATAATATAGTCTTTTAAGTTAATATTAATTAACTTTAAATATAAAGTTAAGGTTATTTTTTCTTAATTAGCTCCTTACTTTAGCTTTTAATAATGTATTCTTAAAGAATTAAGTAAAATTATCTAATTTAATAAGTAATTTATAATAAATTACCTTCTAATAGTTCCTAGGGTAGGGATTTATATTAACTTAATCTAGGTACTATGTTAAATAGAGTGTTCGCATAGGTAAGGACTTAAATAGTATTTACTATATACCTGGATCTGTTACTAGACAAGATGTGTTAATACTATTAAATAAGGTAAGCTACAGACTGCAGTAAGTAATAGACCAACGTGAGCCGCTGTTAGCAAACCTGCTGTTAGACCAAAATTTCCACTGCAAGGGGGCAGTTAACATAGAGTACCTGACGAATAGGGAAGAGGCCGCTGAGCCAAGAGGGGCTGGTCTGTGGGGGTAGAGTAGGATTTCTTGTAAGTAGCCGAGAAGTGAGCAGCCACCTCCTCATACAAACAAGATCCCAGTCTTATTGGCAGATGACACAGGCCCAGCTCCACCTCAGATGGTCTGACATGGGTTAAGTCGGCAATCGATCAAAGTAGCCGAAAAGTCGGTGACTTAATGACCGGACCGGCTGTCCGTCCAATGATGGTTGTCGATTCGATTGACGCACATACTTCCAAGTCACGACCGTGGTCAAGTGTGTCACTGACAGGCTGGTTAAGGGAATTTTAGTAGTAGATCTTCCCGTTGCCACTAGTATATATTAGCCATCACTAGCCACCCTGACAAGGTAGCACAACTGTAAGCGACTCTTCCAAGATTCAAACGTGATTATACTGATACAAATTTACTACAACATGTCACGATCAGCTTCGAATTCAGTCAAGTATCTGAAGCGTCCTGTGCTTTTATCCCCACGACGCTCCCTCGCAGTAAATCAACATCATCATGCCTTTTCAACTACGCGACCAAAACGACTTATGGGGATGGCTGGCTTCACTGAAAATCAGCTCATGGTGAGAAATGCCGTGAGCCAAGTCTGTTCTGAGTTCCCCAACACCTACTGGCAGGAATGCGATCAAAACGGGACAGACCCTAAGGACTTCCATGCAGCACTTGCAGAAGGCGGTTGGCTAGGTGTGGCACTTCCTGAGAGTCGGGGTGGCGCTGGCCTAGGCATCTCTGAGGCGACTCTAATGATGCAGACTATTGCTGAATCTGGAGCGGGTATGGCTGGTGCGCAATCCATCCATGCCAACGTGTATGCCACTCAACCGCTTGCCAGATTCGGTTCAGACGAGCAACTGGATACGGTGCCTCAGATTGTCTCTGGAGACTTGCGTGTTTGCTTTGGTGTTACGGAGCCTAATGCTGGTCTGAATACACTGGGCCTATCAACCACCGCCAAGAAGACATCAGATGGATACAGCGTAACAGGTCAAAAGATCTGGATTACCTGCGCTCAGGTTGCCTCCAAGATGATCTTATTGGCTCGAACTACACCTTTGGAGGAAGTCAAGAAGCCTAGCGAGGGTCTGTCCCTATTCTACATCGACCTAGACCGGAACCAGCCAGGCCGCCTTGACCTACGCAAGATCAAGAAGATGGGAAGTCGCGCCGTCGATGCAAATGAAGTCTTTTTTGATAATTATCGAATCCCTAAAAGCTCGCTTATTGGGGAAGAGGGAAAGGGATTTAAGCTGATTCTTCATGGCATGAATGCCGAGCGTTGCCTTTTGGCTGGCGAAGCCCTTGGCCTTGGTTATGCAGCCCTTAAGAAAGCTGCCGACTATGCACGCGAGAGAGTTGTCTTTAAAAGTCCTATTGGTGCGTATCAGGGAATTTCGCACCCGCTAGCTGATGCATATATGAAGCTTGAAGCTGCAAAGTTGATAACATATCATGCGGCTCGGCTTTACGACGCAAGCCAGACAGAATCTGTCAAACAAGACGAGATTGGTGCCGCGGCAAACAGTGCCAAGTATCTAGCTGCTGAAGCTGCTTTTACTGCTTGCGAGAGAGCAGTTCTAACACACGGTGGCATGGGTTATGCAATGGAATATGATGTCGAAAGGTGGTTCCGCGAGGCCCTTATTCCGAGACTTGCACCTGTTAGCAGGGAGATGATTTTGAATTTTATTAGCGAAAAGGTTCTGTCATTGCCTAGGAGCTATTAAGCATAGGTTGCAGCTTCAGCATTACTCAGTCATATTAAAAATGATGGCTGACAGATCTTGTATTGGTGTTCATTTATCTATCTTATATAGGAACCAGTCGTGCGGATCTTCCAGCCCACCGACGGCGCAGCCGGCCATGAGGAGTTTAGTAGAGGCTGTCCGTGGCAAAGAAAGTTAGAATTACATGAGATAGTATGATATATTTGAGGAGATTCAGTATACCATCGATATGAAAACAGATCTAATGCGTAGGCACAATGTCGTAATCCTATCAGATCCAAGGAGCCTCTCTCCCGCCATGCTATTTATTTTTTGGTTTGCAGGTTATGATAACCCAGCTCTGCGCGTGCTGCACCAAGTGTAGACCCGCGAGCTATCATTTCTCTAATGCGCTCTTCGCTTTTATCAATCCAGGTTGCAATCTCTGCCACCTCGCGAGCCCGACTTCGCGGGACAATAACCACACCATTGGCGTCTGCGACAACGATATCACGAGGGTTAACATGCACCCTGCCAATCCCAACTGCCTCGTTAACACCTGCTACCTCCATCCTATCCTTGGCGGTTCTCATCCAGCGTCCGGCGGTAAACATGGGGTAGTTATCGGATATGGCACGATTCACGTCCCGGCACACGCCGTCAATGACAGTCCCAGCTATTCCTCGAATACCGGCGTACTGTGTCATGATATCACCCCAGACCGTACAGTCTGTGCGACCGCTATTGTCGATAACTATAACATCGCCTGCAGCGACGTCATCAATCCAATCGCCAACACCTTTTGACGGAGCTGTGCTTGAAGTTGGCACATAGCGTACAGTAAAGGCCGGCCCAACAGTGACCTTTTCGTAATTGGATAAGGGCATGATGTTCAAAGCCTGCCCTGGTAAGCCCAGCTTGTCAAGGGCGTCAGAAACTGCAGGAGTATCTGTTTCGGCGAAGAGCGCAATCAACTCTTGGTCTTGGGGATCATTTTGCTTGAGGTTATGCATGGCATCAGATGGTGGCTGACCCAAGGCCCCAGATCCGGAGGGACCGTCTTGAATGGATTGAGTCATCAGAGTCTGGTGATGGTGAAAGGAGAGAAAGAAAGAGAACACAAGAGACCAAGTCTTGCTGAAATATTCAATAGTTTTAGCGACAAGAGAGTGTTTTATCTGGAGCGATACGAGAGGCGTTATGGCTGCGCACAAGGGATCTGGACTTCGTGTGCGCAGTTACTCGTTGTCGGTGTGTAGACTACTTGTAGCTGTAAAATACAGGTCGCCAATTGCACACTCGGCCATATGTACCATGCCAAGTCCATGTTCCCAGCGACCAGGGCGAAAGAGTTCCCAGACACACCGCCTCAACGGCATATGGACAGGACGGCTTATGAGATGTAGCCGCATAAGTTCACCCATCTATCACCTACATACGTAGCGGGAGAACACGTATCAGGGACGACACCGCCAGTTGCAAGCGCTAGAGAACTACTACTTATGCATGTCGCACTACGTACGGATGGGTGGTGCAGAAGTATCACATATTGCCAGGAACATGAAGAAGAAAAAGAGTAAAAAAACAAGGATTTCATAACAGCCGCTCAAGCAATGAAGGTCATTAGTACACGTATACGGATTTTTACTCCGGGACCTGTGCTTCGACCCACCCCTAACCCAGTCAACCAACCGCCCGCGGCCTATTTGCATATCTTAGTGGAGTTATTTTACCCTGCTGTGTTTTAAACATGCATCTTCAGTATCACAATGACAGGTCACCGTACCTATCAAGCTAAGATCTGGCCAGGTCTTAGTCCCCGAGTCCCCGGCTCCCGTCACAACTGGGACCAGGGTGTCCTTTCAAGATTGACGGGGCGATTTATCCTTGACCAGATCCCCTCGATATGACGCGTGATGCATCTTCAGCGCTGGAACATCCTTGCGTTCGAAGTATCATTGGGCATTTATTGTTTTAAAACTCGCTTAGGGGTAGATAAATTGTGGTTTTCGGTCCCTAAAGGCGCCAGCGAACGCGAATACGAGACGCCCGTCAGTGACACAAGAATGGAAGAATTCACATGCTGTTCATTTCCATTACGGGAGAATCACACATATGTAAGCATGAGGCGCTCTAGCTATACTAATCAAGGTTATCTTTGCATGCGGGGCCGGTGGGGGAAGAAAAAATCAAGTGCGGGTCGTGACACTAAGGACGGGTCCTGTATGTAGTCTATTCGGTTCTGTAGCTCACATCCCGATCTTTTTGGAGCCACATACAACTGGTCATTTTAGTACCCGCTTGCCACCTCCTCCTCATAAGCTTCATACGCATATTGCCGCTCAAGATCTACATGAAGAAAAGAAGCCTTAAGGATAATTCATATGTATTTTAATTAATGCATTACTAGAAATACCCTAAACTTCTGTTGGCTTAGACCAACATATACTCAAATCACCAGTTGTGCGTTCTGAAGGGATTCCAGGTTTCTGGGCGTTGAATCTTGTAGGCTGGATTGCTCCTTGTCGTGCCGGCCCCATGTCTCCGTCCGTCCATTTTTCAAGCATCACTGTGAGGAAGGTCCATGCACGTATTTATGATGTAGTCACCGGTAACAGACAACTTTGCTCCCCAATTTAATCGCATTCAATGCAGTCATGACCTATACGGCAGGTTCTTAGGAAATCCCCCTTAATGCCCCTTCAATGCCTGGTGAGTGACCCCGTTGGTCATCCCATTGGTCATCCCGTTGGATTTACCATTGGTTACTCCATGGGTTGACCCATTCGCTACCCCGTTGGATTTACCATTGGGCTTACCGTTGGATGCCCATTTTGGCACAGCCAGAGCCTCCTTCACTTCATTAAGGTCCTTCTGATGACTCTTCTGCACAGATAGAATATCCAGACTAGTCATCACCAGCTTGAAATGCTTCAGCCAGTCAACATCCTCGGGCTTCATCCTAAAAGCAGGGATCATAAGCTGAATCCCAGTTTCCTTGGAAGTCGCAATCAACTTGGAGATAGCCTCATAAAACTTAGACTCATCCACTCCACCAGGATTGCGAACCGGGAGACCAAGTGTGACCTTGAGGTCCGAAACTCCAAGCATAAGCGCGTTCACGCCGGGAACCCTTGCGATAGCATCAAGATTATCTACTGCAACCTTTTGGTTTGGTTTGGTTAGTCATAACATAATTAAATGTAGTAAAACGGCAGCTCTTACCGTGCTCTCAATCTGACAAATAACAGCGATGTTCCTGTCGGCAATTGCCTCCGACGTCCAGCCATCGGGTGCAATATTTGTTATCCCATTAAGCAAGGCAATTGGTGAAACCGATCTGCTTCCGCCACTGTAAGCGTGGCGCACCTTGTTGACAGCCAAAGCGGCCTGGTCAGGTGTATCGATTTGTGGAAAGACTATGCCAGCCGCACCTTGTAAAATCTGTCAGATCGGGTGTCTAGTCTAATGGTCAGACTGCGGCGATAGAACTTACCTGCATCTAAAGCGTAGGCCAACAAATCCGATTCAGGGCTGGGGATGCGAACTAGCGCACAGGTCTTGCCCTCGCTGGCAAAGTTGATCGTTTGTATAACGGAAACTAGATTCTCTGGGTTGGTTGCACTGCGAGACAGACAATCAGACAGACGTGTTAGATAAGTTGAATCAAGTGCCTCCACTTGGACAGCGTGGGCAGAGCTTACACGTGCAGAGTGTCCACGAAGACAAAGTCAAAGCCAAGCACAGCTACGGTTCGGGCCATCTGTGTATGCGGAATACCAAGCATGGCACCGAACAAATGCGGCGGCCCTTTGCTTGATCCCTCATGACCCTCTGCACCGATTGCGGCGTTCAGGTATGAAGGCTGGAAGAGAGAATGGGCTCGGTAACGGTCCATGGCGAGTGATTAGAAGAGATATCCCGACTGATGCTCTGTGTAATTTGTGTTTTGGGAGCCAGCATATATATCTCTATATATGTAGACAAGGTTATGTAATTATGTCATACATGTAAACAAGGATATGTCCTCAGTATAATGTAATTTGAAGCACATATGCATAGTTTCAATCTTCTTTCTCATAGGAGATATGGATTTCAGAGGCATGAGATAATCATAATAACACATGTGGGTATAGGCGTCTGAACCACCTAGTACTAACTGTCGCTATGGAAATCAGAGATGCAGGTGTAGTGCGTCATGTCTGAGCGGCCCAATGTGAGACTCTCTTTTTGCCTAGTTTTACCATCAGCGAGAAGTAGCCAATAGCTAGCTTTCCCTTCAAAACTCTCTCCAGTGACCCTATTTTTGAACTTGATTGTTCCCACCTAAATACTACCGATTACGATTAAGACAACCTTGTCGGATATTTCTACAGAGATAAAACTAAATATCAAGGAGGCAAAGACTTTTAGGTGATTGAATTGGTATGGCAAGAGTCTAAACAAGGCACTCTCGTTTTCTCCCGAGGAAAAATAGTTAGCTTTACAGATTAATTACATATTCCTTGCCAGGGAATCTAGCATATGGTTTCCTCCCAAGTCTTTCAACTATGCCCCGTTGGGTGTGCTTTTAGGAAAGGCCTCAAACGCCTTCATGTCCATACATGAAGGGGACGGGACATGAGCATTTGCTTACCCGCAGGTTTGAATCTGGCTTTTCCATGCCTACTCTTATCGAATATGTACTTCCGTGGCGTAGTGAGACTTGCATATCCCAAATCAAACATTCTACCCGATGCCGTCAGCAGGGCGGTGACCGCCACTCCAGATTGGCCCAATCAGTGGTTGCCACGACAAGGACCTTCTGATGGGCGTCAAAAGAAACGCATTATTGCGCGATTTAATAAAACAAGACAACTCAAGCAAGCCATACTTGATGTAGTTCTTTTCTCGCAGGGTGGCTGAAGATGCCCGTGTACAGTACTCACTAGCGTATGTACCTAGTCACGATAGGCGATAGACTAATGTAGGTGGCGGGGAGCCGTCACTGTCGGTACTTGCTTAGTGACCGCCCTCAACTAACGAAAGGGCTGGAGGAGCTATTTCCCGTGCCGTGCCATACATTCGATCACAAACACGGGTCGGGTCTTTTCGATCTTTGCCGTTTGTGGATTAGAGGCGAGAGGCGGGGACTGGTCGTGGAAGGTGTTTCAAGCATGCGTGCTATCTCCGGGGCAGGACGGGACACCTTACATTCCATGTCTCGACTACTGCCTATCTCTTGAATTTTATATGAAACATACATATTATTTCATGCGATAGATCGCTTCCGGCTTGGGACAATTGTTTCTTGGAGCCTGACGCGTCATCTTCAGGTCTTCGACCCTTGCTTTCAGCTTGATGATCTCTGCCAAAAAGAGACATCTATCACCGCCTTTCTTCTATGTCATCTGAAAATACAATTACAGTGCTGCTTGTACCGCCCGCTACTCTGCCTGACCACCAAGTGGAATGGGCTTTTGTTTCTCTTTCTCATTGTTGTCTGAAGTAACGTACGCAGTGGCGCAGGTCTGTCAGCTCGACCACCGCAACTCGGATTTCTTTTTCTGTTCTGATCTATTCGATTTTCTCCTCCGACGAAATTCTTTAGTCTCTACCAACCACCATCGCTAAGCTAAGATGGTCACACATGTAGCTGTGCTGGACGACTATCATGGTCTTGCAAATTCGCACTTTGCCAAATTGGACGCCTCACAATTTGCCATCCAGTATTTTCCAGCAACGTTGCGACCGTATAATCACCCAGGCACATCGCAGGCTGAGAAAGATGAATTGGTTCAAAGATTGGAGCCATTCGAAGTCATTGGTGAACATGGCCCATCTCTTTTTCGCAAATACGCTTACTAATGCCCCGTGCCTAGCAACGATGAGAGAAAGAACACCATTCCCCAAGGAGTTAATTGAGCGTCTTCCTCGACTCAAACTTCTTCTCAGCGGTGGTCGTCACAATAAGGCGATTGATACGGATGCTTGTCGGTCGCGAGGTATCCCAATCACAGGCAGCGATGCCAGAATGGCCACCGTTTCTACCCTGGAACACGTAATCACCTTGATTCTCGCTGCTTGTCGTGACATTCCACATAACGATGCTGCTATCAAGGCCGGGGAGTGGCAGACCAGTCTCGTCACTGGAGTTACTGCTAAAACTCTTGGTGTTGTCGGCCTTGGACGGCTAGGCAGCTCTGTTGCTCGAATCATGAGTACAGCATTTGGGATGAAGATTATCTGTTGGAGCTCTAATCTTACTCAGAGTATTGCTGACGAGCAAGCTAAAGCCCAAGGCTTGCCAACCGACACCCAAGACGGCGATAAGACGTTCAAGTTTGTGAGTCGAGAAGAGCTGTTCTCTACTTCTGACATAGTGACCGTGCATCTGCTGTTGTCAGACCGCACACGGGGCTTGATCACGTCGGAGGACTTATCAACAATGAAGCAATCTTCATTTTTTATAAATACCTCCCGTGGACCATTGGTGGTTGAGGATGAGTTGCTTGCAATTCTCAAGGCAGGGACTATTAGAGGAGCTGCACTAGACGTGTTCAACATTGAACCCTTACCAACGGATAGTGAGTGGCGAGACACGAGTTGGGGCACTAAAGGCAAGAGTCGGGTGCTTCTGACACCACATATTGCATATGTGGAAGAGGGCGTCATGAATGAATTCTATGAGCATCAGGTCGCAGAATTAGATAGGTGGTCGAGGGGAGAGGCCTTGAACAATACTATGTATTAATGGTTGTGATCACCTTGATCAAAATGCACATATTCAACTGACTATCATGCCATTTGACTACTGACCAGAAGTGACAATCAATATACATATAGGTCATATAATATTTGCCCGTCTATTCCAAATCCTCAAGCCAGCTTGAAATCTCTACATTACTCGACGAGGCATACCTTGCCTTGGGCAGTGGGTGACTGTAACTGTGCTTGTTTGTTAGAATCATAAGTACTTTTATTTCGCTTGGGTGATTCTGGTTAATCACTTTTAGAGGCTGGCGGGAATGGGGGCGATTAGACCCTATTCTTGGGGGAGCACAGGAAGGGACGGGAATATAAAGTCATGAAGGTCTTTTTTGTAATGAGTGGTGGACCATCACGGACCTGTTGCTTGAGCAACACTATTCTGAATGGCGCACCATGAAAACCAATCGTCGAACTAGCTAAGAGAAGAGGGATCAAGGCCGAGGAGCGATACGATTATTAGTTGGAGAGGTGATGATGTAAATCAAAAAGGGGACTAGCGTATAGCATTGAAGTCCTTCACCCTATGTTTCATTTCCTATCCATCGTTGAGTGCAGCGTGTGTCGCTTGACGAATGAGATGCTGAAAAGGGCCATTGCAGCCCAGCAAACCGTCATCAACCATACAATCCTGAAGGATTCCATAAACGCTGCCATAACACCATGCCACCAACCTTCTGGGAGGTGCTTTAGCTCTTCTAGCCCACCTAGAATACGTTGGATCTCCTCAGGTCCGCCCGATCTGTCTCCAAAAATGTCCCATAGCATCTCTTTCAGATTGCTTTGATAGGCTGTAGATGCCATTGTTATACCAAGCGTACCACCTACACTCCTAGCCAAAACTGCAATGGATGTTAGTGACATGAAGGTCGACCGTCCGTCCGGCCGGCAGTGGATGACGATGGGTCGGTACTTACAGATAGCTGATGTGACAAGTGCTTGCTGCGAGTGTTCGACTGCAGCAAGGCATGAAACAGTGGCCGTGGTCAGCACAGTGCTGAAACCTCCACCAACAAAGAACAAAGCGAGAGGGGTCATGTATTTCGGACTGTTCTCGTCTTGGAAAGTAAATAGGATAGTACCGACAATCAAGACTAAGGCACCCAATACTCCAAAGGGCCGGTATTTTCCGGTCCATGCCATCAAGTATCCCGTCCCAAGAGCACTGATCGACCCACCCAGTGGCGATGGCAGAAACTTAAGGCCAGCGGTTGTGGTAGAGTCGCCGAGTACTTGAAGGTAGAGGGGCACGTAGAATGTGGTGGCCATAAGAAGCATGGAGATGAAGAGACTGGCGCTGCAAGCAGCGAGGACTGTGCGATCCCGGAGAAGGGCCACGGGTATAATAGGTTGTTTCGCTTTCCCCTCCCACCAGATAAAGCCGGCAAAGCAAAGCATTGAAAGGGGGATAGTGGTAAGCGGTAGAGGATGTAACCATGGTACCGTGTTACCGCCCGTGTTTAGACCGAGAAGTAGCAGTATCAAGAATGAACACGTAAAGAAGGCGCCGAGGAAGTCAATTCGTGCAAGGTATGACTTGTCGGACTGCTTGGGCGGTACTTTGACCAGTACCCCTATAATCGGGATGAGTAGTAATGAAGGTGGTACTTGTATCAGGAATGCGAGCCTCCAACCGGTAACCGTGCGGTCTTGGAATAATCCGCCGACGACAGCTCCAAGCATGGCACCGGCGCCATACCACAAGTTTGCAATGCCTTGCATAATACCTCGCTTGCGCAGTGGTGTGAGATCGGAGGTCAGGAATGTAGCAATGCTAATCAGTCCACCTCCACCAACTCCCGCAATAATACGGCCGATAATCATGGAAGAATGATTTGTAGACAGGCCACAAACCAAGTTTCCTGTAGCAAACAAAAGGTTACTAAGTATAAGGCCAAGCCGTCGTCCGAATATATCCGTCAGTCGACCAGCGATAGGTTGGGTGGCTGCATTCGAGATGAGGTAAGCTGTGGCTAGCCACGAGAGCAGGCTTAGCGAGTTGAATTCGCTAGCAATAGGAGCCGAGAGAGTCGCAATAATTGTCGAATCTAATGCTCCCAGAAAGATGCCAAACCATGCAGTGGCCATGATAAGTATCAATCGTCTAAGAGGCGGTTCTTCGATGACGATAGTCCTCTCTTCATCTTGCTGTTTTGCGAAAAAGTCGCCGCTTGTACATGTCGGGTGCGAGTCCGAGTCTGAGTCGTTCAGCAGCGGTGTGGTCTCGGTAGGGAGGTTAGAAGGACGGACTTCCTCTATTTCCGCTTGAACACGTGCCATGATGTTCTTCTGTGTCGCTCTGAAGCTAAATCGCTTGATCGGATCAAAAGTGTACCACCGCTATTATAGTTGGTATGCGTAAGGATTGTAATGTGATGGTATGGGCAGATGAGCTTTTATAGCACCAATTCATCCCGACAGATATCGAGATTCGTTTAAAAATTAAGTGGTGTCACGGGAAATTTGGGTGACGACCATGATTGTTGACTGAGTACATACATGTCTCACAGCACAACCTTTGCGTAATCTTCGTTCAGTGACTAGAGGCATCAGTGGGGTAGATGGGGTCCGAAGTACCAGTTGTGGCGTGCGTGGGCAAGAGCACAAATTATTTAATAGCTCATCGAGATCCGCGTTCAGCGCTGAAGAGGATCTTTTCTCCGAGCGGGAGCTGGACAATGACTGGGCTGAGCTGAGCTGAAATATTGACATGTTAACCTGGTTGCCTGAAGGGTGTTACGAAAAGTGTTATTTAAAGCTGATCCTAGCGCAAACTGCGCCCCTTACCTCGTTAACCTGAGATTGTATAACTTGATTGGCCTTAAACCCCTGCTATGTCGCCGATCGCGGTTCTCGCCAAGTACTTTGCGAGCCGCTGTGGATACTCCAGCCGCTGTGGATACGGTGACTGGGCCCAGGACTCTTTCTTCCCGCCCTTCCAACTCCCGTAAGTGGGTAATACTGAACAAAAGTGCCGAATGTCTTGTAACATCATATCGTTGGATAAGGGTGTGGAGGAAGAAATAGGTAGGGAGGGCTCGTGGTCTCAACTAGATAGATGTACAGATCTACAGGCCAGCCTGTTATAATCTAACAAGTAGATTAGTTACCCTATATACAGCCCTACATTTTTTACTAATTATATTATTAGGATATTTAATAAATAATTAGTACTAAACCTTAATAATTAATATTAATCTAATATAATTAATACTAATCTACTAAAATTAGTACTAATTTTAAAATAACTGTATTAGTTAAAATATATAATAAGCAAGTATTGTAGTTAAGTAAGTATTATACTTTTCCCCCCTATATTATTACCTATACCTAATTAATTAGTTCTTAACTATAAATTATATTATAATCTTTAATTAAGGCTAAAACCCTTCTTATACTTTAAGTACTTTAAAATAATCTAGAATTAAGTACTTAATATACTATAAAGATATATAATATCTCTAAATATAGATTATATTACTATAATAGTAGTATTTAATTATAAAGTAATTCTACTTTAAATTTATAAAGATTATTTAATTTAAAAGAATAAATAATAGTTTAATTTATCTTTAACTTAGATTTATAAGGATTTCCCTTATAACTATATTTTATAAAAGAAATAGCTAATTCTTTACTTACTAATTGTAATATATTACCTATTAGTAAGTACTAAGCTTATAACTTTATAAAATAATAACTAAAACTAAAGATATATATCTTTTATAGATATAACTATTAAAAAGCTAAATATAAAGATCTAACTATTATTTATAACTAGTTTAGGCTTATATAGAATATAATTATAAAGTATAATATTTAACTAGGTAATATTTAGAACTTTAATAAGATTAGCTTTATAATAGGCCTTATATAGTTTAGAATAGCTATTATAAGTATAGAAAGGTAAAAAAATTAAAATTAATTTAGCTTAGAAACTATAAATAGATTACTATAATTTTAGTAATTAATATAAAAGGTTAATTAATTCTATTATTTATTATTAGTTTAGGTTAATATTACCTTATAAATTAGTACTAAGAATATAACTTTCTTAGTAATTAGGTTATTATAATAAGTTAAAATAAATAGATAAATAATAAGCTAAGTCTTAAGTAGCTAAAGTACTTTAATTAATTAATAGTAAAGAGATTAGTTAGTTTTTATTACCTTTTAATCCTTAATAGTTATAAAAGTTACTACTTAGTTAACTTTAAGAGATATTATTAAGATTATAAGATTATTATACTTTATATACCTACTTATATATTTTACTTACTTTAACCTTTTAATATTAAGTATTTTCTAGTACTAAAGAATATATATAGTTAAGAAATAAAGTATTTAATTAAATACTTTATAACTTATATTTTAAAGACTAAGTTCTTTTTTACTTTTTATACTACTTTTTAAACTACCTTTACTAAAAGTAATATCTAAGGGGCTTTTAAAGAAGCTAGATTTTATTTTCTTAACCTAAAAACTATTATATTAAAGCTTAATATATAGCTATAGACTTTAATACCTTTTAAGAAAGTAACTAACCCTTCCTTTCCTTAGACTTTAAAGATCTTAAGAATAATAATAAAGACCTAATCTTAGTTTAAATACTTTATTAAGTAAATTAAATAGTATTATAGTAGCTTACTAAAGTTAATTATTAAGGCTTTATACTATCTTTTTAAGAAAGCTAAAGTAGTAATATATAAGGTAACTTTACTAGTAGTAAAAAATAAAGAACTTTAATAAGTAAATAAGATACTAAGCTAGTACTATAAATAGAAAAAGACTAAATTATAAAAGAGAAGGGTAATAACTATAAAAAAAGTATTATAAGTAATTAATTAAATAAATATTAATATATAAGTAGTAGTTAAATTATTAAAAAGTAGTAAATAAAAGAGGTTAATTAAACTAAGTATTTAATACTATAGTATATATAGTAAAACTAAGTATAATATAAAGATCTATAAGGTAGTTCTAGAGGTATCTAGAGAATAGTATAGTAAGTAATTTTAATTAATTAGATAAATTATAGAAATCTTATTATATAGATAATAAAGGATATATAGAAAAGTGTAATACTTACTTAACTGTAATACTTGCTTATTATGCATATTATACTTAAACTAAAGTAAGAAAGTTTATTTAGTACTACTTAAGATTACTTTCTTCTTTATTCTCTTTATCTTTAAGTTATAAGTAAACCTTTAATTCTTTTAAATAAAAAGTTATATCTAGGTATAATTCTAGAAAATAAGCTCTATATTTAGTTATAATTATTAGAAGAATGTGGTTTTCTATCAGTGGATAATTAACGTGAAGGACCTTGTAGAGACATGGCGCCAACGCCGACCAGAGGCCGGAGTTCACTATGCTAAGGTTCTCCTGGTCATCTGGGTCAAGATGATCCGAAATACTGAGGAGCACCTCCCGGGGTACTCTCTCTAGTGATGATATAGATATTAGTTAGAAAGTGAAGTTTGTGACTGGAGGATGTCGCGATATTGGAGCTAACAATGGAGGGTTGCCCGCTTTATACCCACCCCATAATAAAATCAACGCTTATCGCTTCCTGGATTTAGCCTTTATGCTAATCGGTTCACACATCTGAATACTTCAATGGTAATTGGTCAGCACGACGGTGCGTGCCTTTGATCTGTTGGGCAGCTATCCTCCCAATCTGAATAATGGATTGACTTTGTTATTATGGTTCCATCAACGGGTCCCAAATACATAGTATCATGTAGTATCTGCTTGATATGGCGTAGTTTTGTATGTCTATTACTATGTACATTGAAGTAACTCAGCTTATAGTATATGGTCCAAATCCATTGATGATATTCTTATCTGACCCCCACGCTCCTCTCCAATCTCGTTGGGATCAGACCTCATAATACGGTGTCCTGTTTCTGGTTAGGATTGTTAGCCTGGATTTTGAGCTGTGACATGACAAGATGAACTTACAACCCCTGCACTTGAAGGACTTGATGTTACCCCACTTGTAACGCTCGAGGGAGGCGCAGGCCCTGTTGGTAGGACCATTGCTGTCCTGGTATCTACCGCCGCAGTTGGGCGAATCATAAACGATACAGTTTCCAGCTTCCTGGATCATGGAACGAACGTCGAATCCACCATTGCAGCCGCGGTTGCTGGTGCCGCCGTTTAGGTACTCGGTGCACTTGGTGTTGGCATTACCTCCGCTGAAGTTGATGCAGGCTTCGTTGTTGCCAGCACCAGAGATGATGCGGTAAGTGCTTTGTCTGTTGGCTTTGCAATTGCCCACATTGTTGTAGGCGGTGACTGTGTCCAGTGTCAGTTCGTCACATGTGGTAAGCTTTCTGAGCATGAGACATACCTTGCCAGGCCTGAGTACCAGTGGCCAAAGTGGCCAGGACAACGGCGGTGATAGATGTGAAATGCATTTTGAATGTTGAGAAGAGAGTATGATAGATAGTGAACTGATGTCTGGATGCTGAAAAGAATATTTGACTTGGAAATGGCCCCCAATTTATAGCTTTACGAAGACCTCTATGACGTTCAACTATGTGAAACTGTTGACTTTTCATAAAGGTTACCGTATACTAAACTGCTGAATCCCCACTTACAGTAACCTAGACTGGCCGCATCCGTGACTTCACCGCCGAAGTTGTGGATTTTACCCATAAATACTCGTGCAAATTACCCATTGTAAACTAAGCGAGTCTACCTCGCCGCACAAGCATTCCGAACCTTCCTTATCATTATTAGCCCAGAATCCTTCAGCCATCATAATTGCCCTAATGATTTAAGCCAAGGAATCCTTCGGAAAATATCCTTCCGAACCCCAGTTCCACCTCCACATACCCTTACTGCTTAGAGAAAAATCTCCGTACAGAAGATCTAGATTCATCGTTGGCATTTTCCGAGAACCTATTCAGCCAATTAAAAACCCCAAACTAAGAACGTTGCGCTGTCATCGGTTATGTATTCTGGCTGATATGTCATTTTCTTTCTCTTCGTATACGAGCCTCACGATAGTGGCGACTAGAGAAGGAGCTCGTCGGTCCCGAAAAACAAGAACCAGCTTATAGAAGATATCCACTTTTATTAGTTGTGCAAACTACAAGCAGAAACTATAATTAATAAGAAACTAAGTCACTGTTACATAAAAATGAAAGGCTATTTTTGCAGAGCAGGCCATCGCAAGTCTGAGGCGCCTGCCCTTCCACAAGTTTATCGATATACAAAGAGCCATCAGTAGCCAAGAGGCCTTGCTATACACGGAACATCTCATCCCAGTATCAGCAGAACAGCGATATTATGAAGAAAATGCTTTGAAACCGTGCATGCTATTCTAGCGATTACCAAGAGCTTATCAGATGTTAGCTTCCCACAATAGATACCGTCGGGCTTATATCTTGTTATTGACCATATTCACTGATCCTCTGCGAGTTTGCTATCGAGACCACCAAGGACACTTGGGATAGAGGCTCTATTTGGGGGTTGCTAGTGGCATTCTTGGAGATGAGATGCCCGCAATACGGATAGCACATGACTTTTATTCAGCTGAATAACCAGTGGACAATGATATTTATCTTCCACTATGCACTTTATCCTCAATAAGCTACAAACCAAGGTCGTGATGATTGATCTCAAATGCAGCCTCACGCTACAATTATCACAGAAACATTTAGCAGGCGAGGATTGGAAATTCAAATGCTCCCTGCACAATTGCTGACTATTATGCTATCGATCACCCCAGGTCTCCCTCTCCTGCTTTCTAATCTTCTTAATAAACCAGCGGGCTATGTAACTTAGGCATACATCGTCCGCATAATCAAGAGCATCTTCCTTATGACAGTCTTCAAGACATAGACTTGCTCCATTCTCCAGAAGTAAATCAATGACGTCACATTGGTTCCTATCGACAGCAAACATCAAAGCGGTCTGCCCTCGATTATCTTGACTATCGACATTGGCATTGTTGTTGATAAGTAGGTCAGCAATCAACGAACTTTTCTCAAATACCGCAACTAATAAAGCCGTCTCACCACCTAAATTCCTCGCATTGATATCAATTCTTTCGTGCTGGAGAAGTGTTTTGATATTATCCACCTCATCATACTCTACCGCCACCATCATTGGGGTATGTCCAAATAATCCAGTCATAGAATTCACGTCTAGCGGACTGTTAGACATAGGGGCTAATAGGTCTCTTAGGATGAAAGGGACTGAGAGAGTAGCTGCGTTATGAAGAACAGATGATATTCTGTTATACACCGTAGCATATCGGGGGTTTAGTCTTGAACGGAAATTGCTTATGGCATGTTTGACGACCGACTCTCCTTCATTATCGGAAGTCTGGACGGCGTGATGCATCCAGGACTCCCGAGAGTATGTGTAGAGAGCAAACGAAGGGAAAAATGACAAAAGTACAACATGCATTACGTGACAGGCGGCCAGTTCATCTGCTATTTGCCAATCCTTGTATTCGCATGAAACGATGGCTTCTCGATGATCATCTGTCCAAAAGTCGAAGGCGTCTGTGAATTCAGCAAGATAATCTCGCCAGTCCTGACGGGCCGAGGTCTCCAGCTCAACAAATTCGTGACGCACATCAAAATCACTGAGGCTAAATTGTTCGGATCGATCATAATCTGGCAATTCCTCGGGACCTTTACTCTCCATAATCAGACAGATGATTGATGGATCGAAAGTATCAACCCATTTCTGAAGGAGGGTTGACAAACGAGTTTCTGTCAGCCACCACAGGCATGTGTTGAGCAGCAAGCCGTGCCCGCCTGCTATCACCCTTTGGTGTGTATTCTGCTTCGGATCAAGAATTTGAAAGCCATCCTTTATCAGGAAGTCCTTAACTGATTGGTGGATGAGAAGGACCTTTTCATCCTTTCCCTTAACTTCTGCTAGTCCCCCAGACAGTGTTCTGATCAGTTGCTCCATCATTCGGTCAGTATCATCCTGCAACGAATCAGGAATTTCCGAGATGGAGGAACACGTTGATTCCTTAACGTTGATGTTGAGAGCATAACGAAACACTCGTAGGGGGAGACTCTGCTGTGCGAAGCAGAGCCATTGGAAGAGTTGGAGAGACATTTCGAATGTATCTCTCGACAGCCGTCGAAGGATGCCCGCATAGATTTCTGAGATTTGCTTGGGGGTACTGCGAATTGCTTCTTCAACACCCAAGCCACACATATGTAGTCTAATAGCTTTCGCCGTCACAAGGTTTGCCCATAGAAAGTTGCCAGATGCGGATTTGACTATCTCCGTCTGAAGGTTACTCCTCCGATTTTCATCTTGAATTGCCCGCTCCAACTCTTGTTGCACGTACTGCTCAATAGCCCGTTCATTTTCCTGGCCAACGTCGATATGAGGATCGTTCTCAATGAGGGCCAGATGTGGATAGTGTCGACAAGCGAAGCATATGCTCAGCTTATGCGGTTTGGTGCGCATTTTTTGTTCGACCTCTCGAAGGCTTTGTACCAGATCCTCTATCTGTTGAGTGTCGTTTTCATCTTCTCCAACACGGCATTCGTCAAGGGCGTCGACGAAAATACGGATGTCAACATGTTCAAGAACTGCTGCAAGTGATTCCTCAAAAAGTCGCGCTAGGTATGGTGCTGCCCATCTCGAATCTTGGGAACCTTGGGAACCTTTCGGTGCGTATGTATCGAGTTCCTTACAGAAAGGCCGCATTAGACGGGGGCACCTCACAAGAAGCTGCCGCAGAAGCCCCCTCAAAAGGCCCTCCGTTGTATGCTGGAGACGCCTTCCTTGGTTGTGAAAAAAGAACGACAAGATCTGGGTTGACGTCTCGCCACCCAGTTCTCGGTCTTTCTTCATAGCGTTTTTAATAAGAGTGCTTTTTCCACTTCCTGGGTTCCCAAGAATCCAGAAAACGCCATGCCCTTCCCCGTGCCAGTTTTGAAATACAGGAAGTTCAAGCATCCATTGGCAGGTCGTTTCGTCTACTTCGCGGATCCGACCTGGTTCATAATTGATCCCACTAAAATACAACACCTCGAGGCATTTATCGTGTCGTTGTTTGGCAGCTGCCCTCAGATTGAGCGCCGCTTTGCTTCGAAACTCTTTAAGTCTCGAAGTCAACTCTCGAAACCCTTCGGTCTGTGGAGAATTGAATTTGTGGAGCATGTTATGTCTGACATCGAGGCCGACTGTATCGACGCCTTGAAGGCAAGCAGACTGCTTCTCGACAACCTAGGTTCAGCTTAGTCAGTAAGGGATATTACAAAGGGACGTAAACAACAACATCTTGCAAAAGTTTGCATATCAAAGAAGTAGAGTAGATATCAGGTCAGGGTTCTACTTACAATCCCATGACCATCTCTATCTAGTTCGCTGGCGTAAGATGGTGGCAGCCTTTTTATATAGGAAGAGACGTATGTGTGACGTGTCTCGTAGAAACACACTACGCCAATTTTGTAATCTTCGTTGTGAATCAATAGCGCAAAATCCTTGACCAGGTCATCAAGAGGGCTCGGGACGTCTATTGTTCCTGGTCTAAGATACGCCATGAGTTCTCGATTGTATTCGTAAGAGGCATCGGACGCGGCGTTTACGCGAAGATCGGCAACAAAGTACCCGGTTGTCCAACTACCCCCAAACGGAGTCCCGAGGAAAGCTACACCGGCGACACAGTCCAAAATCTCGAGGTTATCGCTGCAGTGTGGAAGGAATCTTTCGGTCGCCCGAACAAGAGCCTGGTTCTCACTTAGTTCTCAGGTCTCTAGTGATGTAGATAAATTGAGATTGTACCTTCGCCAATAACAGACCACTGAAGCAAGAAGCAACAAAGATCAGCGGAATGCCTTTTCGTTTCTACTGATGTCAGCATAATTTCGCGTTCATTCAAAAGACACCTTACAAACTCCTCACGGTCCCTTGCTATGCGTCTGAGGAGAGTATCCGCATGGCCAAGAAGTCTTTCCCGAGAGGCTGTTTTGTCATAGTTGCCATTCCAGTCATATGTCAAGACGCGGGCGTCGGGCATTGCAGCAGGTAGCATGTGGTCATCGCTCAGCCAATTGACATCCCCGGATGACGGATCGACTTCGCGGGCCCAAGCAATCCAAGTCTTTGGTGACTGGGCGTCTAGGCCATGCATACAGATGATACTGGAGAAGTAAGGTGATTGGTAACACCTATGTTGAATGGGACGACTTACTCCACTGTCTTCTTCTCTGTTGACTCACGATCAGTAGGTTCTGGGTGAACCTGAAAAAGCCCAAACCGCCTGGGCTGGGTCATAATTGCGTGCAATAATTGTCTCTCAACGTTGGAATCAGTCTCATTACGAGTTGGGGGAGCGAAGATAGACAAAAGGTTGGGTTGTCGGGACCTAAACAGGTAAGATGAAAATAAAGCTTTGCGGCTGTGAATTGGGCCTCGTTGCCCAGCGGCAAAACTGCCTTGGCATCACGGTCTGAGATCCTCATTGTCTCTCAAAGTGCTTGGTCGTGGGTCAACCTGCATGATCTGAGAGTGGGTAATGGTGGCGCTGCTCATTTTACAGCCCGAACACTACTACCCGCTAGGCACTCTTGCGGAACAGATCAAGCAGGCTGTGTCCTAAGCAGTCATTATAATACTACATAACATATAAACCCCCCTTAGTGTGAGTCTTAAGATGGAGATGTTTTCGGGTAGCACCATCGGAACATACCCTAAACAACCTCCATACTAGAACGGACCGGGCCCCTGTTGTTCCGAGGTACAAGGGTATTGGTGATTTCGTAAATACAAACCAATGAACATCGGTCCGCGATCTGCCAGCCGCACACATGCATAAGCTGAGCGCTTCCGTTCCGCATTGATGCCTAAATTTCGATGTGATACTCCGCACAATTATGATTGATTCGATGCCTGAACAAGTATCAAGTTTCATCTGCCATTTCACTATACTGGCACAAATGCGAGTGCCATTTGCCGATTCTTGCCCCCCATTGGCACACAGACAACTAAGCAGACGTCTTGGACTACCTTTGGTTGGCCCGTTGTAGTTCGAGAGTACAGCGCATCTGTGGCTGTGCAAAGGTTTTCTTTGTTTCTCATCGTTATTTCGGTCAAGATTTATGGCTATAGGTCCTCGAGGGAACTCGATACTTTGATCTCATTCTCTCCACTCCACTGTCACAGCAGTAACAAGATTTGACATTGAGTCAGATCCGCACAATACGAAAAAAAAATGACGACTAAACCCATGAAGCTTTACGGTCGGTATACACCATTGTCCACTAGTGAAATTCGCCTTGTTCGACTTAGCACCGACCTCACCCACATCATAGCTGGACAACTTGAAGTGGCAAAATTGGATGATGCACCTCCGTACTATGCAATAAGTCATGCTTGGACCCAGGATCAAAGTCCGGCAGTAGTACAAGATGGGGACGGATTTAGCTTGAGCAAGAGCCTCTCAACATGTCTTAAACGACTCCAGCAGCTCAGTCACCAAAACAATCCTTTTAGCCCCCCACTTCGGCATATTTGGATTGACAACATTTGTATCAACCAGACAGATACGGTTGAAAAATCATCTCAAGTAGCCATGATGAAGAGGATCTATAGCCAGTCGCTAAGAACAATAATTTGGCTGGGTGAACCGGAGTCTGCGCTAAGTGCTGGCGCATGGCAGCTCATTTCCAAGATCTATAATGTCTTCAGACAGGAAAACCCAGAAGCAAAGGTCATAGCCGACATACCTCTCCGGATCTACAATCAGGAACGTCATCTCGATCTGGGTTTGCCACCATTGGACGATCTCCGTTGGAGATACCTTAAGCGCCTCATGAGTTTAAGGTGGTTCTCTAGAATCTGGGTTATCCAAGAGGTCGTTTTATCGAGCCAAGACCCGCTTGTTCTACATGGCAAGCAAATCCATGCGTGGGAGCCTCTAGGTTGGGCGGCTGCTTGGTTACGGAGATCTGGGTATATGCGTCTTCCTCAATTACCGGAAGAGTTGCGGAATGTGGACACTATTTCCAACCTTCGAAGGGTGACAACGTCCTGGCCTCTGGCTGCTTTGATATCGATTACACAAATAAAGTTCCAAGCAACCGATCAAAGAGACAAGATATATGGGCTTCTAGGATTGGCAGCGGAGTGCCATGGTACGATGGGACTCCCGGAAGAGCTAAAGGCTGACTATAGCCTGGAAGTGACCGACCTGTACCAAAGGGTAGCACGCTTCTTGATGGAACAGAGCCAATCACTTGCAATGTTGACTCGCGCAAAGGGCCTCCCAGGCACGGAAACAAGAGAGAACCGTCAACATGATTTGGCGTTACCTTCTTGGTGCCCAGATTGGAGTGACTTTCACAGTTACAATCTCGGAATCTCTACAAGTTTATCCTGGATTCACTACCCAAAGGGTGCGTCGCCTGCGGTTCTCGGTTTCCCGCACCAATACAAGGCGTCAGGTGACTCGAAGTTGGAATGGGCGAGCGGGGAGAATTCGCCAGAGGACAAATCAATATTGGAGATTGATGGCTTCAAGGCCGACCGGGTACACGGCGTCCACCGGCTGGACATCAATCGTCCCAAAGACGGCGAAGAAACAGATGACCACGGAAGAAAGATGGTCCCGGCCTTGGAACTCGCGATGTCGCTTGTCAAACCTCACAGTATACTGCCATGGGCTATAAGCTTCATCCAAAGTACTACCGCAAACCAACATCAACTGAATGGACAAGACGCTAGTCAGGGTTTCGCTGACGGTGCGGCTTGGCTATACGAGTTCTTCGAGAAATCAGAGAATATACCTCCAGCTGTGAATATGCAAAAGGAGATGATGGCCGAGCTTCAGAAGAACGCTATCAATGGCACATCAGAGCGTTATGAGGCTCTTGTTAGGAACTTCTGCTTTGATCGTGCGTTCGTTACTACGTCGGGAGGGCGGACGGGAATAGCTCCTTCGAACACAGAAGTAGGCGATGCCATACTGGTCCTACCTGGGGGAGGTGTGCCATACATAGCAAGACCTCTTGGTGGTTACTGGTCATTTGTTGGGGAGTCGTTCATTGACGGACTTATGGAAGGTCAAGCGCTTCACCTCGAAAAAAGGGTTTTCAACTTTAGGTGATAGGGACCTAGAGATATATTTTACTGCTTGAACACATTGATCTTAACAGACTTAACCTGCGTCCAATCACCCAACGCATCAATTCCATTCTCCCTCCCAAACCCACTCTGCTTAATCCCTCCAAAAGGCGCATTCGCACTGATACTTCCCCAAGTATTAACAGTTACCATACCCGCCTCAATCTGATCCGACACCCTAACAGCACGGCTAATATCATTTGTAAACAAAGCCGCCGCCAAACCATACTCATTATCATTTGCCAAGGCGATAACCTCGTCTTCGGTCTTGAACTTGGCGATGCTGGCAACTGGACCGAAGACTTCTTCGCGCATGATTGTGTCGTTGGGTGAGACGTTGATGAAAGCTGTGTTGGGGACAAAGTTTCCTTGTTCCTCGGATGCGCCATGAAGAACCTCTGTTCCTTCCTTCTTAGCTTTGGCGATATACTCCATGATTCGTTCCTTTTGCGTAGAGCTGATGATAGGGCCCTTGGCGGTCTCAGGCAAAAGGGGATCGCCGGCAACGGCATCCTTTGTCCTCGCTGTGAACTCAGAAATGAACTTATCGTAGATGTCCTCCTGGACATAAATTCTACTACCAGCGGCGCAGATCTGTCCATTATGCAAAGTAATTCCCGCCGTTGCAAAAGCAAGCGCATTCTCAAAGTTGCAGTCATTAAAGACAATACTGGGTCCTTTACCACCCAATTCAAGAGTTACGCGCTTGAGATTGGACTTTGCCGCGCTAATGAGGATTCGACGACCGACAGCAAGGCTGCCTGTAAAGGAGAGCTTGCGAACTTGGGGGTGGTCAGCAAGGGCTTGACCTGCGACATGACCTAAGCCGGGAAGGACGGAGACGACACCGGCGGGGAAACCGGCTTCAAGGATAAGCTGGGCCAGCTTTTGGCCGTAGAGGGGGGTTAGTTCGGGAGTTTTGAGGATGAGGACGTTTCCGACTGCTAGAGCAGGGGCTAGCTTCCATGCCGTGATCATGCTGCCATTTTGTTAGTGACATTTGAGAGATGAGTTGGGATGGGAATCTTACAGGGGAGTGTTCCATGGAACAACAGCAGCACAAACACCGATAGGTTCGCGCTTAGTATACGCCAATCCCTGATCAAAATCCATAGCCTGCCCATCGATTTTATCCGCCCAGCCGGCAAAATAGCGAATAGTCTCAACAGCCTGCACGACACAGAAACCAAGAGACATATTGAACAGCATACCGCCATCAACAGCCTCTAGAGAAGCGAAATCTTGCGCATCACGCTCAATCAGGTCAGCCAGTTTGTTTACCAACCTTCGTCGCTCTCCATGGCTGGTCTTCCATGTCTTGAGAGCTTCCTGAGCTGCGGATACAGCGGCGTCAACGTCGGCGGGTTGAGCGGCTGAGACTTCGCCTAGAGGGGTGTTGGTTGTGGGGTTAAGGGTTGTGAGGGTCTCGGAAGATGTTGAGGGGATGAACTTGTTGTTGATGAAAAGACCAGTTGGGACTATTTTGTCAGTAGATGTTGGTTTAGAGTATAGTGCTGGACATACCTTGGATCTTGCGGTCGCCCGCGCCAGTGATAGTAATGTCAGCCATTTTTACAAAAAGCAAGAGAAGATAGCAGTAGTATGACGGATTCCGAGAAATAATTTGAGAAATAATCATACGATTTATATACCTACCAACATATCCTGTGGATCTCGGAATGGATTCGGAAACATATAAGCATCCCTTCCGGAACCGCAAAGCCGCCGGCCCACGGCAATCCCTGCTCCACAACTCCACGGTTCGGACAAATAAGACACAAACACCTACCAAACTGACCCGCGCTTCCCGCAGTTACAAGGGTATTTGCTGACCTTGATTGTCTCGCCGTGCTTAGCGAAACTCCATGTTGAAGCGAATTTGCGTTTCACTGTGTTTATGCTTATACAGTACGCAACAACCGTTTGCTTACGTGCTCGTCAAAGACTCCACTCGCTCATTCTCGTGAAAAAAGGCCATTACGTGAGAATTCACCAAGTACTGATTACTATCTAGCTCCTGGACATTACCTTCTCTACCTCCTCAATTACATTCCATCCATAAAAGAAATCTCGAACAGGCTTTGTAAAATTCATCGCTGAAGCAGGAAATATTCCATCACCATAAATGTCTTCTGCGCGTTGTCGCAAGATACTGGCTAGTCCAGGTTGGGCGTCTGATAAGAGTTGGGTGGCGTGGATCCGACGTTTGAGAATCTTATCATACAGCCCCAGACGCTCGGCGACGTCGGCGGGGTTGGTGGTGTTTCTGAAGAGTGCTCCGAGGGCTGCCGCTTCTTCAATCGCCAAGACCGCGCCTTGAGCTGTGATATTTTAGTGCTGAGAATAGGTCAGACGAAACCCGCTTACCATGAGTAGGTTGAATAGGATGTGCAGCATCCCCAATAATGACTCCCCGTCCCCTCGTATACGTCTCCAAAGGATCCCGTCTAAAGACCTTATGCACACTCACACTCTCCGCCAACCTAAACATCTCAGGTAGAACAGGATTGTACCGTTCGACCATAGCAGCAATGTCCTCAACATCAGTGTCATTATTCCACTCATGCGCATTTTCATTCTCTGGTTTAGTCGGGTGTCGAAGTGCGACGTTGAGCATGGTTCCATCTCGGCATGGGTATGTTACTACAAATGTGCCACAAGAGAGGTCGAACGGGACCCAGAAGCCTGGTGCCTCTTCGAAGATTGGGGCTAGTGTGGGATTCTGCATGACGGATGACATGGGAATTAGACACCGGTAGAATGAGGAGAGGGTGTCTTCGAGAGGTCCGGCGTCTTGGGCAATTTCGTTGATGAGTTGGGTCTGTCGTTGTCAGTATGTCACCACTCTTCATTCAAGCAACTTACGTGAACTCCATCAGCAATGACGATAAGATCCTTTTTAAAAACCTCGCCACTTTCAATCCTGATGCTGCCCGCCCCACAATCAACACTCTTCACCTTAACCCCATTCCGAATCTTCACGGGTGGCCCTTCACCCTCATCGCCAATAGCCATATTCTTTAACGCCGAATGCAAATCGATCCTATGATAGAACATGAACGGTGCACCGTAATCATCTTGAATCCCACTGAAATCTTCAACGATTTGGGGTTTAAGAGAGTGAGGGTCTACCATGCGCATCTGTTTACTATCTACTCCCTTGGCTTTCTTCGCGTCAAAGTCGAGTGACTGAAGAACACGCATTCCGTTCGGTGTAATCGTTATAGCTGCGCCAATTTCATTCTGAAAGTTGCTTCGTTCAAAGATCTAGATTTGTCAGGCTTAATTCTTGTTTTGTGAAAACTCTGTGTGCTTACCTCAACCTCAGCTCCCGCCCGACGAAGCGCGACGGCGGTGCTCAAACCACCTATCCCAGCACCGATGATACCGACCTTCAACGTCATGTTTGATGAGTTGCCAAGGAATTTGAACAGATGGCAGACGGGGTGCGCTGTTTTATGAAATTCTGCTACGCCTTAGGGTAAGCAGTAAGCGCTATTTTTAGGATCTGCAAATGACCCCGCGCTAAGGTGATAAGCCGGCTTTTATCGCTATCTAAGCTATTCCCCGCTGATTGGTCGCCTCAATCACGATTGTAGTCACTCAATTTTAGCTCAGCTTAGTTCCACATTATCTTGTGAGTACCAGTATATAAGCGACAGAGTTTAATCTTCTGTTATCTGGACATGTAAGCCATATTAGTTACCCATCGCTCTATGATAACTGAAGAACCCTTCCTGTGTAACCTCATCAGGTTGTTCCAGAAACTCAATCATGTACCGACTCCAATCAGGCCCAGGCTGGTAAACGTACTGAGTCTTACAGAACTCCCAATAGTCAGGCCACCACCCACTATAATGCCAATTGACGATTGACACGATCGTTGAAGGATTCTCCGGGTCAACGAGGATATTACTGCAATGAAGTTCGGCGTGGGTGAAAACAATGGCCGCATCGTCAGGAACCATCGCACGGTAAGGATCGGGGAGTTCTTCAGGCTTCATTCCTGGCCAATGGATCTCTGCACCTGTTCGAACTGTAATGGACCACCAGTCGTGGAAGTCTTTGACAGAGGCGAAAGGGCCAGGTCGAGGATTTTTCGAGTTGTCGATGGCTTCATCATAGAGAGGACCTTTATTGATTTGCCCTTCTTACCGTTAGTATGCCCTTCATGGAGTACCTTTCTGCTTACCAATGAAATGGTCGTTTGGGTCTTGAGATAGCTTTCGTAGATTATCGAACACAGCTCGAAGGGCCTTCCAGAAGCCAGTCTTTTCATCATCCGTCATAGATGGCCATCGTTTCTCGACGGTAACACCCTTGACCAACTCCATATAGAGAAGGACGTAGCCATCCTCAGTCGTCCACCCATATATATCAGGGACTGGAACTTCTGGGAGGAAATGGTTCAGCGCCCATAGGCACTGGCCTTCAGCAACTTGGACTCTTTCTTTCCCATACTTGGCTAGAAGTCCCAAACACTCGAAGATGACAGGGGAGGGGTTGTCCTTCTTATGGTCACCCTCCGAGTGTTGGCGAGAACTTTCTGCCCGCACCTCTGACAGAGTCGGGAGAGGTTGTCCGTTATTTCGAAAGAAGAATGAGGACTTGCGAAAGCTCGCATTTGGGCCTGAGGGAAGAGACGACAAAGAGATAATGCGTTTTGAATCTGCTGACATTCTGGAGTATCGAGAAGCTGAGATGTTAAAGCTGGAATATGAGAGCGAGCAATGGTCAATAATATTGATGTGTTGTCAAAATGCGTGATTTCTCCATTATGCTGTTGGTTGAACACAAGTCGTCGTAACCAAGCGTAAACAAGGCGACCAACAGCGTTAAAATGCCAGTTGGTTGGTTGCTGGTAGTGGGGAAACATAAACGTTTATGTGGTTCTACATTTTCTGTCCGATGGTGACATCAGTCAGCCAATAATAGCACTCACCGTGATAATCAAATGGAGGCAGGAGCTTTAAGGTCAAATAACAAATGAGGATTTGCTAAATCGCAACAAAGATAAAAGCCCGCTACGAATGACTAATGGTATCGACACTGCTGACTGCACGTACTTGGTTAAAATAAATGTAAGTTTCACTATAGATACGGTTGCAATGTAGAATAGTGTTAACTCATATGAGAAATGAACTAATACCTCAATCTTGTGATAGGAAACTATAGTACATACATAGAGAAAAGGCTAAGGGCAGACTGTGAAAGCTAACAGTACAGTAAACAGACAAAGAGAAAGCTATGAGCAGAGCATAAGAGCTAACAGTTGAGTGTACAGACATAGGAAAGAGATCGAAAGCAGATCTGTCGACAGATCGAGTGCATAGCCTGACATACAAAGAAAAGGAATCTTCAGGGATAGTTTGAAACAGTCTATACCGAAAGGTTGTTGCTGTTGACGCATCGAGCTCCATCGTTCCAAGTTGACGAGGGGCCTGTTGCTACAAAGACAGGAGCCCCTACGGTTGGGGCGATGGGGAACTTGTAGATGTTTCCGTTGGAGTTCTCCGAGCCATAGAGGTTGCCATCTGCCGAGGCATATACGGCACCGAATAGGTTGGAGCCGGTAACCATGCCGTATGCCCTGACGGACGACCATGTGTAGGCGGTACGACTAAAGCGGGATAGGGTAGCTGTAAGTCCGGCTGAATCGTACATGATTCCATACATAAAGTCGCCACCGCCAGGAACAAACGCCCAGTCAGCTAGACCCCCGGTGGTCACAGCAGTGCCACTCATGAGAATCTTGCCGTAGGTAGACGAGCCGGGCTTAAGGTCAATACACCACCAAGCCTTTCCTTGATTGGAAATCCAGTAACGGCCCATGTTGTCTATGTCACCCATTTGAACATTGGGATCTGACGTGCGAGTGGATAGAAGTGTATAGCTGCCGTCGCCACCGATGCGGATAACCTGTGAGCCCGTACTGTCCTGAACCATGCCGTAGATAAAATTGTCTAGCGAATTGTATCCGATAGCATTGAGATTGCCACCAGGCCCAATGGGGCTGGCAATAAGCGTTGTTTTTCCGGTAGTAATATCGACACGGTAGAAGGAAGTCTTTTGTGTGAGGTAGCCGTTGGGGTCACAATTCAGTGTAGGTGGACCAGAAGGCGCCGCGCTCGTACTTGAAGCAACCGCTGAGCTCGTGGTTGCAGGTGGAGACAGGTTCAGTGAAGTGGTGGGATCCAATCCTATGCACCTAGATCCATCCCCTGACAGTTTAAGGATAGCGCCGCCCGGTATAGCCGTAGGGTTGGTAGAGCTTCCTAATGCGAACTTCCATGTCTGGCCAAGAACATTCTCTTGTGCATACAAAGTCCCACCAGGTCCTGACCAGGCGGCGCCCCAATTCAAGTTGAGAATAGTAAGGACAAAGTTGGGGTACGACTGGAAGATTTCCCAAGTATGAGTTGTACGTGACCAGCGGACAACGTTGGTGCGTAGTAGACCGGATTGGATGATTGAGGCCTGTACAGCCCAGAGATAGTCTCCAGCACCAGCGATGTATACCCAATCACCCACGCCCGAGATGATGTCGACAGCGGATGTTCCGCTGCCGATAACCTGGTTGACAGTCGAGGAGGTAGGGTTCACGTCGATACACCACCACCTCTTACCGCTCTCAGATACCCAAAGCCGGCCTTGTTCGTCAACATCGCCCATGGTGATCGTGTTGGAAGGGATAGTAGTATCTAGAGTCTCATAGCTACCATCGGAGCCGATACGGATGAGCTGGGACTGGACACCACCAAGAACTGTGTTGACGACTCCTGAGATCAGATCTTGATTGACAACACCATAAAGATAATTATCGAATTTGTTGTACCCGATGCCGTTGATACTACCGCCAGCACTGATGGAAGACGAAATGGTTGAGCGAGCACCGGTAGTGCTATTGACGGTTGTGAGAGTATTACCAAGTAGGCTTGACACCACTTGGGCGTTTCCGTCGCAAGTAAAGGGTGGGAGAGGAACCTTGGCAGTAGAACATCTGGCGCCATCTCCTTGTAAATTGAGGATCGCACCACCGGGTATCTGGGTCGGATTGGCTGTACTGTTGATGTTGAATCTCCAAGTCTGGCCAAGAAGGTTTTCTTGACCATAGAGGGTACCACCAGGTCCTGCCATAACAGCACCCCACTCCAGATTAAGGCTTGTAAGCACAAAGTTGGTATACTTCTGATAGATTGACCAAGTGAATGTTGACCGTGACCAACGAACGATGTTTGTACGGAGCAGGCCTGATTCGATAAGTGATGTTTGTATGGCGTAAAGGTAATCACCTCCGCCAGGAACATAGGCCCAGTCGCCGACCCCAGAAATAATGTCAACAGCTGAAGTGCCACTGTTGAGTATCTTGCCAAAGGTAGACGAGCCAGGCTTGACATCAAGAGACCACCATTTCCTTCCACTTTCCGAGACCCAAAGTCGGCCCTGCTCATCGACATCACCCATGGTGATGGTGTTCGAGGGGATAGTAGCCGGTAGGGTTTGGTAGGCACCATTCGAGGCGATGCGAATTAATTGGGAGGAAGGACATCCGGTAAGACCGCATAAAATTCCTGAGACGAGACCTTGGTTGACTACTCCGTATATGTAGCCATCGAGCTGGTTGAATCCGATACCGTTGATCGCGCCCGCAATGCCACCAACGTTCAGCAGAGTTCCGCCGGGGCCAATTCCACTCTTGATTGTCGTACGTTGGCCAGTGTTAAGGTTGACCTTTGTAAGAGTATTACCCAGAAGCGTTGAAATGGTATATCCGTATCCGTCACAGCTGAAAGTTGGTCCAAAGGTAGCTTGCGGGTAGGGCGACGTCGTGCTTGATGTAGATATCGCCGCCACAGGAACGGAGCTGCTGATCGCGGGAACAGATGTGACTGGAGGCGGGACCTGAATGATAACAGTCCCGGGATCGCCCTGATTGGCAGGAGGTAAATAGGTGGTCGCGATCTGGCTGATGGTGGCGACGGTCTGGGTGCTTGTCTTGTTATACGGAATCGGGAGTTGAACCAAAACCGTGCCAGGATCACCTTGGTTCCCAGCGGGCATGTATGTTGTCATGGCTTGGCTGATGGTACTGACGGTAGTAGTTGTTGTTACGTTGTATGGAACTGGGAACTGGACCAAAACTGTGCCAGGATCGCCCTGGCTGCCAGCAGGGTTGTACACGGTAGTTGCATGAGTGATAGTACTGACCGTTTGTGTACTTGTCACATTATACGGAAGCGGAAGCTGGATAATGACAGTTCCAGGATCACCTTGTGTGGCCCCAGGATTGTAGGTAGTCTGAATCCTGCTGATGGTACTTAAGGTTTGCGTAGTAGTAACGTTGTAAGGAACTGGGACTTGGACGATAACCGTATTGGCGTCTCCCTGTACGCCGGCAGAGCTGTAGAGTGTTGTTGGTCGAGTAATTCCGGTAACTGTCTGTGTCGTTGTTACAGTGTAGTCGGGTGGTAGCTGGACTACAACAGTTCCGGGGTCACCCTGTGTAGCACCGGGGTTATAAGTAGTCTGAACCCTGCTGATGGTGGCCACGGTTTGGGTAGTAGTGACGTTATAAGGAACTGGGACTTGGACGATAACCGTATTGGCGTCTCCCTGAACACCAGCAGAGCTGTAGAGTGTTGTTGGTCGAGTAATTCCGGTAACTGTCTGTGTCGTTGTCACAGTATAATCGGGCGGTAGCTGGATCACGACAGTGCCAGGGTCGCCTAGGCTTGCACCAGGATCATATCTTGTCATGACACGAGTGATAGTCGCCACTGTAGTAGTTGTAGTGACATTATAAGGCAACGGGACCTTGACAAGGACCGTGCCAGGTGCGCCTTCAGTTGCCCCTGGCTGGTACGTAGTTGCTGCCTTGGTGATATCACTCAGGGTTGTAGTTCTTGTGACGTTGTATGCTGGCGGGAGATCGACATAGACGGTGCCAGGGTCACCTTGTGCTCCCGGGCTTGAAAACCGGGTAACAGGTGCTGTAATGGTAGATACAGTTGCTGATATCGTGACGTTAGAGTTAGGAGGTAGTTCGACAATAACGGTGCCCGGGTCGCCCTGTGTTCCTGCTGGAGCAAATGTTGTTGATGCCTTAGTGAGCGTCGGAATTGTTGTCGTAATCGTGACATTGTAGTCGACCGGAAGCTGGACAAGGACAGTACCTGGGTCACCTTGCGTTGCGCCAGGGTTATAAGTTGTTCTGGCCCGACTGATCGTACTAATGGTTTGAGTCGACGTCACATTGTAGGCTGGAGGGACTTCCACCAAGACCGTATTCGGATCGCCTTGGGAACCGGCTGTCAGGTATGTGGTCGTTAACCTGCTAATGGAGGTGACCGTTTCGGTTACAGTCACGTTATACTCCGGTGGAAGGTCCACATAGACTGTTCCAGGGTCGCCTGGGGATGCGGGGTTCGCAAATCGTGTAGCGGGCCGACTTATCGTTGGAACAGTTGATGTTACTGTGACATTGGAGTCTGGCGGTAGTTGAACTATAACAGTACCAGGGTCTCCTTCTGCATTGGCCGAGGCAAATGTGGTAGATGCTCGTGTGATTGTTGGAATGGTCGTAGTGACCGTCACATTATAAGCTGGCGGCAGATCCACATATATGGTTCCGGGGTCCCCGATGGAGCCTGGCTTTGAGTATAGGGTAGTGGGCTTCGTAATCGTCGAGATGGTCTGAGTAATTGTAACGTTGGAATCTGGAGGAAGCTCAATGATTACAGTGCCGGGGTCTCCCTGTGTACCAGCTGGAGCAAATGTGGTTGAGATCCTTGTAATTGTTGGGACAGTTGTAGTGACTGTAACATTGTAGTCAGGGGGAAGATTGACATAAATGGTTCCAGGATCCCCCATTGTACCTGGGCCAGAGTAGACAGTGGTGGGCCTTGTAATTGTCGAGACCGTTCGTGTTGTCGTTACATTGTATGCAGGAGGCATTTCAATAATAACGGTACCAGGGTCACCCACTGTAGCAGCTGGGGCGAAGGTAGTAGACTGCCTCGAGATAGTCGGCACCGTTGTTGTGATGGTTACATTGTAGGCTGGTGGCACGTTGATGTAAACTGTACCGGGGTCCCCAATTGTTCCAGGGCTAGAATATTCTGTGGTGGGTCTCGTGATGGTTGAGACTGTTTGTGTTACCGTTGTATTATACTCAGGTGGCATCTCAACAAGGATAGTGCCAGGATCGCCCTGTTCAGCTCCCGGAATGAACGTAGTGCTCTGCCTTGTGATGGTGTAGATCGTAGTAGTAGCTGTGACGTTATACTCAGGCGGCAAGTCGATATACACGGTCCCTGGGTCACCAGTTACAGCTGGAGCAGAGTAACGAGTTGCTGGCCTGCTAATTGTCTGAATTGTGTCGGTCGTTGTGACATTGTACTCAGGAGGCAACTGTATAAGGACTGTGCCTGCGTCCCCTTGACTAGCAGGAGGTATATAGGTTGTAGTTACTCGGCTGATTGTGCCAACCGTTGTAGTCATTGTGACATTGTGATTCGGCGGTACATCGATATACACTGTGCCTGGGTCTCCCTGGGTACCAGGGGGCACATACCTAGTAGCGGGGCGCGTAAGTGTAGACACAACGTCGACAATGGTGGTGTTAGTCTCCGGTGGCTCCTCTATGATGACAGTGCCAGGGTCACCCAGCTTGCTTGGCGATGCATAGGTTGTGGTAATGCGAGTTATCGTGCTGATAATTTGAGTCACCGTAACGTTCCTGTCAGGAGGTAGTCCAACAATGATAGTGCCAGGATCCTCAACGTTGGCAGGGGGTGCATAGGTCGTATAGGGTGTCGAGATAGTAGCAGCTTGTGTCGTGATAGTGACGTTCCTCTCTGGTGGAAGTAGCACAACCACGGTTCCGGGATCACCGCCGCGACCTGGAGGCGAATACGTGGTATAAGCCTTGGTCAACGTAGGAACCATCGTTGTGGTTGTCACGTTTCGGTCGGGCGGTAATTCGATTAGAATTGTGCCGGGATCGCCTTTGCTCCCTGGTGGAGCATACGTTGTGTAAGCTGCTGTCAGACTAGCGATCGTTGTGGTAACAGTGACGTTGTGGTCAACGGGGTATTCAACGATAACCGTGCCAGGGTCACCTGCTTTACCTGGGGCAGAGTAGGTCGTACGAGGAGCAGCCAAAGTCGGTACTTCTGTTGTAACAGTAACATTTCTGTCCGGAGGTAGCTGAACAATAACAGTACCTGGGTCACCTTGACTTCCTGGTGGAGCATACGTTGTACGGATCGCAGTAAGAGTCGGTACTTCAGTTGTGATAGTGACATTTCTGTCCGAAGGTAGCTGAACAATAACAGTACCTGGGTCGCCTGGACTTCCCGGTGGAGCATAGGTTGTGCGGACAGCGGTCAAAGTCGGTATTTCAGTCGTAATGGTGACATTGTGGTCGAAGGGTTTCCCCACGATCACGGTGCCAAAATCACCCTTGTTCGCAGGAGCTACGTAACTTGTGTAAGGGGTAGTCAGGCTCGCGACTTTAGTTGTCACTGTAACATTTCCGCTGGGAGGTAATCCCACAATGACTGTGCCGGGGTCTCCCTGTTTCGTAGGGGAGACATAGGTCGTCCGTGGTGATGTGATGGTGCTGACTACCTCGGTGACTGTTACATTAGGCAATGCAGGTACACCAATGATCACCGTCCCGGGGTCACCCTCCTGCGCTGGCGCCGAATATCTGGTATAAGGCGAACTTTGACTGTCAATCTCGGTTGTGATAGTGACATTGGAATTGGGAGGAAGTTCGACAATAACAGTACCAGGATCCCCTGCGTTGGCAGGTGGTGAATACACGGTATGAGGGGCAGTTCGAGTGCTGACAACGGAAGTAATCGATACGTTCCTCTCGGCAGGCATACCAACAATAACCGTACCTGCGTCGCCTGGAGTGTCAGGTGGCGAGTATGTTGTGTATGGTGCGGTAATAGTAGCGTCCTGCTTGGTGATCGTTACATTAGTTTGAGGAGGTGGAACCTCCACAAGTATAGTTCCGGGATCACTTGAAGCGCCTGCTGGAAGATAGGTTGTATAGATTGCCGTGATGGTGCTGATGGTCTTGGTACTGGTGACATTGTAGGCGGTGGCTGCGCCGGGTGTCTCGACGATGAGAGTACCATTCCCGCCACTACTTGCAGGGGGTATGTATGAAGTCACCGGTCCGGTAAGTGTTCCTGCGCCAGGTCTGGTGATTGTAACATTTTGGCCAGGTTGTCCATCCGATACACTTTGTGATGTAGACATGAGCTTCTGGCCGGGCACGATAATCTGGATAGTGCCGGGATCCCCTGCGGAGGCTGGGGGGTTATAACTTGTAATAGTACCTGTAATTGGAACAGTGGCGGCGCTGGTAACTGTGACGTTATACTCAGGCGTCTCAATTAGGATAGTCCCGGGATCACCAGGTGAACCTGGAGGTAGGTAAGTCGTGACTGGTGCATTGATCCCAGAAGCACCTTGGGTTGTAGTGATATTGTAAGGGCCAAGGGGTGTTTCGATAATAACAGTGCCAGGGCTACCGGGGCTCTGAGGTGGGATGTACGATGAACGCAATGTCGTGACTGTTCTGGGAGCGTCTGTTGTAATTGTAACATTGTAGTCAGGAGTCTCCACGATGACTGTCCCGGGATCACCAGGCGTAGCCGGTGGGGAGTACGTTGTGAAAGGTGCGGTGATTGATGCACCCCTCGTTGTGGTGACGTTGTAATCCGGGGTCTCCACAATGACGGTACCCGGGTCACCGGGTGTGCCTGGAGGAGCATATGTTGTCAGGATTCTGGTGACTGATGCAGGCGCAGCCTTTGTGACAGTGATATTATATTCGTTGTTCGGCGTCTCAACGATGACAGTGCCAGGATCACCAGGTGTAGCTGGAGGTACGTATGTGGTTTGAAGTCTGGTAACAGAAGCAGGGGCCTGACGAGTAGTAGTGACGTTGTAATCCGGAGTCTCAATAAGGATCGTGCCTGGATCGCCTGCAGAGCCTGGGGGATAATAGGTTGTCAGTGGTGCTGTTATGCTAGCTCCTTTAGTAGTGGTTATATTGTAAGGACCAATAGGAGTCTCTATAATGACAGTACCGGGATCTCCCGGGCTCGCAGGAGGTGCATAGGATGATCTCAAGGTCGTGACAGTCTTTGGGGCCTCCGTCGTTATCGTAACGTTATAATCGGGAGTCTCAACTATAACTGTACCAGGATCTCCGGGTGAAGCTGGGCTTAAGTATCTGGTGAGGGGAGCTGTTACTGTTGCTCCCTGGGTGACAGTAGTGTTAGAAATGGGCAAGTTGACGGAGGAAGAAGCTCCAACCTCGGGGACCTCGATAACGACAGTACCCGGATCTCCACTAGAAGCCGGAGGCTCGTATAGTGTACGAATGCCTGTAATCGACACCGATGCTGTTCGAGTCAAAGTAACGTTGGAAATGGGCAGGCCAACGGAGGAAGTAGCGCCAACCCCAGGGACCTCGACAACAACAGTACCATGATCTCCACTGGAAGCCGGAGGCTCGTATAACGTACGGGTGCCTGTAAGAGATATCGATGCTGTTCGGGTCAAAGTTACGTTGATAGCAGGTGTTTCGATAAGAATTGTGCCTGGGTCCCCAGATGAACCAGGAGGCATGTATGTTGTGATGGCTTGAGTGATAGATTCAGGACCAGCCCTAGTAACGGTGATGTTGTAGTCATTATTGGGTGTCTCCAAGATAATTGTACCTGGATCACCCGATGCTCCAGGGGGTAAGTATGAAGACCGAAGGCTTGTCACCGATACAGGGGCCTCCTTCGTCATAGTCACGTTGTAGTTGGGGGTGTAGACAATAATCGTGCCAGGGCTACCAGCAGACGCAGGTGGCAGATACGTGGTGTACTGGGACGTAACGGGAGTGGAGGCGGCTGACGTAACTGTGATGTTGTACAGGCTGAAGAATGTTGTATCTTCCACGGCAGTGGGGGTTCCAACAACGACAGTGCCTGCTTGATCGGAAGAAGCAGGTGGAAAATAGGCTGTGGAAGAAGCGGTACCAGAGATACCACTGTAGACCGTAACATTGCGCAGTGTTCCTGTGTTACCCGGAGTCTGAATCAGAACTGTTCCTGGTTCTCCGGTAATAGAAGCAGGGACAAACGTTGTCCTGGCGACAGTTCCAGAGACCTCTGTGTAAACGGTAACATTACCAGGACCTTCTTTGGAGTCGGTAGAGTCGCCTGGCGTCTGGATCATGACTGTGCCTGCCTGGCCCGAAGAAGTAGGAGGTATGTATTTGGTGACGGGTGCTGCGACGGGACCAACAGTGTAAACGGTCACATTCGTTTCACCCGCTGGAACCTCCGATGTATCAAGAGACCCAATTGGTGTTTCGATAATCACGGTTCCTGGATCCCCTTCGGATGAAGGAGGTGCATAGGTAGTGAAAGGGACCGTGACTGAAGTGCCGCCAGCTCTGGTGATAGTCACGTTGTAGTCTGGTATCTCAACAATGAAGGTGCCTGGATCAGTTGACACCGCTGGTGGGGCGTAGGTTGTCATAGCTTTGGTGACGCCACTGGACGCGGGTCTTGTTATAGTAACATTGCCATGCTCAGCTAGTGTTTGGTCCAAGTAGACGCTAGTCTGCACAACGATGGTACCTGGCTCCGTTCCGCTGGGAGGGATGACGATAGTGTTGATCTCCGCGCCGGTAGTGAGAGTGTCAGTTCCCAAGTTTGACTTCGCCCCGGTAAGGGTAGACGGATCACCGGGAATTGTGACTGTCGCACTGATGGTCACATATTCGCCAGTCTTGGAAGCACCGGGGGTTGCTTCTGTGGTGGCTGCTGTGTCAATTGGCGTGTAGATGATTTGGGTTCCCGGGTTTCCATTTGAAGGAGGAATGATTTGTGTGACATTCTCCACAGCATCTGGAAACTTGGTGTTGGGCTCGATAATCGTCACATCGTTATGGCTATCAGTAGGAGTGATTGTGATGGCGTCAGGATTTGAGCTTGTCGAGCCTGGCGTCGTGATGGAGTCGGTTTGAGAACGTGCATCAGTGGTTAGAACCGCCGGTGTCGAGGCCGGTCCGCTCGCAGAGTCTACCGAGACAGGAGATGTTCCGGACATGGCAGCAGTTGGTGTCTCGATTAGCACTGTACCTGCACCCCCTGACTCGGATGGTGGAAGATACTTTGTGACAGGGGTTTCAATCGCTTCAGTGCCGGTAAAGGGCCGGAATATAGTTACGTTGGGGCTACCGGAATTGGCGGGAATAGTGATACCAATGGGTTCCGATGTTTCCCCGGCCGTGATAGAAGCCATAGTGCTTTTGCTGGTTACATCTATGACTGGAGTCTCGATGATAACTGTTCCTGGCTCTCCAGACGCTGTAGGAGGTATATACCTGGTGATAGGCTCAGTGATGGAACCTGTACCGGAGTATGGTCTGATAACAGTTGAGTTGGGACTCTGAGATGTAGGAGGCAGAGTTATCACTGGGTTGTCGGACAAGGGGCCCGGACTCTCCGAAGCGGCAGTTTCAATGATAATTGTACCGGGCTCACCAGATACTGTGGGGGGTAGATAGCTAGTAATAGCCGCAGTAATTGAACCCGTGCCGGTGTACGGCCTGATGACTGTGACGTTGGGACTGTTGGAGCTAGGGGGGATGGTGATGGCCGGTATGTCCATATTCGTTGGGATAGAAGAAGCGATAGCGCTATTCAAATCCTTCGAGTTGGCGGGAGTCTCAATAATTACCGTTCCTGCGTCGGTTCCAGTTGGCGGCACGTAGATTGTGCTGACTTCATTCCCTGTGCCACTTCGAACCACGGTAACGTTCGGGCTTCCAGGGTGGGCGGATATGGTCACCGGAGCGTCAGAAGAAACCTCAGAAGTCTTCGATACCGGTGTCTCAACCACAAAGGTACCAGGATCGCCGGACGAAGCTAGAGGTAGGTAGGTAGTGATAGGTGCAGAAAGACCTGGGGCGCCATCTCGCGTGATGGTCACATTGCTTCCAGGTGGGTATTCAATTATCACGGTTCCTGCGTCGCCTGACGAGGCAGGAGGCTGATATATGGTAGTTGCGCCTGTTAGAGAAGCACCCCCTTGAGTGAATATGGTTACATTCGTTTTTGGAGTCTCCGAGCCAGACGAAACAGTCTGAATAAAAACAGTTCCCGGATCACCACTTTTTTGAGGAGGAACGTAACTGGTGATGGGCGTCTTGATACCTGGTTGGGCCAATGTGTACATAGTCACGTTGACAACTGGCGTCTGTGACATACCACCAGTGAAAGAAGCAGGAGTCTCGACAAACACGGTTCCAGGCTGACCTCCCGATGCAGGAATAGTGGAAATAGTGACAGGCGCTGTGATGACGCCGGTACCTGTGTAAGGTTGCAGAACTGTGACGTAGTTGTCATCCCCAGGTGGTAGAGTAACAGGGCTACTGCCACCATCGCTGCTGGATGTCATCGCTGTGGCTGGAGTTTCTACTATGATAGTGCCCGGTTGATCTCCTTCGGGGGCAATCGTCGTAATGGTCACAGAGTCTGTAATGGTCTTCGTACCAGAATACGGGCGGAGGGATGTGACATAAGACATGATTGCTGAAGGGGTCGAAGTAACAGGCTCTCCTGAGCCAGCTGTCCCTATAATAACAGTACCAGGCTGGTCACCTTGAGGTGCTATGGTTGTAATGGTAACTGGGGCAGTGATCGGCTCTGAACCAGTGTAAGGCTGATAGATTGTAACATAGGGTATGGATGTAGGAGCTGATGTAACCGGAGCCGCTGAACCGGGCGTTTCGATAACTACAGTACCAGGCTGATCACCCTGAGGTGGGATGGTTGTGATGGTAACTGGAGTAGTAATAGTACCTTCGCCGGTGTGAGGTCGATATACTGTCATATACGACATGGGCATAGGCTCTGACGTAACTGGGGGGTTAGAGCCGGGGGTTTCGATAATCACAGTACCTGGCTGATCGCCTGTGCCATCAACTGTAGTAACGGTGACGGGACCAGCGATGCTGCCTTCGCCGGTATGAGGTCGATATACTTTTACATACGACATAGGCGTTGATGTGATTAGGGGCTTAGAGCCGGGGGTTTCGATAATCACGGTACCTGGCTGATCGCCTGCGCCGTCAACTGTAGTAACTGTAACGGGTGTAGTGATGCTACTTTCACCAGTGTGAGGTCGATACACTGTCACATACGACATAGGCGTTGATGTAATTGGGGGTTCAGAACCAGGCGTTTCGACAATCACGGTACCTGGCTCGCCACCCACAGGCGCAATTGTTGTCAGCGTAACCGGTTGAGTGATTCTACCAATTCCTGTGTGTGGCTGGTACACCGTCACATAAGGAAGGTCTGTGGATGACCCGGGTGTTGCTGATGTTACGGCGGGTGTCTCGACAAACACTGTGCCAGGCTCATCAGCTGATGCGGGAGGCTGGTATCTGGTCTGTGGAGCCGTTAGAGACGCTGGTCCCTCAGTAAAGATGGTCACGTTGCTTCCATCTTTGGAGCCCATGGGAGTCTCAGAGGCTATGGTTTGGATGAAGACAGTTCCTTCTCCACCCTCTGTTTGTGGAGGAGCATAGCTGGTGATTGGAGTCTTCACGCCCGATGGTGCCAAAGTATAGATCGTAGTGTTCGTGCCAGCATGAGCCATATCCGATGAGGGTTGGCTGATTGGAGCGGGAGTCTCAATGATGACGGTTCCAGGTTGCCCAGGCGTATTTGGTGGCTCGTATGAGGTAACGGGGCCAGTAATAATGCCTGGGCCTGGATATTGGCGAACAACAGTAACATTAGGGCTTCCGTTACTTGGAGGAATCGTAACAGCGGGAGGTGACATTGTTTGGTCTTGAGACTGGGATTCCATTTTAGACAAATCTCCAGGAGTCTCGATGACAACAGTCCCGGGCTGACCTGATGTGGCAGGGGGGATGTAGCTGGTAATAGGTGCTGATATGAATCCAGGGCCAGGGTAGGGTTTGATCACCGTCACGTTACGGTTCTCATCATTGGAAGGAATCGTAATAGCAGGCGAGTCGGATACCTGGCTATCGGTGGTAGATTCAGGAGTAGGAGTCTCAATAATAACAGTTCCTTCACTCCCAGACATAGGGGCGATAGTCGTAACGGTAATAGGTCCTGTAATATGCGCTGTGCCGGTGTATGGCCGATAGATAGTCGCGTAAATGACACTTGCAGTCTGGGGTACGGGTGTTTCAATGATTACAGTACCTGTTCCAGAAATCGCAAGCATAGTCGTAACAGTAATTGGAGCGGTAATCTGATCAGCACCTGTGTATGGCCTGTAAATAGTTACGTAAACATCTGCAGGCAGGTTGGTTGTGAGTGGGCCTTGAGTGCTAGCCTCGGGAGTTTCGACGATAACTGTGCCAGGTTTACCGTCTGAAGCACTGATAGTAGAGACGGTTATAGGTGCTGTGATCGCCTCGGTACCAGTATAAGGCCTGAAGATCGTGGCATAGTCGTCACTTCCGGCTGGTAGAGTAACAGGAGCATTCACGGAGGGACTGCTAGGAACAGTGCTGAGAACATCCTCTTTCACCGGAGTCTCAACAATGACAGTACCTGGCTGGCTGCCTGAGGGCGAGATCGTGGTAACCGTTATGGGGGCTGTGATTGGAGGACTTCCTGTGTATGGTCTGAAGACAGTTACAAGGTCATCGGCTCCAGCAGGAATAGTCAGGGGAGGGTTTGCGCCTTTGATCGTGCTTTGTACTGCAGGAGTATTGATGATAACAGTGCCGACCTCGCCACTTTGCATTGGAGCCAGAGTGCGAGTAATTTCTGCGGTCATATCAGTAGCTCCGTCAAAAGGCTCGTAAATGGTGGTATACGAGACAGTAGGTGCTACAGTTACGGCTTCTTTTGTTCCTGGTGTTTCAATGATAACGGTACCCGGCTCAAGCCCCTGCGGCTGTATTGTTGATATCGTCACTGGCGCAGTTATCTGACCAGTGCCAGAGTAAGGCCTGAACACAGTGACAAAAGCTGACTCGCTTATCATTGCTGGGCTCGAAGTAGCCGGTAATTCAGAACCAGGTGTCTCCACAATCACAGTACCAGGCTGATCGCCTTGAGGCTGGATCGTGGTGATTGTAACAGGGGCCGTGATGCTACCCGCTCCAGCGTGTGGTTGGAAGACAGTGACATATCGTTCTTGAGGGATAGGTGATGGGGTAATCGGAGCCCCCGAGCCGGGAGTTTCAATGTAAACTGTGCCTGGTGCTGTACCTTGGGGGGGAATTGTAGTAACTAGGATAGGCTCTGTGACGGTACCCGCTCCAGTGTGCGGCTGGTAGACTGTTACGTACGAGGCCATGCCATCAGGAGCTGATGTGACGGGAGCCCCTGAGCCGGGTGTTTCAACAATTACAGTACCAGGCTGACCGCCTTGAGGGGAAATTGTAGTGATAGGGACTGGACTATCAACACTACCATAACCTGTATGAGGCTGATAGACAGTCACGTAAGACGCTTCAAGGACAGCTGTTGCCGTGGTTGCAGGTTCTGAACCAGGTGTTTCGATGATAACGGTACCGGGTTGATCACCTTGCGGGGGAACTGTAGTAACAGTCACTGGATTGGTGATGCCTTCCTCACCAGTATGAGGTTGATAGACTGTTATGTATGAGTCCTGGCTAGCACTGGCTGAGGTAATCAACGCGGCAGGGGTGTTAAAGATGATAGTGCCGGGCTGATCTCCTTCCGGCTGAATAGTTGTGACAACAACGGCTTCAGTAATGACACCTGTGCCACTGTATTCGATGTAAACCGAAGTGTAGGAAGGAACTGGAGGCGTCGTAGTGATAGGAGGTTGAGATCCAGGGGTCGCAATGATGATAGTACCAGGCTGTCCACCGTTGGGAGGGATACTTGATACAGTAACAGGGTCAGTAATCGAGCCAGATCCGCTATACGGCTGATAGATTGTCACAAAAGGCGCCTGTGTCTGAATAATGACAGTGCCAGGTTGATCCACTGAAGGAGGAATCGTCGTAGCCACGATTGGTGAAGTAATCTGGTCGACCCCGGTGTACTCAACCGTGGTCGTGACATACGATCCCTGTGTCCCCACAATAACAGTACCTGGCTGATCACCCCGAGGAGGGATTGTAGTAAGAGGGACTGGACCTGAAACCAAACCGGCCCCAGTATACAGTGTGGAAGAAGTGACATAACGACCTTGTGTCTGCACAATGACAGTACCGGGCTGATCGCCCTCAGGTGGGATAGTGATGACCGTAGTTGCCTCAGGGGAGAGGTCTGACCCAGTATATAGTTCCGTGACCGTCACGTATGATGGCATGGGGGGTGTCGTAGTGACGTGAGGTGCAATACCAGGAGTCTCGATGATAACTGTTCCCGGCTGGTCTCCTGTAGGGGGAATCGTAGACACAGTTGTTGGGCCCATGAGCTGGTCAGATCCAGTATGCGGACGATAGACAGTAACAAATGGAACCTGAGTTTCAACGATAACGGTCCCTGGTTCGTCGCCCTGAGGCGGGACGGTTGTCATCAAAGGTGCCGTAATCTGACTAGTTCCAGTGTATGCCTTTGTGATGGTGACGTACGAAGCCGGGGCATTGTCTAGAGTGCTAGGAGGTGCTTTCTGACCCGGAGTGTTAATTATTACCGTTCCAGGTTGGCCATTAGCCGGCTCGATGGTCGTTTCAGGCACTGCTTCAGTGATCCTGCCAGTTCCTGTGCCAGGTTGGTAAACCGTCACATAAGTAGCACCGGGAGCAGAGGTTGTGATAGGCGGCAGTTCTCGATCCGGAGTTTCGACTATAACCGTGCCGGGCTGTGTTCCTTGAGGTGCGATAGTTGTAATAGTAACTGGAGTCGTGATTTTTTCCGTTCCAGAGCCTGGACGGAAGACTGTAACATAAGCACTGTCTTGAGAAGTAATGGTATTCGTCGAGTCGACGCTTGTCTCCGCATCTGTTCGAGTGACCTGAACAGGAGTCTCGATAACGACGGTGCCTGGCTGGCCGTTTGAAGGCGCAATTTCTGTAACAGTGATAGGAGCACTGATCTCGGCTCCAGTGTGAGGTCGGAACACCGTCACGTAAGACTCATTCGGTCCAGGGGGTAAGGTAACTGTAGGGTTGGCCCCGGGGGTTTCTGGCTCAGGGGTTTCAATAACAACGGTACCTGGCTGGTCACCTAGACCGGGTAGAGTCGTAACAGTTACAGGAGCAGTTATGGCATCGGTTCCAGTGTGAGGTCTGTAGATGGTAACATACTGGCCGCCTGGGCCAGGAGTAAGAGTAACTGGGGGAATATTTTCCTTGCTGCCAGTTTCAACAGTTGGTGTCTGAATAATAACAGTTCCGGGATTACCATTGGGAGGCTGGATGGTTGTGACTGTAGTCGCTTCGGTAATCGTGTCAGGTCCAGGATGAGGCTGATAAACTGTATCGTACATGCTGCCAGGGCTAGCGGAGGCGGTGCTGTATACACCAGTATCCTGAGTAGGAGCAGATGTCTCTACGATAACAGTTCCGGGCTGGCCATTAACTCCTTGGATAGTAGTAACTGTCAAAGGTGCCGTAATGCTATCAGTGCCGGTATAAGGTCTATAGACCGTCGTGTAGGCGCTGTCAGAGTCAGATGGAATAGTCACAGGCACATCACCACCGACTTGAGTCGAGGCCGGCGTTTGACTACCTGGTGTCTGGACGATAATCGTTCCTGGTTGGCCGTTGGAAGGAGCAATAGTAGTCGCAGTGACAGGCGTTGCAATGGCGTCTGTTCCGGTGTATGGTTCGAAGACGGTGACGTAGCCGTCATCACCTTGCACGGAAGTAACATCAGGTCTTAAACTACTCTGGGCAATAGGTTCTAGAGTAGCTGAGGTCTCGATGATTACTGTGCCTGGTTGTCCACCAACTCCCTCAATCGTGGTGACAGTGACAGGAGCCGTGATAGTTCCAGGTCCAGTGTATGGCCTATAAATCGTCATATAACCACGGCCATTCGAAGGAACTGTGACAGTAGGGCCAGATGCGCTTGGAGTCTCAACCGGTGATAACACAGGTTTCGATGCAGGCGTCTGTATAACCACAGTACCTGGCTGGCCGTTGCTTGGCGGAACCGTGCTAACAGTGACAGGCGCAGCGATTGTGTCTGACCCGGTATATGGTTCATAGACTGTCATGTACCCATCTTGGCCCTGAGAGATTGTAACAGGTGGATTATTTGTGTTGATGGGCTGGCTTCCAACTTGAGATTCGGGCTGAGAGGCAGGCCCTGGAGTTTCGATGATGATAGTGCCTGGCTGGTCGCCAGATGGAACGGCTGCGGTAACAGTAGTTGGCACTGTGATTTGTTCAGTACCTGTATAAGGCCTAAAGACCGTCACGTAACCATTGTTTCCAGCAGGCAGGGTAACAGGGGGGCTTCCCACGTTGGTTCCTTGCTGGCCATCGGTTTCAATGATGACAATGCCAGGCTGGCTACCCTGTGGAGCACTGACTGTTCGAGTAACCTCTCCGGTGAATTGTCCAGTGCCGGTGTATACTTCATAGATAGTGGTGTAAGAACCAGATGGCACAAGCGTGACAGCAGATTGCTGTCCGGGTGTCTTGATGACAATAGTACCTGGCTTGTCTCCTTGTGGAGGGACAGCTGTTACAGTCACAGGCGATGTGATGGGATCTGTGCCTGTTTCAGGCTCATAAACGGTGACATAGGAGGGTCCAGGTGTCTGAGCAATACCACTGTCGGAAGCGACCTTCTGGCCGGGAGTCTCGAAGATCACGGTGCCAGGCTGATCCCCTTGAGGCGCAATAGTGGTCTTGGCCAAGGGTTCCGTCAGGACGCCGGGGCCAGTGTATGGCTCAAAAATTGTTGTGTATGAGGGCGCAGCGGGTGAAGTTGTGGTGGGAGGCTCTGAGCCTGGGGTCTCCACTACAATTGTACCGGGACGGCCGCCAGAGGGTGGGATTGTAGACACAGTCGTTGGCGTGGTGATGGTGTCAGCTCCTGTATGAGGGCGGTATATTGTTGCAAAAGGTGCTTGGGTCTGGATCACAACCGTTCCAGGGCGATCGCCTGTAGGGGCCACAGCGGTGATAGTAACCGGACCAGTTATCTGGTCAAGGCCGGTGTAACTAGCCGTAGTCGTGACATAGGGAGGTATGGCAATGACTACTGTGCCAGGTCGGTTGTCCTGTGGTGGGACGGTTGTAACAGCTGTTGGTCCAGTGATTGGATCAGCTCCCATGTACAAGGTTGTGGTTGTCACGTAAACGCCCGGTACCCCTATGATAACTGTTCCCGGCTGGTCACCCTGAGGAGGGACAGTTGTGAGAGTTGTAGGGGCCGTGATAACACCAGTTCCGGTATAGAAAACTGTTGTGGTGATGTATGACGGTTCAATAGGCGTGGTTGTGACTGCACTTTCCCCACCTGGAGTTTCGATGATGATGGTACCACGTTGGTCTCCTGTAGGGGCGACGGTGGAAACAGTAACTGGGCTCGTAATCTGGCCTGCTCCTGTGTGTGGGCGATAGATAGTCACAAAAGGAGGCTGGGTCTCGACAATAACAGTTCCAGGCTGGTCTCCTTGAGCCGGGATAGTAGTAACAATAGGTTCAGTGATCTGGTCTGTCCCAGTATATTGCTGCGTAACCGTAATGTACGAGGGGGAGATATTCCCTGGAACAGAAGCGGCTTGTTCAACTGGTGTTTCATAGATGACTGTACCCGGCTGGTCGCCACTTGGAGGGATGGTAGTCACAACTGCTTGGTTAATCGGGTCTCTGCCGGTGTAAGGCCTAGTAATCGTCACGTATGCATCAGGAATGGGGAAAGAGGTCACGGGAGGCGCTTGCTGACCCGGAGTCTCTATAATTACTGTACCAGGTTGGCCGTTGGTTGGTTGTACTGTTGTTAGAATCTGTGTTTCAGTGATCTTTTCTGCCCCTGTAGCAGGCTGATAAACTGTCACCACACTAGCACCTTGTCCAGCTGAAGTAGTAATAGGGGGTAGGTCTTGGTCCGGAGTTTCAATAATGACCGTACCGGGTTCATTGCCAGTGGGCTGCTCGGTGGTGATAGTAATAGGGCTTGTGATGCGGTCGGTGCCAGTATGGGGACGAAAGATTGTGACATAAGAAGCCGCAGGCTGATAAGCACTACTTTCTGTCGGGCCAACAACACCAGAAACGGACGGAGTCTCCAGCATAACGGGAGTTTCGATAATAACCGTACCGGGTTGGCCATTGGCAGGTGTAATCGTCATGACCGTTACAGGAGCAGTAACCAGGTCGGCTCCCGTATGGGGACGGAAGACAGTAATGTAGGATTCATTTGGTCCTAGAGGAAGCGTGACAGTTGGATTAGGTCCCGCACTCGCTGGTTCTGGCGTTTCAATAATAACTGTCCCCGGCTGACCACCGGCTGGTGAGATAGTGGTGACGGTAACAGGCACATTGATGCTACCAGTTCCTGTGTACGGTCTGTAGATAGTCGTATACTGATCGCCAGGCCCTGGGTTCAGAGTAACAGGAGGGATCACAGCCTTACCACCAGTCTCAAGACTCGAAGCGGAAACCGATGCCGTAGTGAAATCGAGAACTGGTCCAACAGTTTTACCCGGTGGCGTCTCTACAACGATAGTACCCGGCTGGCCATTAGCACCGGGGATGGTGGAAACGGTTACTGGTTCGTTAATGGGACCGGGGCTTGTATTAGGTTGGTATATCGTCACGTCAGATCCTTGAGGACCAGGAAGAACCGTCACAGGGCCATTGTCGGTGGACTGACTTGTAGCTTGTGCCTGGTCCATGGGTGTTTGAACAATTACAGTTCCAGGCTGGCCGCTGGAGGGCAGAATCGTGGTGGTAATGGGGGCTGTGATAGGTCCTAAACCGGTATATGGTTCTGAAACTGTCACATAACCATCATTACCCTGTACTGTACTCGCGCCAGATCCTGAATTGGATTGTTGAGAGGTGGCCAGGGGCACTGGAGTCTCGATGATAATCGTTCCTGGGCGACCTGAGGTAGGGGCGACCGTTCCGACCGTGTGAGGCTCATCGATCATGCCTGGTCCTGGGTATGGCCTATATACAGTGACATAGCCTCCATCGCCTGCAGAAACGGTAACCGCAGAAGGCGTGAATTGGCTTTCTTCTGATGAAGTCGTAACTACAGGCGCAGGGGTCTCAATGACCACTGTTCCAGGCTGGCCATTCGTTGCTGCAATGGTGCTGACGGTAACGGGTGCAGTAATGACGCCAGGACCCTCGTGGGGTCGATAAATCGTCACGTATCCGTCTTGGCCCTGGGGGATAGTGACAGGAGGGTTGTCTGTGGTTGGTGCTTGCTCTGTTGGCTGAGTGAGAGGAACGGGTGTCTCTACAATCACGGTGCCGGGCTGTCCACCAGTGGGAGAGGCCTGAGTAATCGTAACAGGGGCGGTAACTCCAGAGCCAGTGTGAGGCTTGTACACAGTTACGTAGTTGTTGCTTCCAGCAGGCATGGTGACTTCGCTCGAGACCGCTGTCGTTGGCGCAAATTTTGTATTAACATCCGGTGAAGGGGTCTCGATGATGACTGTCCCAGGTTGATCACCTGAAGGAGTAACAGCGGTAATGGTGATTGGCTGATCAATGTTGCCAGGACCGGGGTAAGGCTTATAAACCGTAATGTACGGGTTATTGTTACCGGTAGGAATCGTAACTGGGCCTGTCTTGGTAGCAGTATTTGCTCCCGGGTTCGGAGTCTGGATGATAATGGTTCCAGGCTTTCCAGAAGCAGGAGCTTGAGTATAGGTAACTGCGGATGTGATGTCACCTGGCCCTGGCCACGGCATATAAACTGTCACGTAAGATCCTGTGGGATCAGGGGGAATGCCGATAGGAGAGCTCGAACCAGCAGTTGTCTGACCCGCCGAGGTTGGAAGGTCGGTCGGCTGTGTCTCAATAAAAACAGTACCCGCTTGGCCGTTTGAAGGTGCCTGTGTTAGAGTAACTGGTGCTGTAATGGTTCCAGGACCAGGATATGGTCTGTATACCGTTACATACTGGTTACTGTTTGACATCGTCGGGGCAGGGGTTTGAATAAGAACCGTTCCAGGTTGACCGCCAGTTGCCAGTTTCGTGATAGTAACAGGAGAAGTAATAACGCCAGGGCCTGGGAAGGGGGTATAAATGGTTATGTAATTATCTGTCACGGGTGCAGAGCTCTGCGTCAGTGTGGAAGTAGGGCTAGATGGAGTTGTGATAAACACAGTTCCTGGATTGCCACCAGACGGCGCCATTTGTGTCCTCGTAATAGGTGCTGTGATGACACCAGGCCCTGGGAATGGGAAGAATACTGTCACGTATTGGTCACCATTCAGTGCAGTACTTGGCATACTCTGCTGTATCTGAGTGCTAGGTGCAGGTGTTGTAATGTAAACAGTACCAGGACGGCCGCCTGATGGGGGCTGGGTATAAGTGACAGGAGCAGTAATGACCCCTGGTCCTGGGAAGGGCAGATAGACCGTTACATATCCATCAGTCCCTGAGACAGTACTAGTAGCCTTACTCTGCTGTTGAGTTGCACTAACCTTAACGACTGGGGTGGTAATAAAGACAGTACCAGGACGGCCGCCGGAGGGGGGCTGGGTATAAGTAATAGGTGCACTTATCTCACCTGGCCCAGGATATGGGACAAAGACTGTGACGTAGCCATCCACGCCCGAAGTGGTAACTGGCAGGTTTGGTTGACTGCTAGTCGCCGGTGGGGACGCAGGCGTTGTGATGAAAACCGTTCCGGGATTGCCACCTGAAGGCGCCTGTGTCCTGGTATAAGAGGCAGTAATAATGCCTGGACCAGGAAAAGGCACAAAGACAGTCACATACCCATCTGTGCCTTGTGTCGTGCTAGGCCTTGGTGATGTGATTGGAGCTAAGGTTTGTCCAACAGGTGTTTGGACGATAACGGTTCCAAATTTACCACCAGTGGGCAGAGCCTGCGTGACGGTGATGGGCGAGTTGATGATTCCTGGTCCCGGGAATGGCTTGTAGACTGTAACGTAATTGTCCGTACCCGTAGTTGTGATTGCTGGGGCAAACTTGGTCGCAGGAGGTGTCATGATGAACACTGTTCCTGGGTTTGTACCAGATCCAGCTACTGAAGTAGTTATAACTGCTGTAATAACATCTGTGCCAGTATACTGCTGTGTAACCGTGACATACCCGTCGGCACCAGTCACAGTAGCCTGAGGCCCTGGAGAGGTGCTAATCTTCACTGGGGGAGTCTCAATGATGACGGCTGTGGACTTGCTACCACCAGAGTTTGTGATAATAACAGTCTCTGTAATCGTGGTGTCATGATCATCTGTGCAAGGCTGATAGATCGTAACCGTTCCACCAATTATTGTTGGAGTGACGGTAATCGGGCCTTGAGTCTCGACAATAACGGTTCCTGGTTCCCCATTCTTGCCATTGATAGTTGTGACAGTAATAGGCTCAGTAATAGGCTCACCAACATGTGGTCGGTAGATAGTTGTGTATGCGCCAGGGGCACTAGGTTGAACGGTCACCGTCGTACCTGGCCGGGTCTCCCAGTTAGTCACGGTTCGGAACTGGGTCACAGTCCTCTCCGGAACAGCAGGTGTCTCTATGATGATAGTACCGGGTCTTCCATTTGAAGGCGACTGCGTAATGGTAACAGGGACGGTAATAGGATCACCCTTATGAGGCCTGTAGATGGTCACATATGGATTGTTGTCATTCGGAGGAATCGTTATGGGTGGACGATCTTCCCCTGTCGTGGTGATCGCATTTTGACCCTTGGGTGTATCAACTGTGGGAGTTTCAACCACAATGGTACCGGGCCGAGTGCCACTAGGAGGAATGGTGATTGTGATAGGTTTCTTGATAGGGTCACCCTTGTGTGGCTTGTAGACGGTTATGTAAGAACTACCACTGCCCGCAGGAAGAGTAATCGGTTCCTTGCCAGGACGATATGTCTCTGGTGACGGTGTCTCGATGATAATTGTTCCTGGTTGACCATTTTCCCCCTTTTGAGTAAGGGTAATAGGCGCCGAAATGGGGCCACCACTGTGAGGTCGAAAAACAGTGACAAATTTATTACCAGTCCCAGGGGGGATTGTGAAAGGTCCGTCGGGGGCCCGGGTAGTCTGACCGCTTCCAGATGGGACCGGGGTCTTGATGATGACAGTCCCTGGTTGCCCCTGACCACCGGTCATGGTGATAGTTGTGGGAGCCGTAACAGCATCAGTACCAGTGGGTCCCTGAATGATGGTCACCATGGATCCTCCCGAGCCAGCTGGGATTGTAATGTCGTTGGTTCCCGACTGAGGGGCGGGAGTCTCAATAATAATAGTCCCTGGCTGGCCGCCGCTGGGCCGGATCGTCCTGGTCATAGCAGTGGTTATAGGATTCTCGGGCTGCTTTACAATCGTGATATAACCACTGTTGGGATCGGGTGGAAGAGTGATAGCATACTGTCCCTTGGGCACATTTGGTGTCTCGATAATGACAGTCCCGGGCAGGGTACCGGATGGGGGTACTGTATAGGTCACAGGCTTAGTTATTTGACCAGACCCCGCGTGGGGCCGTAAGACAGTATAGTAGGGATTGTTGCCACTGGGTGGAATGACCTGGGGCTGGTTATCAGGCATGTCCTCCTCCTGGTTTTCGCCCTTTCGCGTGCTCGAGGCAGTGGGAGTCAGGATAATGATCGATCCATCTCCGCCAGCCGAGGTGGGGATCAGGGAGGTAATGGGGGTTTGGATGGGCGAGGTCCCTGTGTATGGGGCAATGATTGTAGTGAAACGTCCACCGTTACTCGGACGAATGGTAATGGCACCGTCGGGGTTTGTGTTGCTTGGGGGGACCTGAATGTAGACGGTGCTTGGACCACCTACATAAGCAGCCTTGGTAGTAATCCGTGGCTGAGTGATGTAAGTTGTTCCGGTAAGCGTTTCAATAACCAGAACATTTGAGGTAGTTGTTCCAGCTCCAGCGCCTGCTCCAGGTCCAACGTCAGCTCCAGGACTAACACCACCTCCAGGACTGCTGCCAGCGCCAGGACTGCTGTCAGCGCCAGGGCTAATACCACCTCCGGGACTGCTGCCGGCGCCAGGTACAGTACCAGCTCCAGGGCTAATACCACCTCCGGGACTGCTACCAACTCCAGGGACAGTACTACCTCCTGGGCTAATACCACCTCCAGGGATATTTCCAGCGCCATCACCAGCTCCAGGTACAGTATCACCTCCAGGGACAGTACCACCTCCAAGGCTAATACCACCAGGACTGCTGCCACCTCCAGGTTCAGTGCCACCTCCAGGGCTAACACCACCTCCGGGGATATTACCAGCGCCAGCACCAACTGCAGGGCTACTACCAACCCCAACTGTGCTTAATGGTACATCATTCCATGATGTCTGAATGACAACAGTCGCTGGGGCAGTCCCCGCCGCGGGAATAGTCTTTGTAGCATCACCAGTGATGGCGACACCACTAGGTATCGCTGAAATAATTGTAGCTGTCGGGTTCTCGTTGGAAGGCGTAATCGTTAATACGCCGGGCTGTCCTGATGAGAAGGAGGAGTATGCTGTACCAGGAACATCCACGATAATCGTACCGGGATTCGTCCCACTCGGCTCGGCAATTGTGATTTCTTGGTTCGTTGTGGCATCAGCGCCTCCTGTGTATGCTTGGATAATTCTTTCGTATGGGTCGTCGCTTTTCGGCGGGATCGTGATAACAGGATGAGGAAGGAGCGTAACAGGGAATAATGTCCCATACTTGGTGTATGTAGCGACGGTTGGCTGGGCGTTGGTTGGCTGCGTAACGGGATTGTTGTTGGCGTCGCCATTTGCCCCGGTCGCGTCCAAGATCTGTCCCGAGTCCGCGTCTCCGGCGTCCCCGTTCAAGGTAGTCATAGCATGTCCGATAAGGGATGCTTCAAATCCTTCCGCAACCCGTAGTGCGGCATCGTTGATATTGATACCACCCTGGGATTTGGCGGTCAGAATGAGTGTCGAGGCTATCAGCCCCCTTGATAACAACATGATATGGGTTGTTGCATAAATTTAAGGAGCGAATTAGTCAATATTGAAGAGATTGGGTGTGTTCGTGTTTGTGTGTGTTTGGTTATTCACGTTCTTGTTCAGGGCCTCTCGATTGTTTATAACCATTGGGAAATCAGTGAATGATTGCTACACTGTCTGTTTTCGTCTATGCATCTGATCTTCCATATTCGACACAACAAGAGACGCCACCCCATTCACAGGCCTTTTCCACAATTCATTGTTTGCACCTAGACTTCCAACTCCTGCTTCTGTACTCAGCTGGCGTTCTAGATGAAGACGAATTACACTTGTGACGATCTACCCGTGCACCCGATCTTGACTGATACATTTCCGGATCTTTACCGGATTTAAACATACCGCTAACGAGCCAACCACAATATCAAACCCTGTTAACAGACAACCTTCGGCTGTTACGGTCCTAAGTTTGGGGGAGCATTCCACCGATGCTTGTTCGTGTGACCAATCGGGTATTCTCCACGACGCGTACTAACGGAAACATGCAAGGCACGAGTGCCGCTAGCGGGATTAAGAGTTTAAATGGCCAGGCACCATGCATGTGTGCTCGTCCCACCAGACATCCTTCAGGCACCTCCATCTTTCGATTAGCTCGGGCCTGAATGCCAAGACCTGTCAGCCTAGCTGTTTTCGGTTCATAACTTTGCTTTGAAGCCTCAATCACTTACACATTGTTTAGGTCATCTAAAAGCTTCTCTGGAATGCTGTCAAACTTGGTTCGTATCGAATCGGCCAAGCTATCCGTACAACGCCCTCAATTCTCTTCTCGTAATACATAACGTGGCGCAGTCCCACCATGGTTTCTTATGATTTGTGGATACTCAACGCTTGAGATTAATCAGCGGACAAATTCTCCGAAAGCTGAGTACATGCCCTCCATCAGGAATGCGCCATAATTCAATGACATCATCCTCCCCATCGTTTAAGGAAACATGTACTCAATTAACGGAGATTCTTGTCCGCTGATTAAGGTCAAACGTTCATCATCGACGAATCATGGTTACTCGGGGTTTGCTTGTGACACATCTGGTGATAAAGATGCCTGCAATGCGTACTTGATAAAACAACACTTCTGCGAATCATGGAAAGTGACCGACGCCAAGAATGTGATTGTGAGGCCTGTTTCTGAATATTTCCCATCTCAAATCAAAGGCCAATGATCCCAAAGACGCGCATTACATACGCGGCCTTCATAATTCACACACATAACGTATAGTACGGAAGATCACTCAAATAATCGATTACGTATATGATCATTGAGTTCTCTACTGGATTATGCTTTGATACGAACTTTGGTACATAAAATTTCTTCAACATAGCTGCTTTGGCTGGCCTCCACGATCTACATGTTAGTGAAATAGCGTAATGTATTCAGATTACTCCAATTGCTCTACCGGGCAAAAGGTATAGTAATGAAATCGAGTACGCATTGTCGGGCATGGAACTCATGAGATTCTTGAGACCCGGTGGATCCAACGCTGCATTCCTCATTTTCTCAGATGCGCAGGTTAGCGTGATGTCAGATCTTTAATTCCTCTGACACCAATTACAGCTGCAGCTTTGAGAGGGAGATATCCACCGGGCGTTACGGATCTCGTGAATTCCGACAGTATTACCAGATGTGTCACTAGCTGACCATGAGTAGCTTCGCTAGGACCCCAGACCGATGAGGAAACTAGATCCGATACGGCTGATCCCGTTTGTAAACTGTGAAAGCGTACCTGAATTCCGCGTTCGAGGACTTTGAACGAAGGCGACATGCTTTTCCTGCAAAGGGGCGATGCCATCCTTACCACACTCCGCCAAAATGAAAGCAGACTCACCCAGTGTTAGGGGATTGCTTATTGGCGTCATCGGAACCCGATCAAATTGCAAGGAATGAAGGTACTATCGTGATGTATGGGGGCTGACCGAGAAGGTCTAGGGTAAGGTCATGATTACAGCAGGAAGACGCGTCTGAAGCGCGCGACTGTTTATAGACCTTGCTTAGATAAGGGTTTCTCAAACCTGTAATCATCATCGGAGCCTGGAGAGACATGGTGTATACTTCTGGTCTTTGTTTCTACCTATGGCGATGATTTCACGTATGGGCTGTGAAAAAGTGAGCGACACGGTTGTCTATTTTGCTCTCAGGCTAATCTCCCTCGGTTCCAATTGTGCTCAGCTCGTGACCTTTCGGATGAATCAATAGATGTTAGTGTGATCTTTGTCGCAATTACCGAACAAACTCGCACAGTAGACTAGTGCCTGTGGAAATAACACCGCGCTAGTTGGAACGCGGCACTCAGCCACCCGGGCTCTAGATTGGCTAGCGCATACCTCGGAACTAAGACACGGCCGTTACATCATGATATCTTGCGATCGACACCGGTATGTTCCGAGAACGAGCATAGCCGTTCAAGGTTAAGGCTCATCAGCCTTGCAGGCCCACCATCAACCATCTGTCGCTTACCGTCTTGATAGAAATTGCTTACTTAATCAACTCCCATGTCACAGGCACTACTCAATTTCGCAGGGCTATAGGGTAATTTAATAAGTATCTCAATTATCTTCCCCAACACAGTAGTACAGTTCGTGATATTTCAATATAAGTAGTAAGAAATAGCAATGTACAATTAATATACAATAGTTATACTTAACTATTCTGATTGAATAACTGGTCGCGATGCGGTTCAAGCCCAAACATTTGTGGATGTCTGAACAGGGGCACGTAGTAACCTCGGTGAAATACTCCCCTTTGTGTATAGCTTGAACAACTTGCTTTACCAGTGAGCAGAAAGGATCAAGAAAGGAAAGCTGCCATGGCCGCCGAGCTTCAGTTGATTAGCGACAGCACACGTGGCGTATGTCACTGTTAAAACACAGGCCCTGGAGTATACGGGTCACCACCTTTTTCGAATGTCCAGGCACAGTTTATCCATCTGCCACAAAACGTCTTCTATCCAGTCTTCATAACAAAAGTGGCCGGGTCCCAGATCAATTCGTCAATTTAAACGTTAAGTAGATCCTGCGGCTATCTGCCAGATCCTAGACTGCAATGGTTTCAGAAAATTTCCAAGCCCGTTAGATTTACCAAATGAGTTTGCTGGAAAGCAACTGCATGTGTAACGTGGGAGGGAGCTCTCACATTGTTGAGCATTGCGTAAGGGCTGGATATAGGTCTCGTAGGTAGCTACCGATGCCAGAGGCATCGCAATGTAAAATAGAAAAGCAAAGAAGACAGGCAATCAGCCAGGCTGATATAAAGAAAAAATAATCTCTTAGAACTTCTGCAGTAGTTAGATACTGCAGTTATGTTATTCCCTTTTCTCTTCTTATGTTTTTGCACTTATTACAGCACTAAGCCTTGTGTCTTGAAGCGACCCAATGGTAGTCCTACATCTAGCTTACGTACACACCATTCGGATGTATAAATGTCCACTAAGAATTCCTTCTTCTGTCGAATTCTCTATTCTCTATCCAGTGATAATCTTCCCGTTTTCCAAATCTTCAACAACAGGAATCAATCGATCAACCATAATGTCTATCCGCCTTTCGGATATGTTTGATCTAATGTGGAAACCGCCAAGAGGGCCGCCCATAGTTAAGCGCCGCCCGCTTGACAAGATGCTTCCGGAGAACTTCAAGTATTTCAGAAATTGGGGCTTCACAATCTACCGCACGTACTACGGTGCCGAGTCCGACGAGCAGTGGAACACGCTTGTTACAATTCTGCGACATCAAACCTCCCTTGGCCTTGGATTGCTTGAGTCGGAAGAGCTGCGCGAGGACGATGATGAATGGATTAAACGGTGCGGTGGAGACAAATCTAAATAGGCGAACAAGGTAAACATCGTCAGAAAGCTGTTCCGTCTTTTTCCACAAGAAGATGCATTGCTCCTTGATGGTCTGGATATCGCCGGAGTGCGAGAAGTGTGCGCTAAGGAACACGCTGAAGCAACGGAGAAAATGGCTGGAGCTTTCTTTAAATTTGCACTTGTTGCAGATAAGGCAGTGCTCAAGGATATTGCCAACTACCGTTTCGTTGTCAAAGCAGTTGATTACGATTGGGACCCGCGCGACTCCAGAGGCAACCCAGGCTGGATCCAGCTTTTTACGGGTGATCTACTGGCGCTTTGGGGGGTACTTTTCGTCGCGTACTTGATGGATACAAACCGATACATGGAGTTGGTGGACTGGGATGACGAGAACGATGTCTGGTTCGCCAATGGATTCATGGCTCCATTTGGCGACTGTTCTCAGGTTCAGATCGCAAAGGACGACCTATTCAATGCTAGATTCAGATTTGATCCGTAAACACGATTTCTACTCTAACATAAATTCACGGCAGTAACCTAGGCGACAGTTATAATATACGTAAAGTCACTATGAATGGAACATGTGGAGGTAGTGAGGTAAGAGAACCCCTGAGAGGTTTATTGAGTTATGCAGTATACATATTAACTAAGTGTAATAGTAGATTAAAAGAAGACTTGCGTATTAGAACCAGGTCCTCACCGTCGCTTCCTTCTTTTACTTCCCTTTCACTAGATGCAATCCGTCACATTCGACAACCGTGACTACCAATACGAACCATGGCTAGACCTCATGCAATGCTTCAAATGCTGGAGGTCTTCCCTCCACTACGAATGCAGCCGACTCCCAGCAAGGTTAAGTGCTACATGACTTGGGGCTTTACACTTTATCGGACCCATTACGGCTCAGAATCCGACAAACAGTGGGAAGAATTGCTTGATTGTCTGAATCGGCAGATGACGCTGGCGCTCGGCTACTTCCGTGACCAGGAATGGGAGGATGAGGTTTTATGGCAAAAGGAAGGCCACTGCGATCCGACCGAGTATTGCAAGAGTCGCGAAGAATACTTGAACTATTTGAAGAAACTCGACGACTTGTTCTATCTCGACACTCGCGAAGATTCATCACTTGACGGCCTGGGGGTCTCGGATATACGGGAGGTATGCTGTCGCAATCCGCCTGAGACGGAGGAGGGTATGGCAGGGTTCCTGTCTCGCTACGTTCTTCTAGCGGACAAAGATGTGTTTAAAGCTATGGAGAAGGGAGAGTACATAATCAAGGTTGTCAACTACGATTGGAGGGAGGGCTGTAACTATTGGGGCTGGATGCGTATTCCGACAGGTCATCTACTTGACTTTTGGCACGCTCTCATGAGAAATCAAGATAATCCCAACAGCATTACACGGTTCAATGGGCCTGAAGAAGATCTGGAGGAATATGTCTGGTCTGGCAGCATTGACCTCTTTGGTACAGGAGATTGCTCTGAAGTTCGATACGGTTTTCACTATGAGGGTCAGAGAACGAGGTTTAAGTTGGATAAAAGTGCAAATAGCTGAATGAGCAATTATGGAACGAGCGGCAGGCGTTGTAGAAGGGAACAGCCGCGAAGCCGGGTTTAATTTCGCTTTGACTCTGGTCGTATTCACGGTCCAGTACTCCAGTCGGACCCTGACAGTGAACTGCCCAAAGTGGTAAGATGGTTAATATGGGCTGCCCACTTCGGCGTAAACCATGAGTGACAGTGGAAGTTAATTGGCTCGGACTGAGAACCCGGCCGTGGAGCCGGCAGGGTTTACAAGGCGAGCGAGCAACCAACAGAACTGACTACCAACACAGCGTTACACGACCACAGGCTGGACCAGCCTGAATGAAGCCATTGAAGACTTTTTCGTCTTCCAAGCAACCGGATTGGCGCATGAACTGATGTAAAGTCCATCCAGACAGTCTCGGCACTTTCGACGACGTGTTTCGCAACCCAGCGACGAGGGCAATTGAAGCAGGGAGTCAGGGTCCAGGGCCCTGCATCTTCACAGTCTAGGCAACTTAGCGTTCCACCGCAGTTGGGACCCATCGGATACGGCCTGCACATGCTCGGTTGTTGGTAATATTGGGGTCTTCAATCGCCACTTGGAATATTCAGGTTCCTTGTTATCTCCCTCATTTTTGTATTGAAAGAGTAGTAAGGATGTAGAAAATGGCTATTCTTAAACGTCTTCTCCCGCTCAGTCTTGTCGTCAGTGCAGGCGCTTTTCGTATTTATGACGCTGATAACCTCAACAATGTCGACGAATCTTGTGCCAACGCCCTAGCGGTGGATATCAATTGCCATTCTCATATCCGTTCTTTCGTGAAATTAAGAAATCGCGGCTCCCTTGACAATGTTACATTTACAGATGAGATATGTGTCGAATCTTGCTCCGCTTCGCTCCGCAGCTGGTTTCATACCGTCGCTGAGAAATGTAACCTCGACAACTATGGAAGTGATGCAGTTCTGATGCAGCTCGAGGGAAGCATCTGGGCTGGTCGGAACGAGACATGTATCAAGGGTCCTAAGACTGAGAGACGGAGTACCGCAACGAGTATCACTCAATCTGACACCTCAACTTCATGTCAGACAAGTTTTTACACCCTGACAACACTCAATGCCTCAAGTTAAGTACCAGACGCTATGGCAACTTGAGGCCTATCACACCGATGATGCGTTGAGTGAAACAGGCTGTCCGGGTAACCAATCACTTTTTTGACCCCGCAACATAAATCAGGCGGATATCATTAGTATATCCAGATGCCTTCAGCAGTTTCTCACGCGATATCAGCGATGCCAAAGTTTCGAAAGCCATGTCTTCAGGCCCTACCAAGTTCTTTGTATCGTCACCCCACGGCTGCGCGGCAATATCCGACGGTGAATCTCCTGTCAATATCAGTCCCTCTAGCCATGGCGCTATCATCAGCTCGAAAAGTATGGAATCCCCCGAACCAAAAGCCAAGACGCTGACTAATTAACATAAGAGGAATCAGGCTCTGGAAAGGTGCACTTCGCGCTCCCGACCCTACCATCCCCTTCGGAGGACGCGCTCACCGGTCATGCCACCATGTCGGTCCAGCTTGAGATCTCACTTTCCCCGCATCCACAACCTGATCCAGACGCCCTTTGCAAAGTCGCCCGGGTAGAGTTGCATGCAGGACGTGATCAACTCGGACAGTGGGATGCTGGAGAGAACGATAACGATTGGTTGATCGATGACGACATAAGAATTCCTGTTTGGAGTGGTATCACGGGCGCTGGAGAAATGTTTTCAACGACAACCCCAAAGGTCTCTGTGTGACCTTGACATTGGAATTTGGTGGCGGCTTATGGCTGCTTATTTCGTCTGTTGCTCTGATACAGCCGGTTGAAAGTCTGCCGAAGCCGAAAAAGCGATTCGGTGAAACATGTGTTGTCATTTGACAAAGGGCAGAAAGACTTGCTCATTCTCATGATGACGAGATGATATTAGAAGGGCATCACACAAAGGGCTGTCAAGAACATCATTCTCTATCGCAGCGATTGTCTCAGTAGGATTTCACTCACGGGAGGGTTGACAGAATATCACTCGGATCGGCGTTGTCATGTTCTCTTTGCAGATACAATATTCAGAAGAATTTCAATTAATTTGATCGTCCTAGCTTTAAGAGGCTCATATCTGCTGTTGATCGGTAGGTAGAGAAGGCTGTGACGCTAGCCTGACGGCAGCAATATACAAGACGCATTATGAAGATTATCTATCTATAGAATAGTCTTCAAGGTCTATAGGCTCACTGGCAGACTTTTTCAATAATATCAACCACCTTGCCTATTGCCTCCTCACTCAGGAAGGGGACATGCCCAGCGTGAATGGTCTCAATCTGGACACCCTCTCTCATTGCTCCAGCCATAGCCTGCTGCCCCTCCACAGGAATACAGTGGTCAATGTCACAGACAACATAAGTCTTGAGTACAGTGATGTCAGTTGCGACAAAGTCCGCTGCTGTTTCAAGACTAGCGGTGCTCTGATGAGCGCACTGTGCTAGGGCCTTGTAGGCTTCGTCGGAAGGAAGATCGTTGTAGAATGTATCCTTCGCTGCATCGTTCAGATACAACGCATCATCCTGGACTTGGTGTCAGTGTTAGAAGGTAGTGGTGTTCTGCGGGACTTACCGTCCGATCAAGGAAAGGTCCAAATGTTCCACCGACAGCAGCCAAGAGAGAAAGACCCTTCACTGGTAACGCAAAAGACGCGACATATACCACGTGAACAATGCCACCTCTTAAGCCCTGAGCCTCTCGCTCATGAAATTGGTATCCCTCAGCAGCTGCGGAGCCTGGGATGCCACCATAACTATGGCAGACAAGAACAATCTTCTTTCCTTCGTCCAGAGAAGGTTGGGGTGTCTGGCGTATAACTTCAACATCATCCAGATGGGTCTTTCCCTTGATATTCTCGACGAGACCAGCCGTAGTGTTCCCAGGTTGAAGGACAGTGTAGCCCTTGGATGTCAAGGCTTGGGTGAAGGCTTCGTAGTGAGGTCTGCGATGCCATGCACCTTGAACAATGGCAATGACTGGCTTTTCGGTGTTTAGGGACATTTTGCAAAAGATAATAGATGAGAGCTCAAGATGATCTATCTGTTTAAATTGACGACACCAACGAAGACTTATATATTTGATGATTTCAAGTGAGCACTAGACAGGTTAGGCAGTTGTTGATTACAGTCAGCCCTATGGTGATCCTGTGCCGCAGAGGTACATGTTAAACCACTCACGATCCTCATTTCGCGACTGAACCCGCTTTCCAACTCGCGCCATACCAATACCGGCTAGCAGAAGGATCATGGTATAAGTCCTGCAACACAAGATAGAATAGCATACATGTCAGCCGATGCTTCAATAAAGTGTATTAGCCATTTTTTTCGTATCTAATTTCCGTCAAGCTGAATAGCACTACACTTTACGCTCAATGCGTCTTCCTCGTTAAGAGCATCATCCAGAAGTTGAACATTCTCGTCATAGCCAAGGCTGAGCCAGTGATTCCGCATCTTTCCCACCGCGTCGTACAACCTTGACGGCGACGCGCCTTCATACGTTGAAAAGCCAATCTTATGGTCGTGTATGTTGAGCCAGTCGAGTAGATGGACAATGTCGTAAACGTCTGACTTGTATTTTGTGATCGACTGTGGTCGTGTACTTCCGATGTATTGGACTGCGCGCTTCATTTTGGTGAGGATGAGGACGTCGGGGATGAGGACTGGGATTGTTCCTGGAAACATTTGGTTAGACATGACTTAAAATTGGCAAGAGAATGACATACCATCGTCTGGGTAGAAAGTAACGATCTTACGAGGTAGCCCAAGAGATCCAAGCGCAAGCGTCTCAATAGGAATACGCTCCTTGGCCCCGCCGGGAGCAAAGAATACGTTCAGGCCATCTACCACAAATCGAGAATCCGCTGTGCAAACGATATCCTTGAAGCGTTCTCGGATAGTGTTTATGTCCATATCAACATAAACATCGATGTCGAGGGTAGAGCGACCACCGCCGAGGAGGTACACGGCGAAGCCGCCGATAAAGGCAAACTTGATGTCATTTTGTGTGAGAATGCGTGAAAGAGCCTCTGCGGCTACCTTCATGTCGCTGAATTGTGACGGAGTGACGGGCTCCATGATTTCAATCATTGTTGTTGGTTGATTTGACAAGGAATGATTGATTGATTGAGAAGTTGGAAATCGGTATTTCTGATCAGGAGGGAATCTTTGACTTTTATAGAGCTACGAGCCGAATTCCTAAAAGTCACAGCTGTTTAAGCTTCAATATCTGCAAACCTTGTGATTCTGATTCATCACCACAATGATTCTCATTGAGCAGAACCTTCGGCATGCTCTTATGGCGCAAGGCAGCACAACAAACTTTTCAGCCACTGGTAGTACGTCGAATCGGCGGCACCAACCAAAGTTCATACACGCATTGGACAGTCCGAAATCTACAGCGTCCATTTAACTCCCAGTATGACTCATATTTTGTGGTGGCGCTCACTTTGTCCACTCCGGTTTCATAATTTTGGTCTTTGCTGAATATCATAGACTGAAAATGGTTTTGGAATGAAAGCAGAATTAAACCCTTTCACTCTTCTTATAAGACCCAGAACAATCTCTTACGATATGCAGCTTGCTGATGTAAAGGGTCTGTCGGGTTAGACTTTTGCATCGGCAGCTGTAAGCTTTCCTCCAATCTCATGCCCATGGTCACCATCCACATCCTTGTCCACTCCAGGCTGGCCAATTGAAGCAGTAAACTGTATCTTCTGCGACCGGAAAGGATTGTAGCTGGTCGCGAAGACAGCATCGATTTCCTCAAGTGCACGACCCTGCTCAATTAGTAATGGGTCTATCACAAACACCAGGTTCAATCTTACCTTAGTTTCAGGGAGGAAGAAGAACGTGAAAAGGAATGCCACTCCCGACACGCTACCAAACACCCAACCGACACCAAAGTGGAGGTCCCTGATTAGGTATGGGATTATGTAGTTTGTGACAAAAACCCAGATGACATTCCACGCTGCTCCCAAAGACTGTGTCTTTTCACGAACGGAAGCATTGGGAATCTCACCACCGATAAGATACGGGATGGATGCGCTACCCATCTATGTGAGATATTAGCATGATACCGCCACTGAAGGTTTCTGGCTTTACTGACATTATAAGAGAATGAGAACAGCATAAAGGCAGCTACAACGGTATTCTTCTCGGCTGCGGATTTATCAGATCTTCCGCCAAGACCAGCCAGCATGAACAGCCAAAACAGTTGTAGGATGTAGCTAGTCATCAGAGTGTATCGTCGTCTGTTCGGGTGTTAGCGGACTATTCTTGTAAAACGAACGCTCATGATCTTACCCCAGGGTGTCAACCAGATACATGGCTGGAATAACCGCAATTGTGCCCAGAACACTGGTAATAATGGGGTAAAGAAAGGCCTTGTCAGCGTAACCATTCTCTTTGTAGAAGACGGTTTGGAAGGTTGAAGTAAAGGCTTGACCGGTCGTCTACTTGTTCTTAGTAAAACACGCACGTACTACTAAAACGAGCAAGTACGAACCTGTTGGAAAAAGTAAAAGGCAATGACAATCAGTGTTCGGCGAAGGTTGGTGCCACGAAATACGTCGAGCCACGGCGCTTTATGCACTTGGTCACTACAAGCGTCTTTGATAGCCCGAATCTCTTCATCGAACCGTCCCCGGTCGTTGTCATCTTTGTTTCGCAGGCGGCGCAGTGATACGATAGCATCTTCTTCACGGTCCTTGGAAAGAAGCCAGCGAGGAGAATCAGGGATAAAGAACACAAAACAGGTGAGCACTGTAAATCCAGGTTAGATAGCAGGTCACTGACGATGTTATGGTTTACTTACAAACGGGAAAGATGAATTGAATGCCCGTGACTGTTTTCCAGCCAACACCATTAGTGTATGTGGAATATGCCTTGTTGGCACCTGTGGCAACGACGGTACCTGCGGTCAAAAATAGTTGTAGAGAAATCACGACAAGACCACGGAGAGGAGCCGGGACAATCTCTGCTTGATACGTGCTATATACAAGTCAGTAACTACAATGGTTGGTGAGAAGAGGTTGCCTACGTGACATCAACCTCGACAAGGCCAATCGAGATATAGACAATAGTACGCCCGACGACGAACTGCGCAAAACGGCCAGAACCGTATGATGAGTCTGCAGCGGTAATTTCCACTAATTCGATAGTAAGTAACTACCGCGACTATTATGAATCGGACTTACTAATGACCCCAACGCATGATATTATAGAAAGTAGCACAAAGACCATGCGGTGACCATACTTTTCAATCGCTGGACCAGCAAACAAGCATCCGAGGAACTTGCCGAAGAAAGGTACTGACGACATAACCGAGGTCTGAGACGCTCCGAAGGCATAAGTTTGTGATTCGGCATCGTATGTTCCAAATTGGTTGATAAATCCCTAAATCTCCGATCAGTTTCACCTTGTTGTTGATCAAGGTTGCAAGACGACTTACCGGATTAGCCAAGATACCACCAAAGCTGCCTGTGTCGAAACCAAATAGCATGTCGCCCACTAGTAGACAGAAGCAAGAGAAGATGAGGAGGGGGGAGACGGACCCCCATGCGGAGCGTTGACTGGCCATTCCGAGAGTAAGAGGCTGGGTACCCAGAGTTGAAAGCCTCAAGAGGAGGGTTTCAACCGTAAAAGGTAGGGCACTTGCCCCCCATTTTGTATGCCAATATGATACCTCTGTACATAACGATGACACCTTAGAGATTTGGGTCCATGGTGTTCCTTCGGTCTGGGGAACGTGGGGCATCCCGGTATTGATAATGCCGAGTGTGTATGGCGACATTCCCACCTCGCCAATCATCTCACACTTTCTTCGGAACGAGATGGAAGTTACCAATGGCCAGACGACATATTCGGAACAGAGAGGGGTCTTTACCAATCATCTGGAGTTTTTCTCGGAACGAGGTCGACCGTTCGTTGCCGATCTATCCTGGTGGGTAGTATCACTATCCTAGAAAGAGTATCGATACGATGATATACCCCACTCACCCTCGGAATCCTTTAATGATACAAGTTGAACCCCTCACGCAACCATTGTTCTTGACTCGATACACACAGGCTGTACATTGTTCACAATGGGCACTACACATGATACCATGACCAAGCGTCCCAATTTCCTCTTCATTCTCGCCGACGACCTGGTCAGTTCTTAACCCAGCTCAAGAACGCACATACTCAACCATCCAGGGCTTTTCCGATATTGGTTGCTATGGCGCCGAGATCCAAACGCCCAATATCGATCAGCTAGCTTCTGAAGGCCTCCGTATGCTGAATCATCATACCGCCGCAGCCTGCTCGCCAACACGAGCCATGCTTCTGAGCGGTACTGATGCACACCTTGGAGGTTTAGGAGTCCTAATAGAGTACAAAGGTAGCGAGAAAGGAGCTAAGCGTTATGGTGGGAAGGCTGGCTATGAGGGTTACCTTACTGAGGATGTTGCAACTATTCCTGAGATTCTGGGGGATAATGGTTACTTCACCGCCATGTCCGGAAAGGTAAATAGTTCACCAAGATGGCGAAAACAGTGGCTGACGTGGTGATAGTGGCACTTGGGTATGCGCGCGAACCAAGGACCCTGGGAGCGTGGTTTCCAAAAGGCATTTGCTATGCTTCCGGGATGCTGCAACCATTATGGTTGGGAGCCAGTGCAAGAGAAATTCCCTGTCGGCGGTCGTCCGATTCATGCCGAAGAGGGTAAAAAGGTCGACATGTGAGTTACAACTCCCTCAGATATTACATAAACTGATTGATTCCAAGAACTCCCAACAAGACGGAAGACCCTGAGGGTTTCTACTCGACCGACTACTACACTAATTGTCTCCTTGAGTACTTTGGAGGCAGAGACGAAAAAGAGAAAGAGAAACCGTTCTTTGCCTTTCTTCCCTTTACAGCACCTCACTGGCCATTGCAGTGTTCCAAGCAACAACGCGATAAGTAAGCAAATCCGTGCAGATTCATCTAACCGAGACTTACTCCTACTTTAGGTACAAGGGAATGTACGATGACGGCCCATACGCACTACGTGAACGCCGCCTGAAGAAGCTCGTGGAGCTTGGTATCATTCCCGAGTCCGTGGTTCCACACAAAGTTGAGACCGATACGGTGGGTGTTGGAGAATGGGACGAGTTAACGCCAGAGGAGAAGAAGTTATCGAGCCGAGCTATGGAAGCTTACGCTGGAATGGTCGATTCTATAGACGTCAATGTCGGAAAGGTGGTGGATTACCTCAAATCGACCGGGGAGTATCATAACACGTTTATTGTGTTTATGAGTGACAATGGGGCTGAGGGAGCTGCGTAAGTTGTCTCCTCCCTTGACAGCTTATTTGACAAAACTAACCTGTTACAGCATGGAGGCTGTTCGTAAGTAGTGCGATTGCTTCACGTCGATTGACAGAATTGACCGTCTCACAGCTGTGATGGGAGACAACATCAAAAGGGCTATTCATGAATACTATGATAACTCCTACGAGAACATTGGATCCTGGAACTCGTTCACCTGGTAAGAACCGAAGATCCAAGAAAGAACTCAAGCTTACAATGAAACATAGGCTTGGTCCTCTCTGGGCTCAAGGATCTACCGCACCTTCGAGACTATTCAAATGCTTCCCATCCGAAGGAGGCATCCTTGTACCATGTGTTGCAAAGTTCCCAGCCAACACGCTTTCACCTTCGTTCAAAGCAGGATCTCTCGATCGATCGTTCTCAACGGTTATGGACTTTGCTCCGACGTTTCTTGACCTGGCTGGCGTGTCTTTACCATCTGGCAGTGGTATCAAGACTTCCTTCCGAGGAAGACAAGTACACTCAATCCGCGGAAAATCATGGGTTCCATTTTACAGCCACGGAAAAGCAGCAGAAGATAACCAAGTGTGGACGATACACTCTTCCACTGAGCCGATAGGATGGGAACTTTTTGCACGCGGTGCTCTTAGAAAGGGTGACTGGAAGATCGTGCACATCGCCAGGAAAGAAGGCGGTGCTGGTGATGGTGATGAGGGCTGGGAATTATTCAATATCGCTCAAGACCCTGGAGAGACGACTGATCTGGCTGATAGCAATCCTGAGAAACTCCAAGAGTTGAAAACGCATTGGGATGAGTATGTGGTTGAGTGTGGTGTTGTTTGGGGAGAAACAGCAGAGGCTTTGGGTGTTGATAAAGACACTGCGCCGGAGTTGTGGGAGGATGATACGGAGTTGCAGAAGGGTTGGATGAACACAAAAGCGGGTACATGTCCTGTCTAAACAATAATAATTAGGCAACGTTCTGAATCTGACAATCAACTTTTCCTCTGTGCTTTCCATTACAACCACGTCAAATCCGACTTCCCACCGGGCATCATAATTCTCAAAGGCCACCCCTTCGCAGCATAAATCTCCCCCACAATCCTCTCCAACCAAATCGTCGCCAGTACCGGAAACACAAACTCAAACCGCTCCCTCATAGCGACTTCAACAGCTGCATCCCACGATACCCTTCCACCCTCATCATCACCAAGCGCTATTTTCGCATGTGCTATTGAGAGATGGATTATCGCTGTGACCCATCCATGTCTGGAATTAAAGGTTGCTAGTGTTTCCATTGTTTGGCCGGTGAGTTGCCAGAGTTGTAAGGCTTCGGTGAAGTTGCATCGTTCATGCTGGATTCGTGCTTGGAGGATTAGACGGCGCATTTTTATGACTTGGTCGTTTAAGTCATCCAGCTCGGGTGGTTCAACGGTAATTAACTCCTCCACCAGCAAAGCTGCATCATCCAGTTGTCCAAGCCCGATGTATCCCTCCGCCATAGCCATACACAACCGTCGAAACGGCCTTCCCTTCCTCGCCTTAATTCCCTCCAACTCAGCCTGCGATACCTCAACCGCTTTATCATATTCATGCAACTCGCAGTGAATCTCAGCCAACCTCGTAACGATTAGCAATTTTGTGTTATGCCTAATCGGCATAGTGGAATTCAGCCACAAATGCTGTTCCAAACTCGCTCGCGTTGTCTTGAAATCCCCAATGGAATGAAAGAACTTCGCCGCAACACCCTGCAATCGTCTCGTGACTTCAATCTCAAAAGTCGAAAGCGGATGGATACCCTGCCATAAGTATATCGTCGCAGCAACATCCTTATCATACCGATGGATCTTATTCTCGATGCTAGAAATATGCAGTCTTCCCTTGAGCGCGTTATCAGATCTCGTCGTCACCTCCATCTCCGCGTTCAAAAACTCATTGATAATAGCGTCTGACCGCTCATAGCTACCATCTTTGCCAGAAATAATACTGTCGAATAGTGTCACTGAAGCTTGATAGTAGAAAGACATGTTTTTGCGAAGGAGGGATTTGGCGCGTGTTATGGCTGCTAGACGGATGGTGAAGAGGTCGCGTTCGCAGAAGAAGAGGAGAGCTTCGATTATGGCTGTTCGCAAGGATGACGGGATGCGTTTTTGGGAGGTGAGACTGTCGAAGAGGGACCATATTGCTTTTTTGAGAGGGAGGGGCCAGTTGACTTTTCCTTCGTAGCAGGGTGGACAGGCGAAGCAGAGGAGTCGGAGAGCTGTTGTTGCCCAGTCTTCTATTGTCTGTGGTGATAGACGCTCTGAAATATCTTGTTGGGCTTGAGGGTGGAGAGATAGTGTGATTGTGCCGTCTTCTAGTGTTTGCTGCGTGACTTCAGGTCGTTGTCCAAGCTGAGACAAAACTTCATCATTGGACAATACTCCAACCAGGTCCGAGCTAAACCCAAAGTCGGTAGCAGCAATACTCTGTATCTCTCCCCCATCCGTCCAACGTCGCATAGGAATCTTGACAGTCTTCAAAAGATCAACCGGAACATTACTGCCACCGAGGGCAAGAATGAGAAGAAGACCTTGGTCGGACGGTAAAAAGCAGTCGCTGTAGTCCGACAGCAAATTGCGATATGACAAAGTGAGCGACGGATCTGCACTGTTAGTCTAGTAAGCGAGAAGCAAGGTACCACACACCATTAAGCTGCTCCGTAATGAGCCGCTGCACGAAAAGCGTCAAATCAGGTGCCTCGGCTCCGATACCCTGCAGATGATCGAACGCTTCGTTGTCTTCCATATTGAGATACCTCTCATATCTAATCTGATTAGCGCGATCTTTCGGAATCGTCGGAATCACTTACGTTGAAGCGGGTACTTCTAAAGGTAACCAAAGAACAGAACCAACACCACCCAATCGTCTTGCAATCTTGATATACTTACTGCCCGCATATCGTAACTCGGACAATGTACGTCCTTTAACGACATCAGCGACATCCTCCGCAATCCAAGCATCATCATTAATCTTGGACCTCAAAAATATCGTGACACAGGCAATTCGTCGTCGCAATTCCTGGAGTAGCCCATCACCCTCCGCCGTCCAAAAGCCCTTAGTGTCATTCTCAAATCTCGTATGCAATGCCGAGATCTTAGTAAAAGTGATGGAGTGAAGCGACAAAATCTTCGCAGTGCGCTGATTACTCGGAATAATCTGATACCGAACTTCCTTGGCGAGGGCTTTATTCCTGCCAAGAATTGCGCGAATAGCTTCTAGATGTTTGTTCAAGGATGATGCGGATACCTTGTCAGCGTTATCAATCTGTTTGCACAGGCACGCCATGCTGATCCGAGAGATAATGTGTGAGACAATGCGTGATGATCTTTTTTTCACAGTGAGAAAGGGGAGGATGAGGTTGTTTATGGAGTCGTTATCCTTGTACTAGTGGGTCGTGGCGTCTCACGGTGAGAAAATTTGGTTGGAAGGGGCGCCGATGGTCAGGGGTCTAGCTTGTTTGAGGTTTCGAGGGGGGGGAAACCGACTGGTTGGAGAAATTCATGTTATTAGAGGACAGGTATCTCTGTTAGTAATTGCTCATCCTCTCTACTGTTCAGGGCTCACACTCGATATTAAGACAGACAAAGAAAGGCTGATATCATAATAGCATAATGGTAGTTTGTTGGTAGTTTTTTAATATATTACATACGGCAGAGATGCTTGGATATGCAGTGATTTTATGTCTCAATCTAACATCCAATGTACCTCATCAGCTCATCCGGCTCTCCTGACACTTCTACACCAAGTGGAGACTACTGATAAACCAGTGGGGCCCAGACCAACGCCCTCAAACCTTGTTGAAAATTCCATCAGCGGTTCCACCGAAGTTCGATCTGATAAAGAACCTGACATCCATTCCATCTGATAATCTTTTCCATCTCATCTCATCTTCCATCTTATCTCTCTCCCTCCCTTCCTTACCCCCTCATGATGAACGCTTCAAAGGAGGCCCAAGACGTGATCCACTCTTCGCCCCCGTCCGACCAATCAGACAATGAAGACCATGGCAAGAAACCGGTGCCGATGAGTATGAAGATACTCTCGGTCGTCATCGTTAGTATGATTGGTTTTGGTGGACATTGGAGTAGTGGTGTCACTGGTGCTTTAAAAAGTACCCTCAAAAAGGTATGTCGGCTCATGTGTTTTGTACAAAAAGGGGTTAGCTAACCTATATTAGGAACTTCACATCTCGAATACCCAATATGCCGTCCTTGACACGAGTGAGAACTTTATCAAGACTGCTCTCATTCTTGTTAGTGGTGTTCTCACAGACCGCTATGGAGGTGCAAGTAAGTGACTTTCCATCGTAAGCATTTTGTACCATCACACTGACACATTCAGGCACCATGCTTTGGGGAAACGCCATCTTCAGTTTAGGAGCCATCCTCGTCGCAGCAGCCACAACAGTCCGCTCCTACAAATTCATGATCGGCGGCGCCGTGATCCAAGCCCTCGGCGACGTAGCAACCCAAGTCGCCCAATACAAAATCTTCTCCTCATGGTTTCCGCCCTCCTCAGGTTTCGCATCAACACTCGCCTTCGAACTCGGCATCGGCAAGATCGGTTCATTCGTCGGAAAAGCTACCGCCAACGTCATCGCGCAGAACCTCGGCGATTTCAGCTGGGCGTACTGGATGGCTGTGTTTATGAACCTGTTCACCAACGTTGCTACTCTGTTCTTCTGGTGGTTTACGCGTTGGTGTGAGAAGCGTTATGCTGGGACTAAAGATCCTGCTACGGGAGAAAAGTTGACGGAGAACAATAAGAGGTTTGAGATTGGAAAGATGTTGAGCTTGCCGTGGTCGTTTTGGATGGTTTGTCTGTTTTCACTGTTCCAGACTTCCACGGCTAGTGTCTTTGCTTCCAACAGCACAGAACTGGCGGAGCAGCGCTTCAAGATCTCGGCTATCAAGGCGGGATGGTACGCGTCTATGTCTCAATACCTGGGTTTCTTCTTCGTGCCTTTGATCGGCGTCTTTGTCGACATGTTTGGTCAACGACTTACTCTCATGCTCGTTTGTGGCTGCGGAATGCTCTTGTCCATGTGTCTAGTAGCATGGGGACCCAGCGTTTCTGGTACCGCCGCCAGTTTCGGTATTTTCGCAGTGGCTACATCATTCGGACCAACAGTCATTATTGACAGTATCCGCACAAGCATGTGGTACCAAGAAGTATTCGGCTCAGGCTACGCGATCAAGATTGCCATCAACAACAGCATGACAATCATCGTCGGCGTCATCTCAGGAGTGATCCAGGACCGAAACGAGAATAACTACGATAACGTCACGATTTTGTACGCGACGATGGCCGCTGGGTCTGTTGTCGTGGGGTTGATCATTCTAGCGTTGGGTTTCGCTAGTGATGTTATGGGACATTTACAGTGGAGTCGCAAGAAGAGGGTTGAAAATGGTCATGTCATTGTTGCGAAGAAGGAAGAGGCTGAGAGTGAGGGGCGAGCTGAGTGGAGTAGGAAGTTGGGGATGGTGAACTTTGGGGCTGTTGTTGTGCTTATTCTTGGGGCTTGGGTTGCTTACTTTTGGGGATTGGCTACCAAGAATACTTACTAGTGAGGGAAGGATTGGGGATTGACGTTAATGGAGGTAGATATATAGAGTAATGAGAGATAATGTTGTATGCATCATCATTGTCATCATCGTGAGAGACTTGAGTTGAAGACGCGACGCGTTCCTTATTCTGACCACCTCAGTTTGTGATTGGTGGACTGTAAGCAAGCCAATCAGAACGCGTCAAGGTCCATACCAACCAAGTTAAGTCAGCGCAAGCGGAAACACGAACACGCGCATACCATGGTAATTATTCCATCATCGAACCGGGGAGTCCATTACTTTAAATAACTCTCTCATCAACAGTCACCGCTCTTCTCTCCGAGTCACTCACATGATCGGAAACACGGTATATTTCCCCCTTCCTTTTCTCCGCTTGTCCCCAGATCTAATGCAACAAAAAAAGCACGGATTGCATGTACTTCTCCATACTAAAAGACCCTGCATATACTTATGCGCGGTCCGTTGATTAGCCGCTGGAGCGAAATCGCCTGATTATCCACTTATTAATGAGATATCCCACTTTATTATAACCGCCGTAATACTACCCTGCAGGCCTCGGTTGGGGATTTTGTCTGTTCGAGAAGGAAGGTTAATTTTGAGCTTATTTTAGTATTTGTTGTGTTGGGGAATGTGGAGTGAGACATGATGTCGCGTAGAGGCGGTCAGACCTTTTTGTTGCAGTCCCTGGTGAACTCTCGTGTATCTGACTCAGATGACTGATGGAATAACATGATGTAGTTTCAGCCAAAGAGTCACGAACCTTCAATGTCAATCTGTCAATCTTCATCTCTTTTGTCAAGATTGCCACCATTGTGTTTGTTCATCACATCATCTGTCCAACGTCTTACCCTTCTCTTCCCCTCAACGTAGTGGAGCACGCACCTCCTTCAAACACCAAGGTTGGGGTTCCCCCACGACCTGAATCATGAAATCCGGCAGCCAAGACTCCAAATCCTACCATCCCCGGCCTCGTTATGTCGTTGCCTACAGCGGACCCGAACACCAAGGCTTCTAGATTTCCGAGAGTCCCCGCACAAGAGACATTTTCGCGCAAATAACATCTGTACTCCGCAACCATCCCAGCCATCGCGTACTCCATGCTGTCTGTGTGTATGCAGGTTATGACGTACCCACTCATGCAAAGGGTAACAGTTGCCCCGAGTAATCAACAAGGTTGTGATTGGAGAAACCAACATGAACCCCAAGAATTTGGAGTCTTGGCTGATTCGTCTTTCGGCAGTTAATGTGGTCGCCGATGGATGGTAACCCAAGCATTTCTACTCAAAACATGAGAGGAGGAAAATAACTCGCCAAGCAGCCAAGGAGTGTTATGACGAGAACAGAATATGGGGGATTGGCACAGCTAAAAGGCTTAGCGCGGCTAGTAACTTGGGGCAGATTTGGGGCTTTGGTCTCTATTACCGTAGAAAATTGCCAGACTGGAGATGAGAAACAGATTACTTTATTATAACTGCGGAGATACCATTTCTATTACCCAATTACCCCAATCCCTTGCCCCAAAATCCACCGTCTCAGAATCTTCTCCGCTGGAAATGGTACATTAGCTGACCATTGCCCAGACTTTCCCCCACAATATAAGCCATGGCCCTACGTCTTGGCTTTTTTCCTCTCCTCTTTTTTTCTGTTTTTTTCTCATCTCTTGGCCATCCCTTGGCTTTTTCGTCTCGCTTGGCTGCGTAAACACACAACCATGCGAGAGAGCACAGCCAAGACAACCGGCACCGTCTTTTCAAGCATGCGAGTAAGGTTCCCCGCAGTCTTGAGGCAACACCCTGTCGTGCAATATGGGGTCAGTGGAGAGGTATAAGAGAGGAAGATTTCTCGCTCGTGAGATCAGGTAGACAGACAGGTTCACTCTTCTGTCCCTCCTCTCTTCCCTCCTCCTCTACTTCTTTCTCGCTACCAAAATGTCAGACCAAAAACCTCAAGATGACGCCAAGGACGTAGGCGCTCCTCTGGACGCCACGGCTTCCTACGCCCAGGAAAAGCCTGAAGTTGTCCCTGAGCTCTCCAACGTTGCAGCTCTTGGTCTTCCCAATGCTGCAGAGCTCGAGAAGAAGATCGTTCGCGCTCTAGACACTTGGATGCTGCCCCAGCTATGGATTCTGTACATGTTCAACTATCTCAACCGTACCAACATTGCGCAGGCGCGTCTCAACACGTTTAATCAGGATCTCAACCTCAAGGATGGAGATTATCAGACTGCTGTGGCGGTTTTGACTGTTGGCTACATGCTTGCGCAGTTGCCCTCGAACATGTTGATCACCCGAGTGAGGCCGTCGATTTATCTGCCTGTTGCTGCTTTTATCTGGTCTGCTATCTCGGCTATGACTGCGCTTTGCACGAGTGCTGGAGGTCTCTGGGGTGTGCAGTTTATTCTGGGTATCGTCGAGGCTCCTCTCTTCCCTGGTGTAAGTCACTTATTCTGCTCCAATTCTCATCATCGTACTAACATATGCAGGCTGTCTTCCTCATGTCCTGCTGGTACACCCGTCGTGAATTCGCTCTCCGTGTCGCCCTTCTATACTCCGGTCTGGTGCTCGCCCAGGCCTTCTCCGGCCTGATCGCCGCTGGTGTCTTCAGTGGTCTTGATGGTCCTATGGGTCTTGCAGGCTGGCAATGGCTTTTCATCCTCGAAGGTGCTCTGAGTGCCTTCTTTGCCATCACTGCTTACTTCACTCTGCCCAACTACCCTGACTCCCTTCACGGTGGAGCTATGCGCTACATGACTGAGGATATGCGCAAGGTCGCTGCTGCACGAATTCTTGATGACCGTGTCGAAATTCATGAGAAGTCGACTGTCTGGGTTGGTCTCAAGCTTGCTGTCGTCGATGTCAAGCTGTACATGTTCTTGTTTATGAACATCTTCATCACCTCATCCTACGGCTTCAACAACTTCTTCCCCACCATCGTTAGCGGACTCGGCTTCGGTAACGATGTTACATCCCTCCTCATGACCGCCCCTCCTTACGTCTTCGGTACACTCTGCACTTTCTACGTCTCTTGGGACTCTGACCGTCGTCGCGAACGAGGTCTCCACATCGTCATTCCCCTCTCATGCTCCGTTGTCGGTTTCATCGTAACCGTCGCAACCGGCAACGCAGCCGTCCGCTACGCTATGACCTTCCTCTACGCTGCAGGTTGCTTCTCCGCCAACACTCTCCAATACACATGGGCTGTGTCTACCATGAGTCAGACACCCGAGAAGCGTGCTGCAGCTGGTGCCATCGTCAACATCTTTGGTCACTTGGGTAATGTCATCTCACCTTACTTCTTCCCTGACAAGGATCAACCCCGATATACCATGGCTATGATCCTGCAGATTGTATTCGCCGGTCTTGGTATTACTCTTGCGTCTACCATTAAGTGGTTCTTGACAAGGAAGAACAAGAAGATTAGGTCTGAGGCTGATCGTCTTGGTGTCGACTACAACCCTTTCACTACTTAGTTGGTTGGAATGATGGAATATGGTTTACGCAATGGCTCAATGAAGCTCTGGTCATACGAATAGTATAATGAATGAACAATAACAATAATTGAAGGGCAGTATTTGCCTACTAAATACAATCTCGTTTGCCCTGTGAAGGCCCTGTTTCAACTGTAGATATGGGTTCACATACATGAATCAAGAGAAGAAAAAAACGTAGGAGCTCTCCTGTGCATAGAATATTCAGTTTAACAGTGCGATTCATTGTATATTAGTTAAAAAAAGCAAAAAGGATATCAGCCGTGTTAATCGACCGCGGCAGGAGTCGAACCTGCAATCTCTAGAGTATTTGATTTTGGTGAACCGAAATCTAGCGCCTTAGCCATTAGGCCACGCGGCCTGATCTTATTGGATGACTGTTTCGCTCAAACCAAGCACTATAGAGTGACAGCGTTCTTACTCCCAGAACTCACCCTAGACTCGCGACAATCAATTTTCGATTCAAGTTCTACCAACAGCTGATTCAAGACACTGCGCAACTGAGCTCCCTCAGTGCAACTAACTTTACATCTAGTTGGCCATCCCTGTATTTGTCGAATGCCCGATGTCAGACCAGTCTAGTAGTTCCAGTGGAAGCACACAATGACTTCCCTAGGTGCTAAGATTTAAATGGTGGAGTCGTCGATGGTACATTGGCTTTTCCTAATTGAAAGATAAATCAATCTGCACAGCCTGTTTTCGGTACATTAGCCTACTAGCAGGATTAGTAATTAAACGAAGACCGTGCGATACATAATTTCTATTGGTTGCACCCTTGCCAAATTATCCTTCCCATTTCCCCATCTACAGTGTCTCATTTCTCTGGCCTTCAACATACCGCGCCAGCCGCAAACACGACCTCTGCCACCGGAGAGTTCCAAACATGAATGAGATGATTGAAGAAATGGTTGACAATGTCTACCAGTATCCCAGCGGAACTAAGGTAGAAGCTGGAGGGAGGAAAAACCCCAATAACTTTCACTTGTTCCGTAAATGGGGGTTCACGATCTACCGCACTTATCACGGCAATAATGAAGCTTGGGAAATGCTTCTGTACTCTCTCAGACACCAGATGAAATTAGCCTTCGGCGCCTACGACAAGGGAGCGATCACCGAGTATGACGTAGACCCAGACGACATCCAATGGCTGAAGGACTTGTTTCATCTTGAGGCCCGCGAGGATCCTTCGCTCGAAGGACTTGACGTTCGAAGGCTCCGGGAGTTCTGCAGAGCTGAACGGTCCAAAGAAAAACATATCATCGAGACACCACACAGAAGAACTTTCAAGACTACAAGACCCAGAGAGACTCAAGGAATGGCAGATTGGGAGTTTGATTACGTTCTTTTTGCCGATGAGGCAGTCTTGAGGGATGTTGCCAGAGGCGAATTCATCGTCAAAGCTGTGTCGCTCAAATGGAAGGACGGTAAATTCGACTCGACGTGGGGCTGGATGAGAATTCCTACGGGTTACCTGCTAGAGTTATGGCATCACCTGATGCTCAATGACCTCCGCACTGAACATGCCTTGAGTTTCGACGGAGATGAGGAAGAGCTTGAAAATCTTATCTGGGCTGGAGACGCTTCCACCGACTGTACTGGCGATTACTCTGAGGTTCGCCCCGGACGGCATCACTACGACAACCAAAGTCCGAGATGCCTCTCGTGAGGGTCACGGGAACAAGTTCTGGCTCTATATTCAACTCAATGAGAAACAATTGAGCTATCAGTATTACACATTAAAATCTGTAAAATGCTACAAGATGATAATTGAGACTCAATTCGTTACTTTTATTTATTATTGGTGTGATGTTCTAGTAAGAGGAATAATAGTTTACGCGAAGGCCGTGCGGTGCATGTAAAACATCTGTTGGTTGTAACACCGTTAGACTTAATTGTTTTTTCCTCTCTTTCCACACTCGTCCACTTTTCACTCCACTTCCATCACGAACCGAATCTCGCCACAATTAAACCTCTTTGATAATGGCTGACCATATCGAAGAAATGATTGAAAACTGCTGTTGGCCTGAACTTGACACTAAGCGATATCCTGGAGGGAGGAAAAACCCCAACAACATTTACCGCTACCGCAAATGGGGCTACACAGTCTACCGGACATACTACAGCAAGGAGTCTGATGAAGCTTGGGCAATGCTGCTGTACTCTCTAGAACATCAGACCAAATTGGCATTGAGCGGCTTTGGAGAAGAGGGTGTTGACGACGATGACGTGCACGTTGACCAAGATGACGTTCAACAACTGAGGAACCTCTTCACGATTGAAGGTCTTGAAGACCCTTCGAAATTTGAAGGCCTCGATGTTCAAGGTGTTCGGGACTTCTGGAGTGCTCAATCGCTCAAGATGAAGCAAGCTGTGGTACAGATACCAGGCAAAAGACGCCGATTGACAACAAGGCCCTGGGAAACTGAAGCCATGGCAGATTGTGTCCACGACTTTGTGCTACTCGCCGACGAGGCAACTTTGAAAGACGTGGCAAATGGCTTGTTTGTTGTCAAAGCTGTCTCGTTGGAGCTGTTGGGGGCAGCCGGTTGGTCAGGGGGCTGGATGCGGATCCCGACAAGCTATCTATTAGATCTGTGGTTTCTGCTTTGTGATTGGCCAAGCAGGCCAGAAAACGCCCTGAGTTTCTCTGGCTCTGAGGAAGAGCTCCATTACTGGATCTGGCCTGGTGATGATAATCGCTGTATCAGGACTGCGAGATATTCTGAGGTTCGAAAGTTCCCACATTACAACGGTCAGACGTACCATGAGGATTTGTGGCGGTAAGTAACAAGACATATTGGTGGAGCTATCAAGAAGGCTGTTGAATGGTTGAAGTAAAAGGCCTGTTCAGAAACCACAGTTACCTTTTTAACTTGTTACCTCTCTTCTATCTTACATTGGTGTAACCAGGTCAATTAGCTTCAACCTCCTAAAACTCATATCTTGAAAACGAAGCCAAGGATGTAGCTAACGTAACTTAGCAAACGGCGCGCTCCACTCACCGAGCGGTGTGATGAAGAGGGATCTTCAGATTCGTCACTGTTCTGCTTTGACTCCTCGGATGACGATGGGCCTCTACATTAAGTACCACGATCAGCGACGCAACGAAGGAAGGAGGATGCTTCTACAGGAGCTAAAGAAAAAGATATCTTTTCATCAGGATATGTCAAGGAGGATAACTAACATGGAGTTAGAAGACACAAGCAATCACCGCTGGGGTTAAATGTACTGCGAGCGATTAATAAGAATATCCATTGCTTGACGTTACAACGAGACTGCATATTGAAATATACAGTAGAGTGGTTTAAGAGAATTCTGTGTAGTACTTCTGTACAATTTTCACTTGTTTCTTTTCTCCTTTCTCCAACTGTAGCCTAACTAGCCCAAAAGGCTTTCTTTCTTATGACTACAACTACAGGACTTATCTTAAGCATCCTGCCAATGTTCATCTTTACCGCTGTTGGAGATAATCTATCTATCACGAATACCTATGTCTGAGCTCTGAGGAAAAAGGCCTTATCATAATTCACTTTCAATACTAGTCAATTAAGGCATCAGTATCAAGTAACAGGCACGTTGCAGCGCTACCGCAAAATAAGTAATGGAGACCCAGTTAATTCATTACTCCTATTCGATGCCTGTGAAACATTCCACTAAAAGGAACAACAGTTTACGCGAAGGCCGTGCGGTGCATAATATCTGTTGGTTGCACCCTTGCCAAGCTCACTTCGCTTTCTTTCCTTACCTCCACAGAGGCTCATTATTTGAACCTTTTCAACCTTGAGATATCCCACACAAGTCCTATTTCCGTCCCAAATCTTCTGAAAATGGGTGACCTTGTTGAAAAGATGGTCGACTACGTCTGGCCGCCCCCGCGCGAGTTCAAGAAAGAGCCTGGAGGCAAAAAGAACCCAAACAACTGGCTCAAATGGGGTTTCACAATCTACCGAACTTACTACGGCGAAGAGTCTGATGAGGCTTGGCAAATGCTTCTGTACTCTTTGAGGCACCAAACTAAATTGGCATTTGGAGGGTTCGAAGACATGAAGGATGCAAATCAAGACGACGTACAGCGGCTTAGGGACTTGTTCCGCCTCGACGTTCGCGAGGATGCCTCCGTACTCGATGGTCTTGACGTTCGGGGCCTCCGAAAATTCTGCAACGATGAAAAGAACAAGCTGATCCACATCGACGACCAAGGGTGGCGACATATCAAGACAACCCTTTGGCCCCCCGAGGATGAAGCAATGGCCGAATACGTCTTCGACTTCGTTCTACTTGCCGACGAAGCAGTTTTGAGAGACATAGCAGGCGGCGAATTTATCGTTAAAGCCGTTTCAATGCGTTGGAGAGAGGGATATTCCGCATTCGGCTGGATGAGGATCCCTACCGGGTATCTGCTCGATTTGTGGATGATTCTTATGTTTAATGATGATCACACTGAGCGCGCACTGAGCTTCAGAGGACCGGAGAGCGAGCTCGACTATCACATTTGGCCAGGCGATATGGCCCTTGCTGATACAGGCGCTTGTTCTGAGGTTCGCCCACCAACCCTCTTGTACCCTAATCAAAACGTGTACCATATGATTTAGCGGTGAGATGGAAGGCAGTGAAAAGGACTCGGTCCCCGCTGTGAAAGATTACTGTGGTGGCATCTGGACCAACACATGGTACCGTGTAGGCGTTCTTGAACCCAACAAGTGCCCCGCCGAAGATAATTGCGACTACAACGCAGCCAACAGGAGCTCTAAAGCCTAGCGTTACTTGTGAAGGGTCAAGTGAGAGCTACTCTCCATTTCGTCAAGCTGGGAAGGGCGGAAAATGCGCCGAGATTTTGTCTATCAACGGCTACTACTACTGTGGATCACCAATCCAGGAGAATATGGTAAGTAACGTAAGGAATCTCACCAGGTGGCTAGTACGACGACATGTGCCTCAATATAGAAGCATTAGAAGATTACTATGTCTCAGCTAGCTAGGAGGAACCCCGCAGTCGGTAGTGGCTGTGAGGCCCTGTGGACCGAGTATTGGGTTAGTATTGAGTTGTAAACAGAGCTTAGAACTTCTGTATAACTCCTCGGATGACGATGGGCCTCTACGTTACGTACCACGATCAGCAACGCAACGAAGAAAGGAACATGCTTCTGAAGAGGCTCAAGGCGCAGTATAAGTTAGCACCTGGGTATTGGGTTAAGGCTCCCAAGACGATTTGAAAAATCAAGAAATTATCCCATCTCCACGATTAGAGTCAATATACAGGGTAATTCATAAGAATATGCATTAAATGAGGTTACCAGAAGGTGCATACTGAAATAAGCAGCAAAGTAGCTTAAGCGAAGTCTGTGCGGTACTCCTTCCTTGCAATTTCAACTTGTTTCTTTTCTCTTTCATGATATTTGATGTTTTGAATGTTTTCAAGGCGTAAAGTTCAAACCAACACAACGAACGTAGCGCAACTAGCTCAGTCAGCGTCTCCCCCACTATAAGTCTGATATATTTATCTTACGCTAGACCCTCAGATATGTCTGACATCATCGAAAAGACCATACAATTTACCTACTGCCCTAGACGGGAGACCAAATCAGAACCTGGAGGCAGAAAGAACCCCGCCAATGCTCATTTTTTCCGCCATTGGGGATACCCTATTTATCGCACATACTATGGTCCCGGCTCTGACGAAAGCTGGAACGAACTACTTTACTCGTTGAAGAAACAGACCGGGCTAGGACTTGGAGCTTTTGAAGACGAAGACCAGAATGACGTACAAAAGCTCAAGGAACTTTTCCATCTCAACGCTTACGAAGATCCTGCCACTCTAGAAGGACTCGACGTCAAGGGGCTTCGACAGTTTTGCAACAAGCATCAGTTGGGAATATTCACAGCTTTTTCAGATTGTCTCTTTCATTTCGTTCTGATGGCTGATAAATCAGTGCTGGAAGACATAAAGAAAGGAATATTCGTGGTCAAGGCTATTTCACTGTCGTGGGATGGACGACCGGGGTGGGGGTGGGTAAGACTGCCAACTGGTTATTTGATAGAGCTTTGGCAACAGCTCCTGCGCTATAGGACCGATACCGAAAATGCATTGCACTTTCATGGACCTGAGGAAGACCTTGATACTTACATCTGGGCCGGGGATTTAGCTAATGAAGAGACAGGTCGGTGCTCTGAGATTTGCGATTTACGTTGTCATTATGGTAGAGAAAACATGTATGTTATGTTTTGACAGATCGGGGGAGACACAACTGTCTGGTCGCTGTAAGAAGCATCTCTTATTTCGTTCCTCGGTTCACGTCTTATGACAAGCAGCGTGAAGAAGTTCACGTTGGCCCATAATCAGGTTGGAACTGACTCGATAAGTGCATAAGCTACCATACCCTAGTCAAAGGACCTTGTCTAGCGTGGCCGGTTCGGAACTTTTAACCAACACAGCGTTGCATCTGGGTGGAGACAGAGTGCAGTTTAGAGCCAACAGCTCGGAATGCTACGTGCCAAGCATGTTGGTTCTGCATTCTCATACGTAAAACAATGAGGACTAACAGATGACCGTGAATTTTGAACAAAACGCACGCACCTTCCCTTGGCAACTGGGCCGCTGTAACCGCTGTAGCGAGCTTGAAATGCAGAACCATCACCGGGAATGTTCCGTTGTAGGATTGAACGTTCCGTGTTCTCTTTTTGCGTTCAAACATGCACCCTGCTCTCTTGAGAATTAACCATTGATTAACTTCGATTTCATAAGGAATGGTCTAATAGGTACTGTGTATTATCTCAATTAATCTGCATCTAAAAACCCTTTAATTCATGAACCCGTCACACCTATCAATGTTATGAAAAGGTATCTAGGGGTTTTGGAACACGTCAGAAGATGACAATTATTCATCATCGTCATCATCATCCATCCTCAGCTGTGGAATTGGAGGACCGTTCGCGCTGCTGAACTTGATCCTGGGACCATAGGTCTCTTGGGGATAGTATCCAATACAGATGGGCTTGCCGTAAAGGTCAGTAGCCTCCTGCAAGTCGCTGCAATCAGACTTGATCCACCAATTGCCGCCCCGAACGCGGCCAGTTTCAAGATCGTTTTCCTGCTCAATGGATTCGCAGGTATCGCCCGGCTGGACCACGTGAATAGGACATATCGGGGGTAGACACAGCTTGATACCCGCACGTATCTTGCGACAGTCAGCTATAAATCTTTTGTTGTGCACATATAGGTCATAGCCAGCAACACCTGGGTGGGCCTTGGCGATCGAGTCACACGTTTCGTTCCCTTTGGTCGTGTGGTACTTCTTCGTAGGGCAGAACCTTTCGCGTCCCTCTTCCCAGGGCGTTAGCGGGATATCCGTAGGACCAGAGCCGCCGCATTTCTCGTAAACCTCCACTAGTTTGGACCGGTAGAAGCTGTCGTATTCAGAGTACGAGGAGGATTGCATCATTTCTAGTTTGCGGCGGTTGCAATCAAGGCAGAGCTTCTCTTCGTGTTCCAGGTCCTCGGTGTCCTCTAAGATGTCTGATAGGCAAAAATGATTGGGTCAGTCTCTTGCCTCGTCGATCAATAAGCAAAACGTACCGTTGCAGTACCTGTTGGTCTTTGGATCTTTGTCACAAGTCTCGTTCCAGCCGGCCCAGATATAGCCTCCGTAGAATTGAGGCACATCATCTACCTTCTTCTCATTTGCGCAAGCACTGGCAACTGTATCGAACCAAACTTTCAGCGATGCAGAGCAAGTGGCCGTACATATCTCATCGGTCAGGGTTACGTTGCCAAGTGATGCGTAATAGCCGCCCTGTTTGAAGGAGCGTATATACACAGGACAGTCGATATCTGCAGACATTGCCTTCACGCAGGCGTCGCCGACGTTTTTGCGCTCGAGATCCTCAGCATAGTAGAGGCTGAAGGCGGCACTACTACCGAGGTACAGACTCAGCAAGGGAACAAGACGTTGAATGACAACCATTGTTATGAATAGTTGCTATGAGCAGCGTCGGCAGCACGGGATGCGAAATGATTATCTCCCGCGGCGTAAATCTGTGTTAGTAGTTGGTCTCTTGCCAGAACCGGTGGTTTTATTTGTACGAATAGAGCATGGAAAAGTAGGCAGCAGTCTCCATAGCACCAGTCATCTTGTCCCCGACCAGGCCCACTTCCATGTTACGGTGTGTTGCTAAAGAACTCCAGTTTCACGGCGCTAGCAAGGGTAGTTAACCCATGATCGCTGTTTTCTTCCTCGGCAAAGCACGCGGTGCTGGAGTAGCCCAAATCCTCGATACTGTATCACAAAGATTGAGCAAACTACGTAGAACTAAAAACCAATCGCCTCTAGAAAACAGTTCGTTGTTCATCTCCGTACCTTTGTTCGTCTTAGGTACTTTCGTGTTGCCATCTGCGAAGCTCAGAGTAATCTCCAGTCAAGCGTGTGAGCAGTTCAAACTACTCTGGAGTCGGCGACTTAGCGGTTGACAGTGATATATTGGAAGATGTCTGCAAGGTGTATCTAACAAAAGAGCAATTTTGATCATGATCATACAGCTCTCTGAAAGTCGGCTTCCATTTTATTTGATAATAATAGTTCGATTATGTCGATAGAAAAGTCGTCAGACACGTCGTCAACAGAATTCAAGTAAGCCCAGTCATATTCTTTATGGGTATCGTAGTGCTGAAAGTAATGGATTTCAGAACAGTCCCCAGTGCAGTCAAGTGCCGCATCTCCAGCCCAGATATGGTCCTCAAGATCCTCTTCAGATTCCAAGAAGTGAAGACAGTCCGCTGTCCTGCTGTTCCACATGAGGTATGTCCATAAATCTAGAAGATAGCCTGTTGGGATTCGCATCCATCCCCATCCCGAGTGGCCGTTCCATAGCAACGAGACAGCCTTGACAATATATTCACCTCTCGCTAAATCCATCAGGACAGCTTTGTCAGCTAGCAAGACGAAATCGAAGAGGTAGTCTGCCATGGCCTGACCCTCATGAGGTCTTGCGCTCACGCGTAATTCTTTGTTGGCTCTCATGATGATTTTAGTCTCCTTGGATTTCTCGGCTTTGCAAAATTTTCGGAGGCCACGGGCATCGAGTCCATCGAGTGTTGCAGTGTCTTCTTGAGCATTAAGATGGAATAACTCCTGGACCGTTCAGCGATTATCTTGATCTACTTTCTCCTTGCCCTCGTATGTACCAAATGCAAGCTTGGTCTAATGCTATAGGCAATAAAGAAGTGATTGCTAATAATCGTCAGATTCCTTGCTGTAGTAGGTGCGGTAGATACTAAAGCCCTATTTGCGGTAGTACTGGTGGTTATTGGGGTTCTTTCTCCCTCTGCGTTGCAGTTTAGTCCCTTGTGGGATACGCTAAACGTGGTCTATTATCTGGTTGATAACGTCTGACATCTTGGAAGAATTGGTAATAAGGATGTGGTTGTAAATCTTGTAGGCTTGCAAAAGTAATGGTCTAACGGGAGAGGAGGATAGAAAGAATAAAGATAAACTGAACCTTTAACCGACATAGCGTTTAATTGGGGTGGAGAATGGACCACAGCTTAGGCCCAACGGTTTCGAATACCATTATCCTTCCTATAGGCTACAGGTAAAAGGATATCCACCTGTTGGTTCTACAACTCCATTCACGGTTACAAAACGGAGAGGCTGAACTAAGACGCTTACACCGCTTAAGGGGCTTGCGCCATATTTTTCATCTGAAGGGATAAAGGAAAGGTATCATTCTTCTCTTGGTATGCATCGATGCAACGTCTGGGGTATTCAGTAACGGGTTTAGCTATTCGTGCTTGGTGGAGTCTCAACTTACGCCAATTACGCCGGATTATACGCTTTGATTGGATAGGCTAATATGCCAAAGACGCCAAAGACGCCGCTCATAGATTAAATACTGTTGACGAATCTTGTCGCAACGATCTCATAGAGCTGATTATGAATCAGTGGAAAGTACAAACACATATATAAGAGATTGTTATCAGAGCGAATCGAGAGGCTCTTAACATCTAAAACAATCACCATTGCACCACAAACTCAACGAGCTACCTCAGCTATGTCTATTACCTTCAAGCGGTATTGGCTCCCAGAAAAGAAAGGGGTTGACTCTCTACAGCTTCGAGACATCCCAAAGGAACCACCCACACTCGGTCAGATCTTGGTCCGGATCAAGGCTGTTTCTTTGAACTGGAGAGATGGCATCGTGGCTATTGTTACCAATCCTTTTTCAGGACTCGATGCTGTCGTCCCTGGAAGTGATGGTGCAGGTTAGTACATTGTCTACATGACTTCTATATGCCTACTGGCATGTATACAGGCATTGCTGAGGAAATAGGCGAAGGCGTGACTGAGTGGAAAGTGGGTTATCACGTATTCGCGAACTTCACACAGGACCATATCGCCGGACGCCTCACTGGCGAGATCGGCCTTACTCAGCTTGGAGGTGAACAGCAAGGTCTTTTGGGCGAGTTCTTCATTTTTCCCAAGACTGACGTTGTCAAGATTCCCGACTATCTTTCCTTTGCAGAAGCCTCATGCCTTCCATGCGCAGCCTTGACAGCTTGGAATGCATTGTACGGCCTAACACCTCTCCGACCTGGCCAGACTGTTCTCTTTCAGGGAACAGGTGGTGTTTATACCTTTGCGCTGCAGATCGCTCATGCTGCTGGAGCAAAGACGATTGTGACTTCCTCATCTGATGAGAAATTGGCTAAAGCGAAACATCTCATCGATTGCGCTCGGAGTGATATAGGTGATCAACTGTCCATGGTGCTCAAGTCTTGATTTTGACTTCGGAGGGACGATGGATTCTTCACAACTTTGCGTATCATGGTTTTATTAAGTACACGTTGCGGGCATCTTTATCACCAGATGTGTCACAAGCAAACCCCGAGTAGTTGCGTATCATGATATCATCGGAAGTGTCACTTTGGGTACCCAGCCCTTGCTCAATCCTGGCTATCTGAGTGGCATCACCGAAGGGTTTGACACGAATCTTGGTGTTGCCACCCAGCTGTTGGGTTTCATAGCTGAGATAAGCTGCTTGAGCCTCAATTCTGTGGATTTCTTGATGTAAGCTCAAACTTCTAGAAGTCATCTCAATATCGAGAGTAACCTTCAAGCCTGGAAGTGCCTTGCTGGTACGCCTTCCTCTCTGGAAGCTGCAGCCCATGCCTACTGCGGAGTTACACTCATCCTTCTCCATCGGAAGATGCGCAAGCACTTGGAAGCGCACAATGAGACATGGCTTGGTTTCGACATATCTTTGGAAACATGAAAGGATAAGATCGAAGCAGTCGTTCAGAGCCTGGTGGAATATATTAAGTGTGTGCCTGAGAACATGTTTTTGAATGTCCCCTCTTATTCCCATTATTTAGAGTGGGCGGTGAGGTCAGCTACCAAGAGGAAATGGAAATAGTGCGTAAGAGATTAGAAAGCTCTTATAAGAAACGAAGATTTAGGAATATATCACAAGCACTCGATGTACTTGAACAGTTGTGGATTGGTCGTCAAGTACAAGGCGTCTTGGGTGGGAAAAGGGCAGACTGGGAAAACATCTTGAGGTCTACCGAAGAACCACTTCTTCTAACCTAAGGCGCTAGATACCATACATGCTAGCAATATGCAACTCAACAAATGTGCCAAACGTGAGAAGAACATGGTCTGCAGTAACACATGGGTCAATCACTCACGCTCCTCGCGTGTAAAGGTTTTTGCCTGTTTTAAAACAAATAAGGTCCATAAAAGAACAAGTTTACTGTCTGTAGGAGGAGGCTACTCAACGAGCTAATTGGATTTACATCATCTATTTACACTCCAACACAGACCCAATAGTCAGCCCAGAGCTTTTCGCACCCACTACCAACTGTCGGGTTCCACTTAGCCAATTGAGCCATAGTAATCTTGTAATACTTCTGAATCGAAGCGCAGGTAGTAGTTGAAGCCACCTTATGAAACTTCTTACAGTTACTGACCATCTTGGGTTGAATTGGTGAGGGCGTCTCGATACCGTTGCTTGGCTTAGTCGGACTGCCACCAATAACACCGACACAAACGTTATATCCAGCCCAAAGACCGGCACAATTGCTTCCGACCGCAGGATTCCACTTCCCAAAGTCTACCAACGAGATCTTGTAGTAGTTCTCGATCGATGAACAAGTGGTTGTCTTCGCAACCATGTGGAACTTGTTACAGTTGCCGACCATCTTGGGCTGGATGGGCAGAGGTGTGGTAATCCCGTTCGACGGTGCCTTGGTCGGTGTAGAACCCTTCGTGGTGGTCTTGGTAGGAGGCTTCCATCCAACAGCACCAACACACACCCAATAGCCTGTTAATAGAGATGTGCATTTGCTACCGACAGCGGGGTTCCAGGAGTAAAAGGTGTCAAACGGAAGGTTGTAGTAGTTCTCAATGGAAGTACAAGTTGTAGTAGACTGAATCTGGTGGAACTTCTCGCAATTCTTGACCATGTTACCTTGAATAGGCGATGGTGTTGAGATGCCATTCGCAGGCTTGGTCGTGGTGGCTGTGGCTGCTGTCGTCGTAGTAGGCTTGTAGCCCTCAACGCTGACACACACCCAATAGCCAACCCATAAACCAGAACAGCTTTTCTCAACGGCAGGATTCCAAGCAACTAATTGGTCAAGAGGCAGATTGTAATAACGCTCAATCGATGCGCAGGTGGTGGTAGAAGTGATCTGGTGGAATTTGTTGCAGTTCTTGGCAAGTCCTTCTTGAATGGGAGACGGGGTCTGACCACCTCCAGTAGCTGTAGGCTTCGGAGAGGTGGCGGAAGGTTTCACTGTAGGCGTACCAGGGACACCAACACAGTAGTAGTAGCCAGCCCAGATGCCGTCGCAGTCTTTGCCAACGGCAGGATTCCACTCGAAAAAGGTGTCGGAGTCAAATGTACCGAAGTTGGATACGATCTTGGCGCAGGTCTCACCTTTCCCGGCCTGGTGAAATGACACACAAGTGTCAATCAGACCCTCCTGCGTTGTACTGGGCTTGGAAGGACCGGTAGGCTTAGGTGTGGTGCTGGTCATCATGGTTTTTGTTGGTGCGGCCGTCGGGGTTCCAGGAACACCAACGCAGTAGTAGTAGCCGGCCCATATACCACTACAGTCATCTCCAACGGCTGGATTCCATTTGAAAAACGTATCGAAGTCGAAAGTACCTAGAAACACAGCGATGGTTAGCGAAGCCCCGTGAATGATTAGAAAGTGAGATTTACCGTAGGTAGATAAGATCTTCGGGCATGTTTCACCCTTGCCAGCTTGGTGGAACGAGGTACAACTGTCAATGAGTCCGTCCTGGGTAGTGCTAGGCTTCGCAGGCCCTGTCGGCTTTGTTGAGGTCGCAGCCGTCTTAGTTGGGGGACTGGTTGGGGTACCAGGAACACCCACACAATACCAAGTATTGGCCCAGATGCCACTGCAGTCAGATTCAACAGCAGGATTCCACTCAATGAAGGTGTCCACGTCAAAGGTCTTGTACTCCGCGATGATCTTGGGACAATTATCTCCCTTTTTGGCCTTGTAGAAAGAAGTGCAGCTGTCGATCAAACCTTCCTGGGTAGGGCTGGGTTTGGGATCTTGTGTCGGTTCAGGAACGGTCTTCTTAGTCGTGGTGACTTTGGGAGGTTCTTCATCACGAGGAAGCCCATTGTTGACCTCGACGCAGTATGCATGCCCAACCTGGATACCACTGCAATCACTTTTCACGGTAGGGTTCTGACATGATTAGCAGAGTGCAGTCAGATGCATGGCAGTTACTTACATATTCGACAAATGTTTCGTGGTCAAGCTCCCAAAGATCTTCCAGGTAAGCGCAATCTTGGTCTTTGTTCTCCGACGTTTCCCAGAATGTACAATCCGAAGGGATACCCGGGTCTGTCGGTCCGTTCTGTCGACGGAACCTTCGTCCACGAACAGCTGCTGCTGTTACAGCAAGCAGCGCTTCAACAAACACATGGGAAATAAGCATGTTAACCAGGAATACCAACGAAGGGCAAAGGGTCGGAAGTGAAGTCCAGGCCTGTGTAACAAGCTTGGTATAATCGATTTCAGTTCTAAAGGTCCGACGAGCATGTTCATTTATTCCTCGCAAATTTCTTCGTCTAGTCGGGCTGATCGTGCACTCTGCACTCACCAATCCGGGTCGTCCTCCGTCGGTTCATCGTGTCATGAAAGTCTGTCGGCATAGAACTGCCAAGGCTGGCAGGATAGAATGTGCCGGCTTAGCATCTCGAACCAACAGCATTACAGGGGGTCATCCTCTGGATTGTTACTTCCGTGATAGTTTCGCTGTGCACTAGTGTTAGTACTTTGTACGCCCAACAAGACTTCGTGAGCGGTGAGCACACAGACGTTTTAGCCTGACATGAGTCGGTTGGTGCTTGGAACTTTATTTTCACTGGACTTCTGTGATCCGCCGCGGCCGGTGCCCAGATGTTGCGAAAACATTTAGTGGATAATCTCATGCATGTTGGTTCGTACCTACATAAAGTCACACTTGTCTTGCCACTAATGGACCCATTGGACCCTTGCAGCCTCGGCAATGAAGCCCTGTCGACCTGAGTAATGATTGACGCTCAGTAATTTGAACCCCTGTACGCCAAGTTGCAGGGCTTCAGCGAAGAATTTTACACGACCGTGATACCTATCTGAGTCGTGAAAACACTATCGCGACTCTTCATACGACCTTACAGATTGGGTATAATCTGTTCAGTCAAGCCACTAATGTTCACGAGCACTTTGCTATTGGTCGGTGAATGAGACTGTTGGGTAAATACAAAAGGACCTTTCTATTGACACCAGACAGCGGGAACTAGATACCCAAACGGCAAGAAGATGGAAAAAGTGGCGTTTCGGAGTTTTTTGTCATACCTACTTTGTATGGTAAGGTGAGTCTCGTTTGAACTGGTACTGGCCCCATCGCGAACTCTATCCCGAACAGTACGTACCTCGAACCATCACGAAATGTCATGGGATGTAAATTATAGACCATGGCCCTGTCTATGGAGAATCATGTGATGGTCTACGTGTCAACTCAAACCAGTAATCGTCTCATTACGTGTATTCCATTCTTCCGTCTAGGCTTGTTGCCTGCTTGAGAATGGCAGAATAATTGTAGCAGTAATTGGTGATAGGACTCCACATACTAGCCTACCCTAGAGCCTTGTCGGTTGGTTATGACAAGTATTCATTCTTCAACAGTAAAGTTCCAGGAGACAGGAAATGCATCATGGGATTTTTAAACTTATATTGAATGAATGGAACATGATTAACTGTGAATCTTGCACTATGACTACGAAGTACATACAGTCTCTGTTTGATAACGATTTGTAGTGTGGAATTGTCATCGAAAAACAATTTTAAGTTGGGGACAGTTTTAGTCTATGGAATGCTTATAGCTAACTACACATATCGTGCCCGTGAGTATCGTATCAATATTCCGACAGGCGTGACCCCAGATTGCGAAGTATTTCACAGCTCCTTTTTAGTTGAATCCCACCCAGAGACAGGTGCAACACACAGAGCCGTACCGGGGACCAGGCTCTCGTCACATTTCTTCTCAGTCAAAGATGGGTTGATAGCAAGCATAAGATCGTCCTCGCAGATGTCGTTTTCTTTACAGATACTCGTGCAAGTGTCCGACTTTGTAACGACATGCCAATCTCCACACATCAAGGTCGTGCCTTCGGCCACCTTTGCTTCTTTTGGGGGATCGGTACGCAATACTACCGGTCCGTTCGCACTGCTGCTCTTGTGTTTGACTATAGATGCCTTCAAAACACCTTCAATCGTGGCCTTGGAACCAAGAGGGGAAACGCAGATGGTCTTTCCATAGAAGTCAGTGCCTCCTTGAAGGTTTGTGCAATCGCGGTTGACCCATGAGTTGTACTTGGGAATGCTGTCTATGCGCAGGCCTAAAGCACTTTCGACGGTAAAGCAAGTGTCTCCTTTTTTGACGTAGTAAGTTTCGCATGCTGTAGGGAGACACAGCTTCAGGCCTGCTGGAACCTCACGACAATTCGCGATGTCGTCCTGATTGCCCATGTACAGAAGAGCGCCGGAAACGCCTGCTTCCTTAGAAATAGAGTCGCAGGTATCTCCCTCCTTGGAGGTGTAGTAGTTCCCACTCAAGCAAAAGTCCAGTTCCTTTTGCTTTGGTTTAAGAGGGGGTAGGATCTCAGTTGGTCCCGAACGGCCACATGTCTTGTAGATGTACTCAAGCTTATTCTTGTAGTACTCGTTATAGATGGAGTACTGAGAAGATTGCATTACAGCAAAACGCCTCTGATAGCAGATGTGGCATAGCTCCTCACGAGGTCTGCTCTCATCGTCACCTGGGCTAGAGAACTCGTCGATGATATCTGTCGTTTACCACAATTAGCTACCAGATTCGTGGGCTGTTATCGTAACAGGAAAGTTTACCATTGCAGTACTTCTTTGTCCTAGGATCCTTGATGCAGGTCTCGTTCCAGCCAGCCCAGATATTTCCACCGTACCGCGTGGGAGCGTTATTAGCAGATCCAAAAGATTCCCCAGCGCACTCCTTGGAAACTGTGTCGACCCATTTGCGAAGGGAACCAGAACAGGTCCCAACACAGATTTGGTCAGTCAGAGTAACGTTTCTGAGTGAGCCGCGGTAGCGAGGCTGCATGAAAGAGCGGATATACGGGTCGCAAGTAATATCGGCGGACAGAGCGCTGACACATGATTCTGGGAAACCGTGTGATTCCAGGTTCTCTGCTTCATAGATGCGGAAAGCACCTGCGCTGAAACAGAGACCAAGCACAACGAGATGTTTGAATAGAGCCATGATATCACAATCTCTCATCTGCTAGATGAGTTGATAGAGTTTCGAGGACGTGTGACTGATGTGGCGATCCAGATAACCCCGTAAATCCACGACTGGTTCAGTCGGTATATACAGTCGCTGGGTGAGATGGTAAATTCGACGTGACTCGGGACTCGATGGCCATGGGTTTGGTTACATAGCCCAGGTCTAGAACCAACCCACTTCGCTCGGATCCAAGATGAACAGTCTTTTGCTTTCGCTTGCATTTCTTCTGATGTCCGCAAGTATGTCGGAGCGATCGGACATGCCGAGGCAAGCTCTGATCATGCAGGGTCCGCCCCATCACATCGTATGGATTTGCTTTGCCAAGCCAAATGAGCGAAAAGAAATGACTTGTCGCCGCTCTGTATGTAACAATGTGTTGGTTGTTAGTTTGTTGTAGTCACTAGCCCAAAGACCCTCTGCCCCACGGAGCTAGTGCTCGGTTCATCAACCGAACCAATTGCCCGTGAATTACTTAGCACTGATTGGTGTACGGGTTCGGAGTGAAGCGATGAAGACCCGCTCTAGTTTATGGTTACTCCTTATGTGGGGGTATTAGGCCCTGAATCAGGCTTCGCCAGGGGGTTGGTCACAAGCTTCTAGCAACCAACAGCATGAGATGGCTGTTGGTCCTGTCCGAGGGCCGGATTGACTCGGCGGTTAGGGACCTTTTCGGAAATGGAGCAACATTTGTCAAAATCTTCAGCTCGGCTGTGGACATGGGGAAATCAATTGATGCCAGCGCCACGAGGGCCCTAATATACTTTGGCTATTTTATTGTTCTTACAGCTGGAACGTGGCCCTCAACCATTGCGCGAAGCTTCACAAATCTGTTGCGAGAAGATAATTTTGCATTTCCACACCCATTGATCGTCCACCAATCGTCTATACCTCAGCCTCAGCCTTACACGCGGGCAGGCTACAGCCAACATGCATTTACGCATGTGGTTGTTCGGCTTGCTGCTGCTGTGCCTTTGCGTATCAGTAGCAGCACAAGAAGACGACACTACATGCAGCGCTACCAAGCGCTGCAAGAACGGCTGCTGTAACAAGTCAGGCAATTGTGGTTTTGGCCCCGATTGTGAGTTTACTACATGTGAGCTGCTGAGAATATGACCGACTAAGTATGGAACAGATTGCGGAACAAACTGTCAATCAGACTGCGATCGAAAGTCTGAGTGTAACCCTGGGTTTGGTGCCAAATGGGCCGAGAGTGAAAAATGCCCTCTGAACGTCTGTTGCTCCAAACACGGATACTGTGGTGTAAGTGACTTTTCTTTGGGCTTTGACTTGGACAAGGAACTGATATCTTCAAGACCACCAAGGAATTCTGTGGCTCGAAAAAGGTTAAGAAACCGTCTTGTGATAAGGATGGCGACCTCAATCGAGTCATTGGATATTTCGAGGGTTGGGCGAAAACTCGTCCTTGTGAGGCTTTCTCCCCAGAACAGATCCCCATCGGACTTTACACCCATATCAATTTCGCTTTTGCCACCATTGACCCGAAAACTTTCGAGATCAAGCCGGACAAAGAGTCTGATATCCGGATGTATAAGCGGGTTAATGAACTCAAAAGACTGGATCCAGATCTCAAGGTCTTTATCGCAGTCGGTGGCTGGACCTTCAACGACCCGGGCCCGACCGCTTCCACATTCTCTGACCTCGCCGCATCCCTTCCGCGTCAGAGGGCGTTCATGAAGTCTCTCGAGTCTTTCATGAGTACCTACGGCTTTGATGGTCTTGATTTGGACTGGGAATACCCTGTCGATTCAGATCGAGGCGGTCGAGATGTCGATTACGCCAACTTCCCCAAGTTCATGCAGAGGCTGTACAAGATGTTGTCAGCAGCTGATAAGGGACTGAGTATTACACTACCTGCCTCATATTGGTACCTGAAGCAATTTGATATCAAGGCACTCGTGAGTTTAGTCGAATGCACATAATCAACAATCGTCGCTAACAGCTGCTCCCAGGAAAAAACTGTCGATTTTTTCAACATCATGTAAGCTTTCTGAATTCCATACCATGGTCATCACTCTGACAATAATTGAAGGTCCTACGATCTGCATGGTGCCTGGGACCACGGCAAGAAGTACACCCAGCCCCTTCTCAACGCCCACAGCAACCTCACCGAGATCGACCTTGCTCTAGATCTGCTCTGGCGCAACAACATTGACTCGAACAAGGTTGTTCTTGGCATGGGGTTCTATGGACGTGCCTTCTCAGTCCAGACTGGAACTTGCACCAAGCCTGGATGCCTATTCAAGGCGGCGGGTAAGGCCGGCGAGTGCAGTCGTGAGAAGGGTATCTTGTTGAACTCGGAGATTGTCACAACTCTGAAGAAGCACAACGTCAAGCCTGAGCTGTTCAAGGAGGCAGCTGTCAAGGTAGCCAAATGGGGCAACCAATGGGTCTCATACGATGACGAGGATACATTCCCACTGAAGACAGACTATGCGAAGTCTCGTTGTCTAGGTGGTGTTATGGTCTGGGCCATCTCGCATGATACTAAAGAGGCCAAGTTCAACAACGCATTGGCCGTTTCGCTGAAACGAGAAGTCTCATCTGGTATCATTGACTGGAACGAGAAGGCACATGAAATCAAGAAGATTCACAATGAGCAATGTCGCTGGACCAGTTGCAAGGAGGGATGTCGCAAGGGGTGGTCGCCTGTCTATCGAAATGACAAGCATGCTCGCAAAGGCGAAATCATGTTCGATGAGACGGGCTGTGGCGGTGATGGTGGCCATACCTTCTGTTGCCCTGGTGGTGCAAAACATCCTGAGTGCGGGTGGTATGGACACAACAATGGCGATTGCCCCAACTACAGCACCTGCCCCGATGACAAGACTGAAATCGGCTCTATGCAGCTTCACTGCAATGGAGACGGCAACTACCAAACGGCCTGCTGTTCCACTGACGTGGATGCCATGAAGGTTTACAACACCTGCGAATGGGGTCAGTACCCGAATTGCAACGATCAGGACGACTGTCCCAACCCTCTTGGTAACAAGAACATGGGTGAACCCAAGGCCATATCTGCTTCGGGATCAGGAGGCGGCAAGTGCAATCCGTTGAAGAACACTCTTGGCTTACCGGTTTCCGGTAACCAATTCCGCAAGTTCTGTTGCGATGTCAGGGACGAGAAACTTCGCTTTGGGGACTGCAGGCCATACAGGGACCAAGGCCCGGCACCCGATCCTGAGCTGAGAGGCTTCTGTCGCAGTGGCTGTCCTCCCGATCGCGTCCAAGTTGCTATCGACACCGAGATTGACACCTGCTCTCTCGTAGGAGTCGGTGGCATGGCTCATTGCTGCAAAACCGACTATTATGAGGAGTTTGATTGGGAGAATCCGAAGCTGGATGCTTTCAAGAACCAACTCAAGGCGTGGAACAATAAACCCACTTGTCCGGCGGAGAAGGAAGAATTCTTGCTACGGCGTGGGACCTTGCTTGACAGCGTAGGGGCCAACGCCTCGTTTTCCATGGATCTAGCTCCAAGGGCATCCAAGGGGACCGATGATGTTTACGACCTGGAGATTCTCTTGGCCAGAGTCATTGCTGGTACTCTTGCCAAGCCTTTGCTTGAGGAAATGGCCAAGATCTGGAGCGATGCGGTGGAGGATGAATATCCTCACTTAGTCTATCGCTTCTTGGCCTCCTTGAGAAAGCTTATTCCGGAGTGGGAGACTGAAGATCCGGAGATCATGGCACGCTTCGTCATCTGCGACCCTAAGAAGGCCAACGCTATGAGCGCTGGCGTTCAGGGTCTTGGTAGTGACGGCAGCAAACTTGTGTTCAACTGCAGCATTCCTCTATGCGAGGCCGACGGCACTTGTAACAATGAAGTTCCGGAAGCGCTCAGGGTACGTCGCGAATCACGAATCAGTCGTGCCAATCATGTGGAGCTTCATAAGCATCACTTGTTACACGTTCGCCAGGCACCAAGCCCGGTCGAGAATGAGATAATTATTACGGACGCGGACGGCAACCAGGCCAGCTGGGAATACCAAATACAAGCGGTATGACTACCTTTCCTTGCTTCCAGCTTCAGCAGACACGCGACTAACCTGTATACCTTAGCACCCTCCTCCAAAGAAGATGAACCCAAATCACCCAAGTTTCGAAGAGGCAGCTACGTTCGTGAACAGAGGCGATTGCAAAGATCGTCATATAACTGGAGTCCCCTTCTATGTGGAACTACCAATGATGCAAAGTATGTGTGCATTCCTGAATATTGTTCTTCCTATCCGACTAACTTGATAAACAGCCGAGCATCCTCTCGATAAGGTTATCATAAAGAACTTTATGGAAATGGTAGCCACAGGACGGTAAGTCCATTGATGATACATCTCTATAACAGGTGAATGCATGCTGACATCCACCCAAGTCTAGTGTCTCAAAAGCCCGAGGAGATGAAGCCTGCATCCCGGTACGGCCCAATACCTATTGAATTCTTTGAGGAAATCCTTCGCTTGGGCGTTGACTACGGTGACTTCCCCCCAATTCGCGGTAACCGCCGCTACGATGACCCTAACCTCTGGAATCGTATCTTCGAAATCCTGGGTAGTTATGATAATCGCGTCAACTTTGTCATCGCGCATTCTGACATTAACTATGTCAAAGGCAAGGTAAGTCAAGCTCCACCACAACTGGGAGTCGACGGTCAAGACGCAATGTCCAGCTAACTGCTTTCCTTCCCAGTTGATGACACTCGACAATCCTATCTCTCTGGAACCAGGTGAACTTGAGGAGGATTTACGCAAAAAACCGACATGGGTTTTGCAAGTGATCCGAGCAACGTTCGCAGTCTTTGACTATCTCAACATGGAGCCCACATCTTCAGAGCCCAGAAGCCCCAACACAAGCGGCAAACTCCAAAACATCATCGCCCAGATTATTGAGCAACTTCTTTACGCTGAGAAGCTCTACGAGGACCATCATCCTGGGTCGAAGATCACCATAGCCCTGTATTTCAGGGAGTGGCTGACGGACTATTTCGAAACAGTGTCAATAAACGCCAGAACATGGCTTGTGGATGTGATGAAGAGAATCCTAGAATTCTATAAAAACAAGAAAGGCAAAGATGCTGACAAGGCAAGAGAGATGATTTACGAACTCAGAGAAGGCATTGCCAATCTTGTAATCGATACGAACTGGGACACTCTCTTGGATGACGATGTGGAAATGGGCGGAACATGATGCCCGTGATTTCCGGTGGTGACATTTGAGAACTGGTTCATATAGATACATACGCGGAGGATGACTGTATCCCAGCACTAATTGCCATTCCTAATCAAATGTGAATCCTTCCGCCCCTACCTCTCTTTGTGCTGTTTGAGGTTGACTGCAACGTTCAAATCGAGGTGAAGACAGGTTCCCAGCCCACAAGTAACTCTCCAGACCTTCTTCCGGACCCTCATATCGAAACGTGTAGTATTTGCCTATACCAGATTCCCTAAATTCCAGGAGCATTCCCCAAAACTCCAGCAAGGAGCCCGTTGACACTCTTTCCCAACCCCAGCCACCATCAAGCTTGTCCCAGTCGTAGCCAACTGCCTTGACAGCGAATTCACCGTGTGGAATACCGTTCAGAACCGCTTCGTCTGCCACAAGCACGAAGTTGAAATCCGCCCCAGCCATCTTTTCCTCAGCCTCGGAGTGCTCTTGTATGCATATTTCTCGTATACCCTCGATCGAGAGACCTGACAGTAGGGACGGATCTTCACGTGGAAAGAGGCGAAACAGGTCTTTTATAATGCTTAGGTCGCGATCGTACTCCGCTGCACTGGTGTAACGTCTCTTTTGCCATGCTTTGTCCTTTTTCCGAAACGATTCTTTTTCGTAATAGCCGAATGCTAAACGAGTTTGTTGTCTTATAGCACCAAGAAGTGTCTCCCAGTGCTCATCAGAAGAAGGTCCGTAGTAGGTACGGTAGATTGTAAAACCCCAGAACTTATAATATTTGAGGTTTTCAGGGAGCGTCTTGTCAAGTGGCGGTGTCTTGGACCCCAGAGGACGTTTTGGGGGACGCCATACACAGTCGATCATCCATGAGAGGTCGGTCATAGTTGTTGGTGAGGAGGTTTGCAGGAACGTATGTTGATGAAGAACGAATACCTAAGTTGGAAAAAGGTGCCGGGCTGAGCCTGTTATATGTTTGGAGAGTGTGTACGTAATCATTATTTCAGCGGGGCGATTGGACAAGGTGATACGGTCTAAACGCAAAGTTGTGGTCCAATCAACATCCCCACCATTTAGAGGTACGTACTCATTGAGTTCTATAGCACAAGTATACAAGTCCTGACAAGCAAACTTGCTTTGTTATTAGCCCCGCCAGCTAATAAGTGAAGAGTCTTTAGGCTCTCACCATAAACCTTTAATATACATATTGCACTCCACAATCGGACCGGACCAATTGCCCTGGACGTCATGATTGCTGATAGAGCTTATGTAGCCCGAGGACGTTTCGCACTCGCACTTTACATTATAGCAGGACTGTTTCCCTCGCACAGCACAATGGCTGATGCGCCGACAATGTTCATGTTCGACCATCGTTTCTTGCAATCGCCGTTCGGCGCGCGATAGCTAAAGGGGAGGGCATAATGGCCACGATGAATTGATGGAGCGGCATAGAGAGACCTCTGGGCAATATCGGAATGCTCCACTTCGAAACTCTGATCATAGACACCAGATACGATAAGGAAGCAAAGTAGTCAAAGTTGCTATGATCTAATTAGTTCCTTTATTACCTATACAAGACTGAGCATGCTAACTACCAGGTAGTTTTAATTGTGTAATCTAGTACAGGTAATAGCAAAAGACCCGAAATAGAAAGCAACTAGGTCAAGCAAAAGATAAATAGCTAGAACACAGTGACCAAAACAGACTCGTCCTTCAAGTAAACCACAAATGGACAGTGCTCAAGGGTAAAGCCGACCTGAAATACGGCAATGCCACAAGTCCCGTCTGTCCATGAATGCAGCATCTCAAAGGACTGACGGTCGATGATCTTAACAGATCCTGCTGTGGTGCCGGCAATGACATATCGCCCCTGAACTTCTATTGCACTGATAGCAGTGCCATTGCCATCAGAGCTTGCCAGCTCCCTCGCGATGCCGTCCATCGGGGACAAGGCCCACGCTCTAACAGACCCATCCGACCCTTCTGAGATGAGGGTATCTCCAACTAAACGGAGATGCGATACGTTTTTAGCTTTGCTTCCGTGGCCCACGAATATGGCCGTACAGCTTCTAAAACAAGATATTCGAGTTAGATGGATAGTTGTCCACTCAGTTGACGTTAAGACCTACCCAGTCTCCGAGTCCCACACGCGAATGTCACCGTCGGTGCTGCTGGTGGCAACTCTCTTCCCGTCAAATGCCAGGCCATGGACATGACGTCTATGACCGCGAAGAACGTGCAAGCACTCTCCTGTCTGTGCACTCCATACCCGAGCATCTGCATCATAACTGCCGGATACAATCACGTCGCCATGGACTTGGACATCTCGCACTTCGGCAGTATGTCCACGGAGAATGTTGCGTGGCTCGATTTTGCCAGATTCGAGCCTCCAGAGTCTAATAGTAGTGTCTCGGGAGCCAGAAACAACAACGCCGCTTTCGAGAACGGCAAGACAGCGTACAGCCAAATCGTGCGCTCGAACCGAATTCAGGTTTGCTCTATTACTATCTTCTAGTCGCATTTCCAGGAGAGAGTTCGCTGGCAGGGCTCTTACCGATTGTTTAGGTCAAGAACATGGATTTCGCCGTTCAGGCTGCCAAAGATGACGCTGCTGTCCAGACAAGCAAGACACCAAATGTCTTTCACTTGCGCGAGGACTTCGACAGACTCCGTCACTAGGTCAACTCTATAGACGCATCCACTCGCAGAAGCGACCAACAGAAAGGCGTCATCAATATGTAGTGCTGTGATAACAACGCGTCTCTCTGATAACGTCGCTGTAAAGGGTACGTCTTTCAGTGAAAGTTGATCGCTTGACTCCATGGTATTAAGGTGTCTGTTGCGAAGTGTCGATGAAGTGTAGAAGTTGAAAGTAAGAGTTGAGGGTAGATGCTGCCTTCTAGATTACTTGCATTGAGAGTTGCGCAACAACTCGTTGGGTTTTTATTTGGAACAGTATGGAACGTCTCGAAACGACCTAGAATGATATGATCAAAATATCACATGTTCCAATTTGTCAGGCGTCCAATAGATAGGGCGCGCGATGACGTTCAACTTGTCGATCAAAGGCGCAGTTTCTTCCTTGGGTGTGGTAGGGAGCCGCCGACATTCGCGGGGTGTCTCAGCACATTTATCCGAAGTATGGTGAGAAGTAGACCACAAAGTGGATGATCTGCAGTCGTCGATACACTACAATCCAAAACACTGTCAAATGAACCCATGAGCGAGGCTGAACCACGAACTAACTCCCGTCCCGCGACATATAACCCGCCGCGCCCTAAAAGGGTTTGCATGAGCTTCACCTGAAGACAGGGCTCACATACAGAGTGCATTATAGAGCGTTTCAATATATCGATATAAGATATAGAAGGATGAAACCGCCAGGCTGCATCGATTAGAGTATTGCCACAAATCAACTCCAAAAGATAGCTAATAGGCTCATCTATTGAAATGGTCAGTTCAAACATGGCCCAGTCGGAGGCAACATATTCGGGGAACAAGAACTGCATCTTTGGGACATTTGCTTACGGAAAGTAAAAAGCCGTGATCGGATGAATTTGGCATTATCCGCGGCTGGTACAAGTTGTCAGCTCTGCACTTTTGACCAGAGCCTCGAAGTATTTACTTGAGTGTCAACGACAAGTTTGCATCATTGATTCTTGTATCAAGCAGCACTTTGAGTAAACATAATTCTTCAGTTCCTGTGTTTCTATAAACGACCCCTGCTATGCAGATCCTATCCGATGTTTATCCATTGAATTGCTCCACTATGCATACCCTGGACCTCCATCATTACGCAGTCGATGAGGATAATGAATACTAGCCTCTTAAGATGGACGATAACTCTCTTGATTTATTTGAGACACTTTATACTATGAGTTTCAAGGCTAAATATATGCAGGACGGGCGTGTTGGACTGCAGTGATGAAGACAATGATGTGGAGGTAAAAAAATGACTGGTTGCGTTTCATAACCACAATAGTATGTGTAATCTGTGCACACGCAACCACCAGCGTTCTCATCAACTAGAAGCATTGAGTTTATCATACAAACCTTTGTAACGATTTTAGTCTGATAACCTCAAACCTAAGCATTATTGTAATGACGTATCGAGACATTCCTTAGTATCACGACGGTGAAAGCCACGGGTATACCTGTTCCTCGGCTGCATACAAGATCTGCACGGGAATAAGCTGATGAGCCGGAAGGATTCTGCCCAGGTACGGATAGATCGTGAAGAGTACACAAGCGAACGATCGCTTACTACCGAATCTGGTAGGTCTACACGTAACCTGACCACTTGGCTGCAGATGATCCGGCGATCTCCCATACTGAGGGACGAGTCACAGGCAGTGCGACGCTGTAGGTTTCACTCGATATAGCGATCTGATAAAATATAGTTTCAAACCATACTGTTGATCTCCCGGGCTCATGTGCTGTCACCGAATTATGACGTCTTATCGGGATGGATCCGACCTGATGGACACTTAGCGTAACTCTCGAATGGACCTTGTGCATATATGAGACTTCGCTGTTCAGTCATAATTGTTCAACTACTTGTGGTTCGTGAGTGGTTATACCAGCTCTGAACCCTACGTCACCCAGCTCGGTCTACTGATCGATAATTGTCTACGGGCAATATTTCTCATTTTCCTGCCGAACATTGCAGCATTCTATACCCTGGACCACTAAAACCTTTGCAAGACCCAATGAACGGCTCTTATACCGAGAGAAGCCAGCCTTGGCTCCACGGTCTTTTTACCGTCTTCAAACAGTTTCATCCCAATTACGTGAACCGAAAATTCATGCACGGGGAAATACGAAAACAAGGCGGAAAATTAGCATGCAACGGTGTAATTTACCCACACTCTGGATCATTGAGTTTACAACCCTAGTAAAAAAAACCACAAAACCCCACTACAACGAGACAAAGCAAAGACCTTCATTTACAGACCGCCGATCACGAGCAGAAAAGTTCTCTTTTTCCGAAAAACAGAAAATGGAGGTTGCAAGTTTAGTCAAGAGCTCAAAATCGGCAGTAAACCACGGCAACTTCATCTTCGCCGTAACTAACCTGATCCCATCCACAACCTAACCTTATGAGGAACGCCGTTCCGACTACGGGTAAACCTGGGGTAAATACAACCCCAGACTGGAAAGGCGGAGGTGGAGAAAGATGGGGATATGGCCTGTCACTTTAGTAATGCTATTCCCGAGACAGTTAGTGAGGCTATGGGGACGATGGGACTAACGTCAGTTGACCCGTAACTGAAAAGAAAAGGCCCGAATGTTTATTAACACGATGCTACCATTGCAGGAACAAGTTCCATTACCAGAAGTCTCCATTATGTGAATCACCAGGTTATTGAGCAGTGGATGGCCCGAGGCTATGGACAGGTGATGGACAAAGTTGGCCGATGAGCGGGGAATGTACCGGCCGGGTGGTTTGATTGAGATTAGACGACTGTGCGTTTATGCAATATAAAAGATGGAAACCCAACGTGAATTATTGTTGTTCGGTATCGAGACCAGACAATTCATCTCGTCATGTATCCTACTTCTGTTTCTGGCCTTGTGGCCTTGCCGTTCTTGACTTTGGCTTTGGCTGCGAATGTTATCACTGATGATACTCACTTCTATGGACAATCCGAGCCTGTTTACCCAACACGTGAGTTTACCTGATACCTCTTTGAAGATATTGACTGACCGGATTTATAGCGGAGCAAGCTGAGATCGGTGCTTGGGCTGATGCCATCACTAAAGCAAAAGGTCTTGTTGCCCAATTGACTCTCGAAGAGAAAGTCAACCTCACAGCAGGCGGTCAATCAACAACGGGCTGCTCTGGTTTCATCCCTGGTATCCCCCGCGTTAACTTCCCCGGTCTCTGCCTCAACGATGCCGGAAACGGCGTTCGTAACACAGACTATGTTTCTTCCTTCCCATCAGGCATCCACGTTGGTGCAAGCTGGAATGAGGAATTGACGTACAGCCGAAGTTACTACATGGGTAACGAAGCCAAGACCAAGGGAGTAAATATTCTTCTTGGACCTGTTTTCGGCCCTCTTGGTCGTGTTGTTGAAGGTGGAAGAAATTGGGAGGGTTTCTCGAATGATCCTTATCTTGCGGGTCAGCTTGGAAGGGAGGCGGTTGGTGGTATCCAGGACGCTGGTGTTATTGCTTGTGGAAAGCATTGGCTTGCGCAGGAACAAGAAACGCATCGTCTTAATGCTGCCATCACTGAAGCCCAGCCCGTCTCGTCCAACGTTGACGACAAGACTCTTCATGAACTTTACATGTGGTAAGTACCCAAAACCGCAACGTACCTAGAAATCGACTAACCAACATATCAGGCCCTTCGCCGACGCTGTTCATGCCGGTCTCGGTAGTATCATGTGCAGTTACAACCGCGCCAACAACTCCCAAGCCTGCCAAAACTCCAAGCTCCTCAATGGTCTTCTCAAGGGCGAGCTAGGATTCCAAGGCTTTGTTGTTTCTGACTGGGGTGCTCAACACTCTGGTATGGCTTCAGCTCTGGCTGGTATGGATATGGCTATGCCTACCAACAAGCTGTGGGGTGGCAACCTGACTGCTGGTGTCAACAATGGTACTATTCCTGAGGCTCAGCTCGACAACATGATCACACGAATTCTAGCTCCTTGGTTCCAGTTCAACCAAGATGACTCTTCCTTCCCCTCCCCTGGCCATGGCATTGCCGCCAACCTTCTTATCCCCCACCCTATCGTCGACGCCCGCAATGCTAGCTCCAAGTCCACCCTCTGGGATGGTGCTGTCGAGGGTCACGTTCTCGTCAAGAACACCAACAAGACACTCCCCTTCAAGCCCAACATGAAGATGGTCTCCTTGTTCGGCTACTCACACAAGGCTCCCGACAAGAACACCCCAGAGGCTAAGGAACTATACACCATGTTCTCTCCCTGGTCCATCGGTGCCCAGAGTGCAAACATCACTGAGCTCAACACTGGCTTCATGGGTAACTTGAGTCTCTCTTACTCTGCCATCGCACCCAACGGTACTCTGTTCACTGCTGGTGGTTCAGGTGCTAGTGCTGCTAGTTCCATGAGTGCACCTTTTGATGCTCTTCTCTACCGCGCTCGCAAGGAGGGTACTGCTATGTTCTGGGACTTTGAGAGCTGGGATCCTGCCGTCAACCCTAACACCGAGGCGTGCATCGTTGCTGGTAACGCTTGGGCTAGCGAGGGCTGGGACAGACCCGGTTTGACTGATGACTACACTGATAGTCTCATCAATAACGTTGCCGACAAGTGTGCCAACACTATTGTTGTCTTGCACAACGCTGGTACTCGCCTTGTCGATGGCTTCATCAGCCATCCCAACATCACCGCTGTTATCTTCGCCCACCTTCCCGGTCAAGACAGCGGTGAAGCTCTTGTGTCTCTGTTGTATGGCGACGAGAACCCATCTGGTCGATTACCTTATACTGTTGCCCGCAACGAGACCGACTATGGTGTTACGCTTAAGGCTGATCTGACCATGGCTCCTCATGAATATCAGCACTTTCCCCAATCTGACTTTACCGAGGGTGTCTTCACTGATTACCGCCACTTCGACGCTAAGAACATTACACCTCGTTACGAATTCGGTTTTGGCCTTAGCTACACTACCTTTGAGTACGCCGACCTCAAGATCTCCAAGTCCGACGCTAAGTCTGACGAGTATCCCACCGGCGCTCTCACCGAGGGTGGACGCACCGACCTTTGGGACGTTGTTGCTACCGTGACTGTCAAAGTCAGAAACACCGGTGATGTCTATGGCAAGGAAGTTGCGCAGTTGTACGTTGGCGTTCCTGGTAAGGAGAATCCTTCTAAGCAGCTTCGCGGTTTCAAGAAGCCTAGCATAAAGGCCGGTGAGGATGTTGATGTTACCTTTGATCTTACTCGTCGTGATTTGAGTGTTTGGGATGTTGTTGCTCAGGAGTGGCAGCTTCAGCAGGGTGATTATGCTGTTTATGTTGGACGAAGCAGTCGGGATCTTCCTCTTGAGGGAACGCTATCCATCGAGCAATAAGCTTTGAAGTTTACGAGTACATAGTTAAAGATTAGTGTAAATACAACTGTCATGATTAATGCGACATCATACCAAAATGTCTTTTGGCAGCCTGTAAGGTGACGAAATGATAATTGTCTAGGGCACGATCTATCTACAATACTCCGGCAACGCCAGTAGTGGCGGTGTATCCAAAAGAAAAGAGAAAACGAAAACGAGGAGAAAACAGAAGGAGAAGAAGGAAAGGACGAGAGAAGAGCAAAACAAAAAGACAGAAAACCCAGACAAGGCTAAAGTCCATGCCAATCGAGCCGCAAAGTATCTAGAATACAAACGCGCCGAGCAAAGCTAAAGTGACAGAGAAGACTGAGCCCGCCATCCCGACGACCTTGGAAGCCGTTGGATCATTGACCTGATGAATCAGAAGAGCAGTCTGAGCGACCGGTTCGCCATCCTCCGCGAAGATAGCCTTGTACTCCTGGCAGAAAGCGTCTCGGTCGACATTACACAGGACCGTAGGATCTCGAATTGCGGACGTGAGGGTAGGGTCATCAACCTTATTTTGAATAAGAAGCTGTTGTACACCACCAGAGACAGATGGGAGATTTGTGACCTAGGATGAAAGGTTAGAGGAAAACATGGTTGAACTAAGAAGAACGTATTTACACTGGACAATTTGACAATGGAAACAGTAGGCTTCTTCAATAGTACGCCACGGTACAAGACTCGTTTGAAGCGGCTGATGTGCTGTTTGTAGGCATTGGAAACATCAACAATCAACTTCTCGGGATTGTCAATCTCAGCGAACGTGTGGTAAGAGACATGAACCTTTCTTGTTGGAGATTCAAAAAGTACGATGAAAGTAAAATTTCGATATGTATGATCATCCATTTGCATACTTATTGTAAAACAGGAAGTCTGAGGTAATGGAATGGAGGTAGTATGAAAGATTGCTTGGATCTCGGATCTTATAAAAGGTGGGCGTCGGTTGCGCCGCCTCCCATCCTGACGGTCATGGCAAGCGGAGTCACTAAACTCAGCCTTTCGACTCGGTTAGATGTTAGTGTTCATGTCATGCAGTCATGTCCGAAAAACGTAATTAATTGGTGAGTCTTGATTGGCTAGCAAACAAAACAGTTGCTGGCGTCAGGTACACCGCTCATTTGGCCAATCATTTGGCTTACCTGCGATGACGACCATTTCTCTACAGCTGTAAAATTGGAGCGTGTATGCCCCCAATACGATAAAAGAAGTATTTCAATCATTCACAGTCGAATGATCCTTATGTCTTTACCTTTAACCCTCGGGAAATGATATTTTTCTTCATTTTAGCAGACTGAAAGGAGATCCAGTATTGGATATTATGTCCCTCGAGCTGGTGTATTAATCCTCGCAGGCAGTTTCGTGTCGCGTCGCGTTCAGCGATAGACCATTCTCCAGCTCTAGATTTATAGAGCTACGGCCCTAGGATGGGCTATGTAATAGTGTTGATGTTACAGAGGCCATAACTGAAAGCGAACAGCGGGAACGAGGCAATAGCAATGTCAAATATGACGATGAAGGTAGAAGGGATAGTGGCAGTTAGATCTCGTTGTTACCGAGTAATGGAGGTAAAAAA